TTTTTGCCTAACTCCATTTTTGGAATCGTAAGTTGGACATTTGAATTTATATAACATTATATAACTAAGTTGGTTATTTGAATATATATGTTATATAAGTGCGTGAATTTTCATTATATGTTGGATTTAAATGCGACATGTTATTTTGGTGGAATATTATATATTAGAACTCATATGTCAGATGAGATTTGATATAATTTATCAGGATAAGAACAATATAATGACTCTTTTTCATATTTCTGGGCAAAACGGGGCTAAAACGGTTGATCTATTAATCCTTGACTCACTAGTTCGATCTGGTTCGGGTTAGTCCTATGAGAATTTGTGGATAATGGGTCGGGTTGGGTGGCGGCTAGTGCATATCCGTTACCGTATCCAATTTAGTTCGAGTTTTACCTATACCTACACGAGAAACGGGTAAAAAATTAAAACTATGTCGATACCCGTTCGAGTTTCGTGTATTCACGATTATTTATGGATAATAATTTCTCCTTATAATTTCAACCAATATATTAACATTCACACGTAGGGGTGTTCAAACAGTTTGGTTACCATGGTAACCGTTTTAACCAGTACTAGTTGGATAATTTGGTTTGGTTAAAGTTTTTAGCTTGTTTGGTTTAGGTGGTTTGGTTTGGTTTCAGACACTCCTAACCAGTCAAACCAAATTAACCAGTTAAGTAATTAGTCATATATCTAACATATATTATATACACATACTTAATACTTTGCATAACCACTCAAGAGTAACGTTCATCCCTTTTAGACTCATAAAATATAAAGCTCAATATTGCTCATATAGTGTATATTTGTATATGTAAAATGTAGACCACAATATATGGACGCCTAATTTAGATAAATTTCATACATTATGATGGATGAAAACTTGAAAGGAAGGTCACTTCCAGCCTATGATAATTGCTAAGAGACTAAGTCAATTTACACAAACACAACAATTCATTAACCCATACCATTGTCATAAATTTTTGTTAGGTGAATACTTCTATACTAATCGTAAGATAATTGTCTTAGTTGCATGTATTTTTTGTTAAGGGTCAACTATAACTACGTGTTGATTGTTATGTTTTATTCATTATATAAATTGTGAATTGTTGCATTAACCGGAAAATTTTCATCGTCAATGATAATGTGATTTTATATTGGTTAATCTGGTTGACCAATTAACCAAACCGATTAAACTTTAGTTTGGTTAATTTGGTTGTTGTATTAGTTTGGACGGTTTGGTTATAATATTGTATTCCATGGTTAATGGAATTTAGTCTTATTTGGTTTGGTTATAACCATGATAACCATTTGAACACCCCTAATCACACGTATGCTCACATTATCGTAAGAAGAAAAATACGAGAATAATTCACTAAAAAACGTTATAACTACGGAGCAAATCATCAACCGACTAGAAAACGGGTTCGGTCAGCCCATAAAAATAAAATCTTTTGTCGTTTTGCGCTCGGTCGCTGGGAGAAGTGTGGAGGGAAAGTCGGATAATAAAAAAAAATCAGAGAGACGCTCTCTTCTTTCTTCCAATTCCATCATCTCCTTCTCTCTCGTACTCCCATTTCTTCCCTCTCATTTTTTTTGCCGAAAAGAAAGCGGAAGAAAGATCTGAAGAATTCAAAATCAAGAGCGTCGGAGTAAGAGAGAGAAAGAATCGTCGGTTTGCCGGCCAGTGGTTTCTCGCAATTATCTGGACGCATTTCTCGTTCGCCGGCAGTTTCTCTCATTCGTCTATTGAACGGACGGCAGTGAAAGAAGAAGAATGGAGGCGGCGCTAGGATTGATGAGAAGGATACCTCCGAAGCACTCCGTCACCGCGCTCTCTGCTCTCGTCAGCCTCTTGCCTGACCACTCCTCCGATCTCCTCTCCCAAGTCGATCAGCCTCTTCAGGTCCATCTCTCTCTCTCTCTCTGCTATGGCAGTTTCCATGATTTTCGATTCTGTTGTCGATCGCTAGGGTTTTTTTTGTGCACGATTGATGTTTGAGTTTGCTGTTTCTCCTCCTGGACTCCACCGTATGTTTTCCTGAGAAAACGACGGTGAGGAAATGGAGCGGAAATCCGGAACGAGTCATTGTGTGCTGTTCATATACAATTGATGAAGGAAGAAGAGTTAAATCAGTGTTCGTTAGGGGAGATCTTGCGTCGTTTGCTGTGAATTCTACCAGTATGTAGATGTTTTGTGCCCGACTGCAGCTATAGGTTGTTTCTTTTCCAGTTCTTGCTTGAGATAGAGCTTGTGAACACTGCGGTGTTCCTCCAGCTTTGCCGCTCTTTGTTTCATCTTGCATTCAGTGATCGTTCGCTCGCGGCTGTTCCGAGTGGATGATTGGTTAAAGCATATTGAGTTCTTGTGTATGGAATAATTGCCTAGCTTGTTATTACTTCCAGCTCGTCTTTCTGTTTTATGTGATGTGGAAAAAGCGTTTTAATTTGCAAAGGCGGCTAACTGAAGAAGGGGAAATTACAGGTTCTATGCGATACCGAGAGCGGGAAGGAGTTCATATTGTGCGAGTACAACAGAGATGCTGATTCCTACAGGTACCCTTGCTAGTTCTTTTATGGTTGTGGGTATCATGTAGCTCTTCATTTATTAGAACTGTAGGTGTTGGATGTGTGAAGTGAGCTGTTGTTAGTGTACGGACTGTAATGTTGGCAGCTTCTTGGGGACTTGTTATTGTTTTTGGTTTGTGCGATCGTGATTCAATGCTGTGGATCGTAGGAGGACCACAACTTGTGTTAGTTGCATACATTTGTGATTGGCCTTTATGGATGGTAGTTAGGCTTATTTAATAGTCCACCAGGATAGTTCTCTCTCAGTAAAGCTATGTCAATCCTGACTGGTTACCGAAATGATGTTATTCCGGCACATCAAAGATCTTAGTTGTGCTTGACCTTTAGAGAATCTGATAATGAAAGGCTTAATATGTTACTATGGTTCCTGCAGGACTTAAACTTTCTGTTTATGAACATTATTTGTATCTATAGGGAAGAAACATTTTTGATATGTTTGTATTTATCTGCCTTCAGTGATGTTCGGTCATTGAAGCTAAATGGTTACCCTTAGAATCTGTTGTTCTTTCTCTATATCGTCTTTCACCCCTTTCTGCTCTCGTACATGTACTTGGAAATTTTTAGGTGAATGATTTTTGGGATCATATGTTGTCTTGTAGGTCACCATGGTCAAACAAATACCATCCCCCATTGGGAGATGCACTCCTTCCTTCTGACGAGCTGAGGAAACTGGAGGTTGAAGCAAATGAAGTCTTCGCCATTTATCGTGACCAGTGAGGTCCTTTACTCACCTCGTCTTTGATTCAACTGTTTTTTTTTCATGATCTCGTCCATACCCTTTCAAGTTTCAACTTATTTTCAGTGTCAAATGGATGTAGACTCCTCCCTTTTCTTCCTTCAGTTATGTCAACTTATTTTTCCATATTGAAGAATCTAGTTATTAAATCGCCATGCCATTCTGTTTTCTATTACTTTTGTGAAATTGTTTAGCAGTTTGATCAACCGTGTAAGTTTTGGTAGGTATTACGAAGGCGGAATCTCATCTGTTTACTTGTGGGAGGATAACAACGAAGGTTTTGTGGCTTGCTTTCTGATAAAAAAAGGTTTGGTGCAACCACCCCTTTATAAATGAAGTAGTATTAAGTATTAACCCAGTTCTCCTCATCTAACTTGTTTTATCTATTCTATTGTGAATATTAAGATGGTGCTAGGACAGCACATGGAAGAAGGGGATACCTGCAGGAAGGGCTGTGGGAAGCCATTCATGTCATTGAGGTAGAGGGTTCTGTGGCGGTGTGATTTATATACTTACGACATTGTCCTTATTTATCCGTCCTGTTACAACTATGGTTTGGTTATTTAGGTTGGACCAGAAGATGAAACTACCCGCTATTGTTTAACCAGCACCGTGATGCTGTCCCTGACAACTGACAAGGAGTCTTCCGGCACGTTTAATTTATCCGGATCAATTAGGCGGCAGGTAGGAGTTTTGTCTTGGTCCCTCCTGTTCCGCAAGTCTTGGATTGAGAGTACATTTGTTTAATTGTTTCACAAACTTTATCTTTGCTTTCATGACTAGATGAGGATGGATCTCCCGTTGGCTGATGGCCACCTTTGTAACATGGGGAAGATGATTGAGGAGATGGAGGGCAAGCTCAGAAACTCTCTGGATCAGGTATGTTCGGCGCAGGCATTTACTTATTTCTTGTTTTTCTGGCCATAGCTCATTACCCATATATGAAAATATCGTCTCATTTTCTGTTTCTAGAATAAATGTTGACTAACCTTTTCAGTTTCGCGATTCTGGAGAGATAACTTTATTGAATCTTGTTATGGAATCAGTTGTCAGTCTTGGGTTTTGATGATTCCAGTTTACAATTTTTATATGTTTTTGGATCTTCGTAAATTTTCCTTAGTGACAAACTACCATGCACATTACCGTCTTAAAACTATTATAAGGGAACAGCTGTTTATTAATTGACTAATATCCGTGATCAAATGCTGTTGCCACTGCAGGTATATTTTGGGAAGACGAAAGAAATGGTTTGCACCCTGCGACCTCCATCAGAAGTTGTGATGAGACTGCCAAACAGCTGAATCGACGAGAGTGCCACACTGAAAAAGGCATTGCCTATTCACTATTGCAACAGTTTAGTACATAACCTGTTAGTCTGTGGGAACGTTAGACTGCAGGTATCGCATTCGAACCTCAAATTGCCTATGAGTGGAGTGTTCTCTTTTGGCTTCCATAACTGTTTGCGCGACGCCAATTGTTCCATACAAAGGTGGTTTGCTTCAGAGTGAGTGAAAGTGTCATTTCTGTATTTTGACTTGATGAAACTTTCTGGCTTTGTGTTCTCTGTATAGTCTGCCCTGCTGGCTACAGCTAACTCGCATTGAAGTGTTTTTTATCACTGTCTAAATCATAGTCTTGAGAGTGTGATATTAGGAGTTTGCTCTAATGGTCGCTTAAATGTGACGAGCTCTTTGCAATTAGATTTCTTATTATAGAACTGAGTAGGATAATGATAAGCAAGAGTTTATGACGACATTGTATTGCGTTGCTTTGCATGATCTCAGCCATCGAAGTGTGCAATTTTGATGGCTGAGATCAAGTTTCACAGTGATTCAAGTTCAACGACACCACCAACATGAACACACCGTCCATTTTGGTTCCTTGTATTGTTGATTTTGTTTCAGTGATTCAACGACAACATACAACATGAATACCTTGTATTGTTTCTAGCACCCTGATATTCGTGGCTCTACATTCTTTCCTGCTACACATTTCTCTATCTGCACCAATGTTGTATTACAAGTTGTACACACGAATCCATCCCAATTCGATGCTGGAATCAACGAAACCAAATCCACAAATTTAGTCCATTTGCCACCTCTAGTTATACGTAGGGGTGGTAACGGTAATCCGGTAAACGGTTTACCGTTTTACCGAACCGGTAACCGGCGGTAAACGGTAAATCATTTACCGGCGGTATCGGCAGCCGAGCGGGAAGTTGGGAGAGTCGGTTTACCGGACACGGTATCGGTAAATACCGACAGTAAATCAGTAATACCGATACTGAAATCCCCCCGCCCTACTCCCTAGCGCCAGCGACCACGCCCGACCCGACCCTTCTCTTTTCGTTTTTTCCAGACCCGCCGCGCAACCACCTGACCCCTCCAGCTCTCCTCTTCTCGACGTTCTCGTCTTCCTTCGAGGCTTCGATTGGCGACGACGGCGACGACCGTGGAGTGACGACGACGGGCTACTCCGACTCGCACGCTTCCCTCGCCGGGTCTCTCCCTTCCCTCGCCGAAAATATTACAACATCACCCCACTTCCAGAAATTTGGTTCGGTAAATATTTGGTAAACCAATTTGGCCAACTTCGGTATACCAAAAACCGCCCGGTATCCGTAATCGGTAACCAATTTGGCCAACTTCGGTATACCAAAACCGGTAAATCGGTAAACAATTTACCGTTTACCGACCGAATCCCACCCCTAGTTATACGCGCATATAAGAGAGGGTCACGCCACGACTTGGTTGCGCCTTCAAAAAACGGCGCAATCGTGAAAGGAAGGCATTTACCAAAACCTCGGTCTTTTATACCCAAATACTCGAACTGCCTCACCGTCATCATCATCGTCATATATCAGAGGAGAGCTCCGCTTCTTCATGATGGTAAAACGCCTTGTCATCATCGGAATTAACGACGACATCGCCAAGTCAACATCAGGCATACCCACATCCCCATGTAGGTCGTGGGTGTAGACGTTCTTGTTGACACAACTCTGGATTTCCAAGTGCGGGCACTTGCCATGAACGCGCACCTCGAAATCCTCTTCCATTCCATCTCCGATATACAACCGGACAGCGTCCCTAGGAATGTAGGTCAACCAAATACTGTCAGTTACTCGTCCAGAATGTGGTAGCTCTGGTAGAGCCACAGCTCCCAAATTGGTAACAAAGGAGCAGACATCGCAATTCCGGGTGGTGCTGGTGGTCGGTTCGTGGGTGTTATCACTCCCACGGAAACAAATAACCGCCACAGTCCCAATCCAATATGTAGCATCATCATCATCATTATCACCAACAGGGCGCTGCATCATCATCCCCATCACAATCGAAGATAAGCACCGCTGGACTCGATGGTACGACCACGCATTTTTGTCAGTTCCAGCCGGAATCAGAACTGAAAACTTTTGTTGCGGATGAGGAATGCCCTGAATGTAGGTGAGCATGGTTGGTCAGGATCGAGATTTTACATAGAATCGAGACAGTGCAACGTGGGAGAAATAGTGAAAGAGAATGCATACCTGGAGGTATCTTTTGAGTATCCTCCAAGCTGACTTCTGAGGTTGATCCAACATGAGGCAACCATAGCACTGTATATTCAGTCCATTTCGAAAGTTTAATGTATCAGGAAGACTCTCCAAGGACTTGCAACCATTCGCATACACCCTCTCAATCTGTTGCGGAAGCTCGGGCAAAGATCGAAGCTTCACACAACCTTGCACTGACAGTTCCTGCAGGCGAACACAACATCGTAGCGAAGGTGGCAACTCTTTCAAGCTACCACAACCATCCAGAGATAGCACTTCCAGTGAAGTTAAGCAGACCACCGTGTCGGGAAGTCTTTCGAGATTCTGACAATTGTCAAGAATCAACCTCTTCAGCCCGGCCAAATGTTGGATCGTCGAATCAAGATGTTGGATCCCAATACCTTCGAGTTGGAGCTCAGCCAAATAGTCCATATCGCCATGAATGCTTGGGAACGTCTTCAGCTTGATGCATCCCTTCAGGCTCAGAATTTTCAGAGAGGTTGTTTCAATGCTCGTAGGGAAGAGCTTCAGGCTCTTGCAACCATTCAGATTTGCCATCTCAAGTCTTTTGAGATGTCCAAATGACGAGGGAACCTCGAGCAATGATCCACACCCTTGAAGATTCAAAACCTCGAGGTTAGGCATTTCGGCAAAATCTGGGATCTCAACCAAATTATTGCAATTGTCAAGCCACAACTCTCTTAGATGCAACATGGTCTTCACAGCAATCAACCCGAAAAAACAAATAATATTGGTTAGTTCATGTAAAGCAACAGAAAACATAAGACTACAATGATTAATCATAGTATAGGCAAGTACATAAACTCTATCTCACCTTGCTTCCATGCCAGAGTTGCTTCAGGTGATCGCTGTCTAACAAATTCAGCACAAAAAGGTTGCATGGGTTGAAACTAGGCGGCAGCGATTCAGAAGGGTATGACTTCCAAACCAGAACTCGTAGCTCATTAGATAGGCAGCTTGGTCCTTGCTTGATTTGTGCACCTGACAAAGCCAGCAATCTTAGACTGGACATCTTCGTAAAGGCTTCCCCACCACAGTCTATTACACTCTGGGCATTTTGACTTGGAAGCAAAGATATAACTTTCACATTTTCAGTTCCCTGCAAGAAAGCTCGGACCAGTGCAGAACAATGTTAGTCAAGGCCAAATTTTTTGGCATGATGGAAACAAAGCACAACCACTCACCGTTTCTGTTGTAAGCACATGACGAACATCTTCATACCCCTGCAATCTACTGCGCATCCCCAGGTGATTTGGACTTTTTGAGTAGACAATTGATTTCCCCATCTCTTTTAACAAATCGTGAGTGGAGAATCTTTTCAGTCTAGTTTCTATCAGTGCCTTATCAGTCAGGTTCCTTATCCCGATCTCAGCACCTAGGTAGAGGCTCTCAAGTATAGGGATCACAGTTTCTCTTCGACGCCAACCATGAAAGAAGAACACAACATCTAGGAATATCTCTTGTTCTTCTTCATCTAGTGCATCATAACTCACTTGAAGTACCTCTAGAATTCCTCCCGGTGGGATTTTCTTCAGTTTTTTAATTGTACTTCTCCATTCACTAGAACTTCTCCCACTTAGCAAAGAACCCAACACCTCCAGTGCCAAGGGAAGCCCGCCGGCATAACTGATAATATGCTCACACAACTCCTTGAAACCTTCAGTCGGTTCATCTTGCTCAAAAGCCTCCCGGCTTATCAACACACGAGCTTCATTTGCATCCAGCAATCGAGTCTGGTATACAGAATCCACCTTCTGAGCATTCAGCAGGTGTTGGTCTCTGGAGGTTATAACGATACGACTTCCTAAACCGAAAAAAGAACGCTCCACAGCCAAGTGCTGCAGCTGTTTCTGGTGGGTGACATCGTCCACAATAAGAAGCAGCTTCTTCCCTCTAAATGCCCTCCTTAGCCTTTCCTTTCCTCCAACCTTCGGCCAAGCTACTTCTTCCCTACTTAACATCATAGCATTCCCAGCAATTTCGCCGAACAGCTGCTTCTGCAGTTGAAGAATCCCCGAGTGAGTGTTAGATGCTTCTCCCACACATGGAAGATAAGTGCTGGACTGGAATTGAGACCGAACTGTGTCATAAATGGCCATGGCGAGGGTGGTTTTGCCACTGCCTCCCATCCCACTGATTCCAATGATACGAACATCATTATCTTCATCATCCCGCTCAGCATTTGCATCCAAATGTAACAAGCGGATTACTTCTTCCACACGTTGATCCATACCAACCAAAGCTTTGCTGATACTCGCGAATGTGGAACTCAGTTCCTCCCATATCTTCCCTACAATTTGCTTTATCATTTCCGAGTCATTTCTGCAATTTATTTATACATGCAATTCAATTCATATAAGCTCATCAGCAATTTGATACAAGAAAAGGGAACCAACAAGATCTTGACTATAAAAGATGGGTAGGAAGGACCAAAAATAAAGGAAATAGCAAGTAAGATCACAAGTTCACAACCCCAGTATCATACGAAAATGGAAGGGAAACCTAAACCAATTCGATCCAAATATCAATTCAATAACATTTTGCCAAGCCGAACCATTGCCTATCCAAGCCGAACTGTAATCAAGCAGAGAAATCAAAGAAATGAATCGACTTTCTTGTATGGAGGTGAAGCATCTCTCCAGATGAATAGTGAATAGAGCTTTTACCTGTAGGCAGTAGTAGTGAATCCAGAGATATTAGCGACTTCAGCGAGAGCATCTCTCCATCTCCCCACCTTCTCACCAAGAAATTCGTCGTCTCCACCAACAGCTTCCACGAAGCCGTTGTTGGTCCCGATCCTCCTCTGTCTCCCGACGTCCGACGGATCCACCTCGTAGAAAACCGGAATCACCCGGTGACCTTTGAGCTTCCGGCAGCGGAGGATGTGAACCAGCTCGTCGAGACACCAGCTGGAATCGGCGTAGTTCTTGGACAAGACGACGACCGCGATTCTGGAATCCTCGATCCCTCTCAGGATCTCGGGCTCAATGGACGCGCCTCTCTCGAGGCTGAAGTCGTCCTTGTAGACCAGCGCAACACCTAATTTCGAGGAGAGCGCGTCGCAGAGATGGCTGGTGAAACTCCGGCGGGTGTCTTCCCCTCTGAAGCTCACGAACACCTCGTACTTCCGAGCGTCATCAGCTGCCGGAGATGGCGACGAGGAAGAAGAAGAAGAAGAACTCGGAGATTCAGGGCGAGAGACTGTCATCGGCGAAGTAGATAAATGAATGATCGGCGGACAGGAACTAGAAGAGGAACTAGAAAGGAAATGGAGGGGGTCGAATTGCTGGCCTTCGGAGCGAAAATATATAGCAATTCAGGGTAGCTGCCGCCTTCCGCGGCTTCTTTTAATATGATTTAAATCCCATAAGCCGCCGCGGCGCGATTTACCTCACTTTTGTCGGAACTACGGGTGGTGGTGGTGGAGCACAGTTGAGAGTGCTAGTCAAAACCAGGTCTCCTGCCATGAGTAAAGATAAGCACGATATATTTTACCTCCACCATTGACTGACGTTATTCATGTGCGTAAACGTGTTTATAATAATTTATTCAAACGACAATAAAAACTAAAATGTGCAGTATACTACTTAGTGTTTGTGATTTAGGTTGAATTAAGAAAGACTTGGAGATTGAGAAAGGAAGATTAAGAATGACTGAATCAGGAAGAAGAAGAGGGAATCAGAGGGATGTATGGAGAAATTAAAATATCCAAATGATAAGTACAACTATATTTTCAGATTCGGGCAGGATGATGCTAAACCAAAAATGTTAATGGTTATAATTCAGCAGTTAACTGTAACAAACCTGTTGGTTAACCGTTGATAACCATTCACGCGCGAAAGAAAGACATGTATAAACACTAATTGAGAACCTAACCATAAAACAATTTCAAATTAATATCATCCATCACTGAAATGTTCTAACATATCATTCAAACTATCTCACAAAAGAAATAATTTTTTTTTTTACTAAATTCAAGTTAGTAATAAGGGTGGCAGTTCATATTGGACCACATAAAGCTTACAAGAACGTTGTGAAACTAAGAAAAATAAAATTAGCAATTGAGTTTGGATGGTCCTAGTTTGCATTAAAGAATTCTTTTGTATGGTTAAAATATTGAACTAGTGGACCAGTCAAACCGGAGTGGTGCATCTACTTTTATATCAAACCGTTAAAAACTGTTTGGTCCATCCCTAATCGTCCAAACAAATAAACTGAACTGCTATTGTAACTGGCTTGGTCTTTCTACTGAACAAGTGGCTAATCTGGTTCGGTTCTTATAAGTAGAGAAAATTCTGACATCTTACCTAATGATCTTCCTAACCAAATCACAATAGTTATAAAGCAAAAGACTTCCCTCTAGTCCCGATTATTCTCCAAAATATCACTAATTGACAACTGATCAACTAATTACGTAAATAGGGGGGAAAAGACGCAACTAGTGATATTGATGCGGTACGCACCTGTTCCGGAAGAGAAACAGAGCTAGCTCTCCATGTTGAGGGGGACGAGGCTCTTAAACGTGGAGGACCAAAAGAAATTCATGATGCAGCCGGAGATCGCATTGTTAACACTTCAAGCTCTAGCCGGAGCCGTACACCTTGCAACCGGAGCAAGCAGCAGGTTGATTTGGAACACTATAGGTGCTGAGCGTGGACAGAGTACTGTACTCCTTTCACCATCAATTTCGTAGGCCAGCTGCTTCTCTGCAATCGAAACAGCCTTATCCGTGTTGTGGAGGCTTCCCCGAGGCTGGCAATGTAAGTGCTGGACTCGGAATTCGGATGAGAATTGCGTTGTAAACGGCCATGGCGACGGTGGCTTTCCCGCTGCCGGATGGGCCATAGATTCCCAATCATACGAACATCATTGCCATTGATGGAATCCGGAGTAGCATATAGACACAGCAAGCTGATCACTGCAATTGCACGTCCCTCCATTCCAACTAGAGGATTAATGTTGCTGATGATGCTTGGATATGTAGTAGTAGTAGTAGTAGAGCTCTCAATTCGTTCCATGGAGTCGTTTCTATGGAGACGTCAATTCACAAACAGAGCTCAAATCAGCAAGCAAAATCCAACAGGCGGAGAAAGTACTAGAGCAGTATAACTCAATTCTGCAAATCGAGCTTCAGGATAATAGGGAAATTAGGTCATTGAGCGCAGTTAATCAACATCGAATTACCCGTAGTGAACGGTGGCGAATCCGGGAGATTAGCGACTTCCGTCAAAGTATCATCTCTCCGATCTCCTCCGCACCTTATCGTCGCGGGCGAAGACTTCGGCGGAGCTACGACTTCTTCCTCTTCTTTCTGTTTCCTGAAATCAGATTGGATCCACATCGAAGAAAATCGGAATGACGGCTTCTCGATTTCCCGCGACGGAGGATGTGAAGCAGCTCGTCGAGACACCAGGTGGAATCGGGCGTAGATTTCACGACGACCGCGATTCTGAAACCCTAGATCGCTTGCCGAAACTCCGCTCGATGATGGATGCGCCTTGGTCGAGTCTGGATTTCGTCCTTGTAGAAGGACAGAAATCCCCTGCGATTGTCTTTCTCCGCTGAAGCTCACAAACACAGCCAGAGTTGCTGCGGGGAAAGTAAAGTCAAGCAGATTGGAAATTGCTGGGGGAAAATGGATCAGGTTGAAGAAGCACAGCACGACGACTTTTGCTGCTTTTCCCGCCTTTTTCTTCTTCGGGAGGAATGAATAAACGGGGAGTTTCGTGTTGCATTTTGGGCCCGCTCACTGACTTTGGGCCTCGGCTCATCTTTAGAGACTCGTAACGAATTTGGGCCCGACAGTAGGAGCTTCGTGAATCTCTACCCAAAAGATTGAATGAAAAATCTCATACCATGTGTATGTTGACGGGGAAATAATTGCATGAAAATATGAAATAGTAAAAATTTATATCTTGTTTAGCATTGTGTATAATAAAAAATTTGTACACAATAATTTTTTTTTTTTTACAAAAGATAATCAGATATATTGATTCAAACAGATAGTTACACCCTGGAAAGCAGCCAGGTCTGCAAATCAAACACACGATTCGCAATCGGGGACAATGAAAGGGCTTTTCTAGCCACTACATGGGCTACCCTATTGTTACTCCGACCTGCAAACCGAATTCTAAATCCTGGATGCGAGGAAAAACAAGACACAACTTCTTCTAGCACAGCCCCCATCCGACTATCTCCCTTATCTGACCGAACGATCTATCAATGACAACCTTAGCGTCCCCCTCAAAGTAGACATCCATTTGTACACAATAAATTGTAACTATACATTATCAACATATATAAATCTACTAAGGAGCACATTTTAGTTTTGGGAATTGAAAATTTCACATTGCAAAAATTTTACTTTTTCTAAACAACAAAGAACTCACATTGTAGGCTAACTACTCTAATCTTAAACTAATATCAAAGTTTGTTGACATTAAGATCATGACAAATTCCATCTTTATTTACGATACCCAAACCGTTAATTAATAATTACACACGTACAATATCATAATACACACAAAATATCGTTATACATTTCAATATATATCAGGTAAGTAACCAATCAAATGAAATAATAATAATCATTGTCACGATCATGCTAATTATCTTCTGCCTCCGCCACAGCAGCCACCTGAAGAAGCAGCCGCCGGAGCCGGAGCCGGAGCCGGAGCCACCACCTTCTTAGTATTACTCAATGGTGTCAGGGCCTTAGTATCCGTAACGCTCTGGACCAAGGCCTGCCCAACCCCTTCCCCAAGCCCATCAATGAGCCCACCAATGAACTCGATCACCACCTGCGACGCCACACGCGCCGCCGTCCCCAGCATCCTGCTGCCCGCTTTCTCCTTCCCCTTCATGCCGTTGGCCTGCAGCCCGTTCACCATGTCCTTGGCGCACACCGCGTGGAGGTAGTATCCGTCGCAGACCGTGCACTTGTACACGCGCCCCGCCCGGCGCCTCTTGCACTCCCCGCACGCGCCGCTGATGTCCAGCACCACGGCGGCGGCGGCGGGGGAGATGGCGGTACTGTTGTTCCCGGGGGTGGAGAGTGTGACGGCGGCGGAAGAGGAAGCGGCGGCGGCGGGGAGGATTTTGAGAGGGTGGGGGTGGATGGAGATGGTGATGTGGTCGGAGAGCGTGGCGCAGCATGGGTGCATGTGGTAGCTGCACGCGTTGCACCGGAAGGTGTAGCCTTTGGTGGCTTTCCCGCACACATCGCACTTGTTGGCCTTTTGGAGGATTCCCGTTTTTGGTGCTGCATTGGAGAGCATAGAATCATCGTTAGCTAATGGACATATTACACTCTATAAGCTACAAAACCTACAAAAACTCGTGTCTTTTTATCACTTTGTATACGAATCATATCAATCTTGATATGGTCATATCATGGTAGTATGATGCGTATTAGGGACGGTAAGTCACACAATTTTACAAACAAAACCTACAAAATTCGTGTCTTTTATCACTTTTTATACGAATCATATCAATCTTGATATTGTTATATCATGGTACTGGTAGTATGATGCGTATCAGGAGAGGTAAGACGACACACAATTTTGAAGATTTTGCAGTTATGTATACTGTTCCCTATCCTTTTCCTAAAGTTCGGGTTACGATATAAAATCTAGGGGCTACAAAACTCGCGTCTTACCACTCCTGATATGACCGTATCGTGGTGGTACGATTCATATCAGACGTGATAAAATGGGTATTTTGTAGGTTTTGCAGCTCTAAAAGTTGTGTCCTGCTTAATTAGCGAAAGTATCAAAGCGATTCCAAAGTGTTATTTCCCCTACTGATCAAGGTTTTGTTAATATGATAGACGTACGGGGGAGTCCTTTTGGAATCCGAATCGACCATCTCAAAATTATTTTTTTATTGTATCATTACTAGATCAATAGTGGTGGATCTAGGGGGAGGCCACCCTGAGCTACGACCTAACCCTCTTGTGGGTAGAGTTAGTGTAATACTTACGAATTTTTCAACCGTAGATATTCAATCCAATGCTATTTAAAAGTCAGACTCAAATGCGGTTCAGTACTCTATTATGTGATGGATCCGCCGTTGCATTGGAGCGATATGTTTATCGATCTTCAATATATCGATGAAAATCTCATCCAAGTTTTGCTTACTACTAATTAGGATTAACTAACTAATGTTGAATTGATACACAGTCTATATATATATATACCTGGTTTGGAAGAGAACCATAGCTGGTGCTGGAGGTGGAGGGGATGGGCTTTCAAGCGAGGAGGAGCCAAGGCGCAGAACTCATGCAGCCGGAAATCGCACTGCCGGCAGGCAAAGCTCTTGCCGGAGCCGTACTCCTTGCAGCCGGAGCAGGTGAAGAGGTCCGGCAGGTCGACGTTGTACAGTAGGTGCTGAGGGTGGGCGGAGTGGATGATCCCTTCTCCCCATGTGAGCTTCTGAGGGGAAGTTGGGAACTCGAAGAAGGCGCCGCCGCTGCCGCCGGCGGCGGTGGAGGGAGGAGGAGGAGAAGGAGCGACGTTGCGCTTTGTGGAGAATATGGTGGCGGTGGTGTTGAGAGAGGAAGTGCGTTTGGTTTTGTTCATGGTGATGGGAAGAATATCTATATGGATGCTAGAGGGAGGTGGGGGAATGTCCATATCATGACTATGTGGGTTGGGGTTGATGTATATATAGTGGATGATGGATCATGATTCATGTGGATGGGTTGGATATATATTATTCGAAGATTTGATTAGTAATCAAATTGTGTTGGATTAGTAGGCCTAGATTTATACTTTAATTGCTTATAGTTAGTTTTAAGGGCACATGTCTATAATAGTTGGCTACCAATGATGTGTTGTCCAAGTAGTTAAGATGTCGAACTCGCCTGCATTTTTTCGAGGTTTCAAAAGCGTATTTCGGTGATGAGATAATCGTGAAACCTCAACTTCACGAAAGACAAATCCTATGTTATACGCCACAGAGCTATGTCAGCGGTTAATGTCGATATTAGCGAGGTAGATTTTTAGGTGGAAGAACCATATATTCGTAGGGGTGTGATAACGGGTGTGAAAGGTGTGCCTCGTGGTTAATTGGTTAGAATAATTGCTACTCTCGATGCACGAACTGTCAAAATTATCTAGGTTGTGTTAGATATGATATTACTACAAAGTATATAATAGCACAATTCGAATCAGATCCGACCAGTATTCTTATTATGTGGTAGCTAATCAATTTAATAATTGATTCCTTCTAGGGATTACTTGAATACACATAATGGTGATCACAACAAAGTGTGTATCGTTAATTGGTGATCATATTGACTGAGAATGCTAGGGTTGTGGGATCCTCACCCACTAAAAGATATACAAATGGAGTTGTTTGAAATTAACAAGAACTAAAAATTGGAATATAGAACTTAATATTGTCTATTTATTAGCTAATAGTAAGGAGGAAAAATGAGTTGCATGTTGAGTGGAGAATATTATATCACCTTTTCTTCCAATATATGTATCAAGAGTCCTCCATCATGTGCTAGGAAAAGGAAATAGGATGCCCCTTCCATATCCCATGTATATGCATATACACAATAGACCAAGTCTCTACTCTCCATATGATCTTTGATGCTCAGTACCCAAATCAATAGCTTTTGCAAAGGAGTTTTGGATGTCTTAGTGGGACTCTCTCTCTCTCTCTCTCATTATCTCAATCAATTCCTTCATCCAAAAGTCACAAAAAATGAAATGGAAGGAGAAAGTTGAAAGCAAAGAGAGGACACACAGGCACTCGCGATATATCTTAGAGTATATAATCCTTTTAGCTATTAGAGCATCTCACGTTTACAGCGGTCGTTAATTTGTTGATTGTAAAGCGCTAACCATCGAATAAAACTCTATTCTTATGGCTTGTTGATGTTGGAAACTACAACCCATTATTGACAAATGACTGCCATATCAAACTCTTCGAATGACCTAGTTAAATTTGACCGTTAAATAAACTACAAATGAAACTTCTTTTATTCCCGTATTTCTGAAAATGCAATTTTTTTTATCTATTTTCCGAGAGTTCAAACATTTTTATCCAAATGATTGAAATTAGGATGGATTATATGTAAAATCACAAGATTAAAAAGCAGTTGGACATATTAGGAAATATGGTGGGAGTAGGTTGGCCACTAACTTTGATTAGTACCTTTTTGACAAATAAAGCCCAATTATTAGTTTGTGATCCAAAAGAGATTCGATTTTGGTGTTGTTTCTTGCCTTCCAAGCGAAACCAACAATCAAAACTACTTTCATCAAATCACAACGAAACTAGGAAGGAAAAGGAGAAACCCACATAGCATAATCCAGTAGAAGTATAGAAGGAAAGGAGAGCACATATTCCTTATGTCCCCTAAAAGATTGTTTTTACAAAGTGTCACCTTCCTCTACTTCCATCTTTCTACCATCAACTAGTATCAGACAACGTTTCGTCTACATCAGAACAAATTTGATAAAATCGGGCTTGATTGAGTAATTCGAAATCAAACTAAACCAAATCAAATCAACTATATTTTTAATCCAACTTTGATCCCAATTTCCCTTTATCTATAATCCGATAATGTCCTAATGTCCGATTTTGTATCGTGGCCGGACCATGCATGCCAGCCTCTACAATTTAACCAGATCGAAATTTTGTTAAGAGATTCACCAATAATGGAGTTACTGAGTGTTCAGGGTTAACAGATGAACGCATATGCCAAACTGAAGTGAAGTTTGCATAGCAAACGCCTTCGAGATGAGGTTTATTGGAGAAGTTTTCAACATAAGGCAATAAGCTGACACAAGCAACCAACTACTGTACAAATCCCTATACCCTAAGGCATAAACCCTAACCAACCCAAATCCCGCTCAAACAGATAAAACCAAAGCCCATGATAGTTGTCTCAAAAACTGAGTTGGAGTTTCACAAGCTACTATATTCATCATAAAAGCAGCCATTGATGATGGAAGATTCTTCGTGCCGTGGAACTACTTTACAGGCGAAAAGGGAAAGAGAACTATAGCCACATGATCATACAAATGTACTATTGCATGGGAAATAGCTCACCAGCAAGACAGAGAAGTTCATATCCTTGGATACCTGGGAGAGTTCGGAACGAGTTAATGTGGTGATCTCGAGCTGTCCGAAACAAAATGGGCAGACGGCGATCCATGGTTCGAGCTGTGAGACCCAAACAAGTTGGGGTAAGAGAAGTAAGGGTCTTCGTCGATAGACGTGATCCGATTCAGCTCAGGACCGGACGATTCTCTGTGATACCTTGGAGAGTCAAACACCGCACCATTGAGGTCGCCGGAAGAGCGTTGATGATCAAGATTTAGGTTTCCCAAGGCAGCAGACTGATCGTGAAGCTCAGTGTTAAAAGGATTGTCGGATTCAAGATCAAGTGACTTGTCGCTGTTGAGCTTGGCTAGCTCCTTGATCTTTGCCTGCGCGATCGTTGCAGCTGAGCGGGCTGCTGCTGCTGCTCGTTCGGCGGTCTCTGCAGCTGCCTGAGCTGAAACTAGGATATCATGCAGATCTATGTCGTGCTTACTCTTGGGTTTTGAGGTGGACGGTGGAGAACTATACTGTCTTGCAGGTGCACTTGCATATGATGTCTGTGGAGGTGTGAAGAAAGGCAAAAACTGTTTCTCCTGGGAAGCACCGTCTGTATAATCGAGAATTTGATTCTCGGACTCCGTCGGCAGTTCTTCGAATATGACCTCATGCTTGGAATGGGAGCCATGTAGCGGACTGTCTGAAGACGTATCCCGATCAATGGATTCTGTACGTAGAGTGGGTTCTGTAGGTAGCGTCATATCTGGTGCATATGCAGCAGGAGTTGTATTAGGCCTTAATACGGCCTTGGGGACTTCGGGGAAATCTAGCTCATCAGCACTTGAGTCAGTGTCAGGTTGTTCATAGCTAGCACCTACAGGACTAGAGCTCAATGCTTCGTCATGCTTCTCATCTGGAGGAGGCAGCTTAGATGCACTAACAAACTGTGCAGGGCCATTCTGAAAATAAAGTATCAAATGTAAGATCAAAAGAGCTAATATGAACGTAGCAGAAGGAGCAAAAATACTCACCAGCAAATCTTCGTGGGGTTTTGATAATTCAGCTTCTGACCCAGCTGGGTCCCAGTCTAGCTCGTGTTCTTCAGCAATTTCCTTAAGGAGTTTCAGTTTTTTGTCTGGTGAAGGTGCGCGAACTGATAAGAGCTCTACTATCTGAAGAGAGAAAAAACAAAAGTATATCATATTATTATATTAACAAGAGAACCAGATATAGAGATACCTATGATCTTGTTACTAAACAGTCTGTAGTGAAGCTTATCAAACCTGGCGATTAACCCCACAATCGGGCATGAGTTCAGTAGCAGCAGTTACAAAATCTTTTCCGTACTTGGATGCAAACAGCATTTGCGCCTGCAGCAATTCTGGCAGGTCGGCACATCTTGGTGCAGCAAAGCAGACACTGGATATTGCTTCCTTCAAATCTAAAGGACATTCCCTGAAGATAGTTCCAAGTTTTTTAGCCATTTTAGTCTAGGAATGATTCCAAGTACAGAAACTAGCTATCCTAAAGTAATGTATCCTATCATTCAATACTGCACTATAGAAGCTATTTGGGCATATCTGTACTGATGAACATATTCAAAAGAAGCAACCTCAGGATAGCTTTAATCTACTGAAAAGCCAAAGCACAGTTTCTAAAATTCCCTATGCGTCAAGCTAGCAGCTAAGATAGTCCTAATTCTTTTACAAAACACAATTTCTTCGGCAAAATCACAAGTCATGAGCAACCAGCTTTCAGGGATAATTCAAAGGAATGACCTTTGTGCCTCAATGATCGGAAGACGAACGGCAATAAGCTCACAGAAGAGCTCAAGGATCTCTTGAGCCGCCATCATGTTCTCTTCTCTGATAATATGCTCAACCTGAAATCCACACAACAGTAAGCAATGAAGCCTCCCCAAATTGGACCTAACGAACTGAGAAATCTTAGTAAGCTGAGAATGAAAACATCAACAACATACACGAATCCGAGCAGTAGCTTCCTGGCCATTCTCGAGAAGCTTAGCAATATCACGGCGCATTTGCCTAATCTGAACCTCTCTCCTGTTCCTCAGGAGCTTAATCCGCGGTATCGTCAGCTTCAGCAGAGTTTTACTGATCGCACAAAAAGAGGGACAAAGATCCATAAAAAAAGCATATAGAAGTAGAGAACCCAAACCCCTAAAAACGGCCATCCGAACTCCAAAAACCTCAATCCCAATTGTCACCAAAATCTCCACACGCAGACACAAAGTTCTAAACTACAATGAGATTGGGATCCAACTCCCGCCAATCTCTCTTTCGCGCCACAACATTATTCCCCGGGAAACAAACACGGCTTCCGTCAACGAACTGAAACCCGTTCTCCCGGCGACGAGATTCAATTGAAACTTTTTCAAGCAATCTAACGGAAGATTAAGCTCACCATTTTGCAGCTTTGAATCCCTTGTTGCTGAAGAAGGCGTCGAGCATCGACATGGTCCGGCGATCGTGATCGGAAAATCGCGGCGCTGCGGGGAGTGGGTTCGGATCTTCGGCACGAAGGAAACTGAAGACGAGGGATTTAGGAAAAGAGACAGGGAAAAGGGGGAAATTAAAAATATCTGTGTGGCGCTGTTGTGGTCGATCAGAAAAGAAGCCGCGTAGTAGAGCAGTTGTGCAATGGCAATTTTCTTCATAGCTCATCTTTTTTGTCTTTTAATTTTGTTTATTTATTATTTCTTTTTCAACTACGATGATGCGCTGATGGGATTTTGGGCTGAGGGCTTCAAAGTTCTGAGCCCAAGTCGAACCGCCTTAAGAGCGGGCCTAGGCCATCCAGCAGCCCAGACTACCATTTGGGTTATGTTGTTTTTTAGAAAGCATTTGATCCAGCCCGTTTAAATCGTTTCTAGGGTCCATCTGGCAAATTAATCGTGAATACATTTTTTTTTTGTCATAATTAATCGTGAATACATTATTTTCTATATGTAGTAAATAGTTTTAAAACAAGTTTAAAGTCAATTAATTGAAATAACTTTGCAATTATATTAATTGTAAACCACAATCCAATAATTCTCTAGTACTATCCTTACTCATAATTGAATATTTTTTTAGTATGAATTACTCATAATTGATTTGGTTAAGATGTTATAATTATATGTATGTTAATAATCGAGAAGATCACGGGTGTAATCATAAATATTCTCGGCATTCACTATCAACAATCTCACATTTAAAATCAAATCCAAATTACTTAATAAAAAATATCTTCCATTTGTGTAGAGTGATAACCAATCATAAATTATCGTTCAATATTACATCACAACTGTATTGATGGGAAAATTTTTTTTGAATAGTGTTTCACTTTCATGTCACACCATTGTTGTAATGCTGCTGGTTTACCTTGTTTCGGGTTAGAATAAAAGGCTCTCATTGTTAAAAAAAATTGGCACACCTATTAAACTGGTCAAATTATAGTTATCTTGTAATTATCGGTTTACATTAATTTAATTGGCGAAAAGGAAATACAAGAAATTTGAATTTTCCAGCCACGAAAATAAAAACAGAACAAGTCAAGAAAAAGAAAGCTCCAAAGTCCGAAGTCTCTCCAAAACCAAGCTGGTGAAAGCTTCCAAAAACGCCAACAAAGCCAGAGAGAGACGGCAGCATTACTGCAGAGAGAAGCCGCATCTCGCCGGTAAGCTCCAAATCCACAAAACCCGACGCCCGCTCCCGTCCGTACCGAGGCATCTCGTGCGTACATTTCTCACTACTGCCACCATCGATCCTTCTTCTTCCGATTCGTAGCTCACCGTCGCTTCTGTTCCCCCCGTAGCAACGTGTTCCGTCCTTTACCTGCCGTCGTCCAGTTGCTGGGCCGGTGAACAAGAATCCCTCGCCTGCAAGCGAGCTGGAGATTACCTGAAACTCTAGCTTGATTTTGCACTCCGTTTTGGCTTGTATTGTCTTTCCGTAGTTGCGAGATCTGCAGCTGAGGGAATTCTATATTTTCAGCTGCCTTTTCCCCCCAATTTAGATGTTGGATCTCTGCCGGGTTCCAATTCCGGGCATCCCCTTGTTCTTCTGAGAGCTATCGTTGTTGGGTTTTTTTGAGATTTGGAGTTGGGGGAGGTTGGGGAGGTTGTGAAGGGCGGTGGGTTTTTGGAGTTGGGATCTTAGAGAATGGTGTTTTGGGAAGGTTATGTGAGTGATGAAACGATGGGGACATTTGCCCCAATAGTGGTGTACTGGCTGTACGCTGGGTTCTATCAGATTCTGCCGCCGTTGGATCAGTATCGATTGCATACAAGGAAAGAAGAAGAGAAGAGGAATCTGGTGCCGTTGGGTAGTGTGGTTAAGGGCGTTGTGATTCAGCAGCTGGTGCAGATTGGTGCAGCTCATTTGCTCTTCTTGGTAAGTCATGCTCCTCAAAGCCTCCCCCTTTACTTCACTGATTTATGTCCTGCTGGTTCTGTTATAAATGTTCTTGTGAATCGAATGCAATATGCAATTGGCAGAATTCTTGATAAGGCTATCAGTTATTAGGATGTGTTCCGAAATCATCGAGCTGTGTTTGATGGGGTCTTTTTCGTGTTACTGGCTTGGTGGTTCTTCAACTATAGGTTTGTGTCGAACTCGAACACATTGATGCAAACCACTGTTGGAGTTCGATTTGCATGCTATCTCTTGGGAGAATTATCAATGTCATGTGTTTTCTAAAACACTTTTAATGGAGTTTTCAACTGATGGAAAGAATTTTGAGAAGTTCATTATTATCATGGCTTATGATCAGCCTTCTTCAATAAAACGGCATCTCTTATATCATGTATTATCATGGCCTATGATCAGCCTTCTTCAATAAGAACACGAGAAAGAGCCCGATTCCTCAGTAGCAAGTTAGTGTCAAAAGGTGTGGAATGGTTCAACCCCGAAAAAAATTCTATATGTAGGAGGAATACAGTCTCTGTTGCTGGAATAGAATTCAGCTTATAGATGGGAGTGGTTTATATAGTAGGTGTTAGAAAGTAAAGTCTGAAATTGCAACTTCTGCGGAGATTGGATCTGATGCGTCCTCCTAGGTTTGCATAATCCCTCTTTCCATGTTTCATTTTGGTTTGTACCATTGTGTATGGGAAGAAGAAGCAAGTTATTGAAGAGACAGAAGTATGTGTCCTGTCACCAAGTTCCTTCTGTTGCTTATCACTAGGCAATTAGGCAAATTCTCTGACCTTTTACTTGATTTTTGATTTGGAACAGGAATTGCAAACTTGAGTAAGATACATATATCAGATAGTTTAAACTAGAAGATAAGCTAGAAGCTCAATAGTAACTAGGCTGTTTCTAGTAATTACTAATGACTACTACTCCGCTGTTTCCTATTTCTTGCAGTTGACATCAACTACAGCTGCATCTGAGATTGTCATCCAACCCTCCGTTCCTCTCCAAATCGTCCAGATCGTTCTAGCAATGTTTGTCATGGACACATGGCAGTACTTCGTTCATCGCTACATGCATCAGAACAAATTCCTATACCGCCATGTACATTCTCAACACCATCGTTTGGTCGTCCCTCATGCCATTGGAGCCCTGTACAACCACCCACTGGAGGGTCTCTTGCTCGACACAGTTGGAGGTGCAATCTCCTTCCTCGCCTCTGGGATGACCGCGAGAACGGGGGTGATCTTCTTCTGCTTCGCCACGGTGAAAACAGTCGACGACCACTGTGGACTCTGGTTGCCTGGCAACATTTTCCATCTGTTCTTCGCCAACAACTGTGCCTACCACGACATCCATCACCAGCTCCAAGGTACAAAGTACAACTACTCCCAGCCGTTCTTCCCCTTATGGGACAAGCTCCTGGGGACTCATATGCCGTACGTTCTTGTGAAGCGAGCCGAGGGAGGCTATGAGGCTAAGTTGATGAAAGACTAGTTCCCAACTTGTGAAAGTTTGTGGTCTTTTACTCATCTCTCACAGCAAAGTTCTTAAACTTTTGGATTGGGGTTTTTTGCCGGAATTCATAGGGAGTTTGAAGAAATAGAATTGTTTGTTGAAGTCTGTCTGACCATTTATGACATATAGGGCCGAGTTGGGTAATGGTAAATTTGTTGTGAAGGATATTGTCTGATGTCCTTGCATTGTGCCATCATGTTGTATATTAGTGATTGCTGCTATCTTTGGCCTTTTGGACTCTGTAAAATATGTTGAGTTTGTGGAGCTTGAGATGTGGAGTTGCTTGGTGTTTCTTGAATCACAATCGTTGTGCATGGTATCAACACAGGAATTGAGTTTAACATTAATAATTACATGATAATGGTATAATCTATCGTGCCCGTGGGATATGAGTTTAAAGAAGTGCATTTCTACAATCGTCGTGCATGATATCAACACAATCGACATATCACATTGTTACTTGTTCATTATTTGTTCATTATTTTCGTCATGCGGTCAACTGTTTTGAAATACATGAACCATTTCTTTTTACAGTATATAAAATATATAAAAAGCAACTTAGTTACTCTTTACATATAATTTGATGGTAAAATTAAAAAGAGATATATGATCACGGTATCTCGTTTTGACCCGTTTCGACCGCCAACTAGTATAAATTTGAGAAGTCTCAAGTTTCAATTATTGAATAGTGGAAATTGGATGGCCAATGGATCACATCTTCATTTGACCAATTTTGGCAAAGGTTGTCAAAAGGGGATGGATCTTTTCCATTAGGCATGCGCAATGCATGATTGCAAAATTTGCCACTAGCTCACACTTTATCATGTGATGATGGACACCAATTACTACCACAAAGTAATTATAAGTTTAATGAAAAAGGAGCAGTGAAAAGTGCCAAATTACAGTTTAGGATTTAACACTTGCTTTCCCACTTCTTTTTAGTTACTTGTAACTTATTTTGTTTCATTAATTTAACATCTTACTAAAAAGCTACTTTTTATTTAAAAGAAAGAAATTTAGGGTAATTTTCTAAATAATCAATAATTTTACTTTAATGACGGATGAGGATCCTTTTATTAATGTTAAAAATTAACTCGAATCACCATAATGGTAGATTCAAATTATGTCACTTGATTTTTCAGCAATGGTCTATTTAGGCATCACCCAAAAGAGAAATCTTAAGCAACATTCATTAATTTTGATTTGTCATATAGAATTTAGAATGGTGGTACTTCTTTTTTTACCAAAAGGTTGAACTTTTCTTATTTATTGGCATGATGATGCCAATGGTCATAACTCCAAGCCACAAGTATAACCAATAAATGATGCTAATCCAAAAGGATTGAAGACTAGACAATGACTCTTCTTTAACCTACAATTTATGTATTTGACCAAGTTTATTACATGTCTATATTTTGAAGAAAGAATTTAACATATGAGAAAAAAGTGGCTAAAAGTTTCTTATAAAATGAATTTCACTTCAAATTCCCACTTTTAAAATCAGTCTTACTAAGTCAAATGCACATCTAAGCATGCTGATTTTTGCAATGTTGACGATTTGAATCGTGAGGTTAATCCGAACCTCGGATACGTGGTGTCAAAAAATTGTATCTCTTCTCAAATTGGATCTTTTTTTAAGTATGTAAAATCATCATTCTTGCCAATTTGTTTCGCAGAATACCAAATGATGTTAGATCTGTTTTGCTTGAAAATGTATGTAAATATTATGTTAGAACGGATTGAATAATCGAAAATACAAGAAAGTAAAGAGCACATGTGACTCACTAACATGATGTGCATTAGCTACGTCCACAGGTAGAAGAGAGCAGTTTCGCCATACTTTAGAATGTATATATAGTACTTTCTCCATACAAACTAACATAATCCAATCTGAAAAATAAAAGGTTACAGACCAAGCACAAACGTGTATAAGTCCATAAACGGTGAGAATTCCATGACTTCTAATCCTTAAATCTCAAATTATATCATCATATTCAAATAAAGGAATCCTTACATTTCAAGCTTGTTAATGATTGTTTAGGTGAATTCTTAAATTCCAAAGTGTGTGTTGGGTGAACAAATCCATCTTGATTATTATTAGCTATGTAAGTCATTAGACGACAAAGCAAAGGCACAAAATATTGGAAAGGGAAGAGGGATTGACCACCAAACCAAACAAAATTATTATGTGCATATATGCGCCCTGTCCCTTTCAAAATTCCCCTCTTGGAATGAAATGAATAGGGGTGCGTTTGGATACAAGGATTTGGATTTGGTATTTGTGATTTGGATTTTCAAATACCAAATTATGTGTTTGGATATTAATTACATTTGGTATTTGGATTTGTGTCAAATTCATGGGGTGATTTCCAAATACATGTCTAGTGTATTTTTTGTCAACTTCAAATATATTTCAACAACTAGTGATTTGAAATACCTCCTAACAAAAGAATGGACCTATTTGTAAAATATGAAAAGTTTAGGTACTATAGTGTGAGGCAAAACATATAAAGGTACCAAAATGTAATTTTACCATCAAAATTTCAGGATCTTTTTGTAAAATTTTAAAAGTTTAGGTACTAAATTGTAAGAAAAAATAATTTCGGGTACCAAACTGTAATTTACCAAAATTTGTAGTAAGTTGCCAGAAAATTAAAAATTGAAATTGACAATCATAAATACAAAAATACAAACAAATTACAAATGAGTATCCAAACAATGAATTTGAATTACATGTATTTCAAATGCTAATACTTCAAATACATCCATTTCAAATGCTAGTATTTCAAATACCTTACATTTAAAATACACTTATCCAAACGCACCCTAGATCAAGTCTTTTCACTAGGCACACTAATAAAGAAACACAACACAATTTGATATTGGTATATGGTTTCAATTACTCAAAAGACTTGATAATTAAGGGGTTTGTAATTTTGCAAACTTTGCTTGCTCGTAATTTTGCGTTTGAATATATGATTGGAGCAAATTTGTTTGTTTTGTATAACATCTCAAAAGACAAATAAATTTTATTATAGAATTATTTTTCACAACATAAGGTTGAAAATAAAATATAAAGTTATACGATTTTTCCTCGATTCTTAAATGTAAGTTTTCAGTCTAGTCAATGTGATTCTCATATCTATAAGCACCGTGAACTCATAGCTTCTGAACTTTGAAATGTAGTCTTAAGGATCTTTGCCAACCATCAGAAGGTATGTGACGACTTAGGGACCGGAGGTGTGAGGTTGTCGACGGGTCTAGAATCTATATATGGAGGTGGGAAGTTCAACAACGAGCCTTCTCGCCGATTACATGAATTTGAGGGATAATAGGCAGGAATGACGGGAAGGTATGGACTCCGGAGCTCGATAGGGATCAGATCTGATTACTGGTGGTCCAAGGTTGTCGTCTGGTGGGAGGGAGCTTCGCTGAAGGGTCTAGATCCAGCGGGAGGGAGATTGCCAGAGGATCTAGGTTCTAGTGGAAGGGAAGTCGATGATGGACTCGAAAAGAAAGGACTTTTTTGGCAGTTTGATTGATAATGTTCGTTTGGACACGTTAGGCTGATTCCACGGTTGATACCAACCAACACTAAAGATTTCACTGGTCACATGTACCATTCTAGATCAAGGCCAATTGTTTGATTTTTTTTTTTCCGATTCGACCGGTCGATCTGGTATAGTAATCCATGTAAAATTAAGCTATGGATTATATTGGTTGAAATTAAATTAAATAAAGCTACACACGATTGAGATGTAGCATTAATCCAAACAGCATGGGCCAACTCGCCACCTCCCAAGCCCTAAACGCCGTTATCATCACAGATTTTGGGGACCGTATATCTGAGATGGAGTGGGCCCCACTTGAACCTTCGACGTTTTGACCGGAGAGAGAAGCCTGCGCAACGGTGCTGCCCGCCTAACTTTTCCAGATTTTTTTAGCTCTTTCAATATGTTTATATTTTTATTGAATTTTTTTTTAATCTTTGTAATTTCTATCAATATATTTTTTAATGTTAACTAATTTAAAAAATTTCCCCGTTGAATAACTCTTTTAAATTTCGTAAATTTATATATCGTAAAAGACTACGAATTTTGTTGGTTTAATCTCTTTGTCCGTTTTTTTTTTCCCACTGCGTTCGGGCAGTAGTAACTCCGTCCGGGCAGCATTCTTAAAATTTAATTTATTGTTCACAGCAATATATAAACGAAGAAAAGATAATTCATAATCTCTTACTTATTTTTTTGCCCCCCGCCTTTTCTTTTTGTTATAAAATTTTCAGCTGGGCTTGCTGGCACACTTCTTTCTTTACTTCCTACTCCTCTCTCTCAGCTAAAGTGTTGCAGTTGCATTTGCAGCAGCTAGAAAGCTAGAAAAGTAAAAAAACTATATTTTTTTTCTGCTCGTTCAGCTTCTTCTCCTTCTTGAATCCCATAAAAGCGAAATGGCAGTGAATTTTTATTTCTGAGTTCTCCTTTTCTGCTGGTTTTATCCCCTTTATTTTTTAACTGCCTGTTCCCTTTTTGGGGTTGGGTGAGTAAATGAGCAAGGCAGAGTGAGTGAGGAACCAGAGAGAGAGAGAGAGAGAGAGAGAGAGAGAGAGAGAGAGAAGGAAGGAAAGGGGAGCTGGGATTTTTTCTGGGTATGTATTTGTTGTTGCTAAGGTGGTGATTTGAGAGATAATGTTGGGGTTTTGAAGCTTAAGCATGGCAACTTTCTAGGGTTTTAATCTGTACCATTTCTTTTTGTTTCTGGGTTTGCAGCTCCCCCTGGAGCGTCTTTTCTGGGGAATGGTGGGTTGGGGTTTGGATCTGAGGAGGAGATTTAGTGGTTGATGTCTGAAGAGCTCTGGCGGTGGTAGTGATGGAGAGGGAAGTTTCTGCTGTGGTTCCTGTTTGGTTGATCTTCTTGTTGCTGCTGCTGCAACCTTCATGGCTAGTCCTTGGTAATATGGAAGGTATGTTGCTGGGTTTTTTTGGCCCTTGCTGGAGTTGGTTTGTTAAGCATTTGCATTGTTGCCTTCTTCTTGCGATCTTTGGTTCCTTTAGCTGGGAAGGAAATTCTGATCTTCATTTCTGATTAATGAGTTGATTCCTGCAAATGAGATTCATCTCTTTTTATCCTTCAATAGTTCTCAGGATTGAGGGTCTTGGTAATGGTGTTGAAATCTCCTTTGGTTGGTTTCATCTGTTCATAATCTGGATTAGCTAGTCTTGTCAAGCGTTGAGCCTGGATGCTTGTTGATTTTTGAGTTTATATCTGTGGCAGCTGCCTTCCTTTTCTCTGTTCTTTGTCCCACTTCCCTTCATTGTCATTTCTATTTCTCCATTTTAAAGTTGGTCTATTTGCCATTTGGTTTAATGCTTACATTGTGGATGGTGGAGACTTGTGGGACATGTTCAGTGATTTGGGGTGTACTTCTTCGAATCGCCATCTGATGAATGATGATTTCCTAGTGAAATTGATTATCTTATTGCTGCATTCGTTACCATTTATCGATTGAACAAGTTCATGGTGTACGGTCAGATGCTCATAGTTCACACATCGAGTTGATTTATTTGACTAGAGTAGCTATTGATTGCCTAGCAACTCACTGGAGGTTTGCAGCTTTGCTTCTTTGACGATGTAGAATCCACAGTACCTAATTCGTTTGTATTTCTTGCTTTTGGAACAGGCGATGCTTTGCACAGCCTGAGGACCAACTTGTTCGATCCGAACAACGTTCTGCAGAGTTGGGATCCTACCCTTGTGAACCCCTGCACATGGTTCCATGTAACGTGCAACAATGATAACAGTGTCATCAGAGTGTGAGTCTTGTTAGTCAACAAGACGCTTGCAATTGCAGTTCGCACTACTTAATTACTACCAAACAGCTGAGCTAATGGATTTGCCATGTTGATATTTCAGAGATCTCGGGAATGCAGCGTTATCTGGTCAGCTTGTTCCCCAACTTGGCCAACTTAAGAACTTGCAGTACTTGTAAGTCATGCTGTCTCACTTGAATTTTACCTTCAAGGATTTATTTTTTCTTTGTCGTTCACATATTTCCAGTATCTTTAGGATGCTTGTGCTGCTTCCGTTGTCCCTTATGCATCACCTTCCTTTTCTTGTTTGACAGGGAACTATACAGTAACAACATAAGTGGTCCAATTCCAAGTGATCTTGGGAATTTGACTAACTTGGTCAGCTTGGATCTTTACTTGAACAGTTTCAATGGCCCCATACCAGCATCTTTAGGCAAGCTGTCGAAGCTAAGATTCCTGTAAGTCCCCTTTCTCAGATTCTCCTCTTTCTGCTATATTCAACAAATCTCTCAACTCTCAACCAATGGAACCAAGTATTCAAAATGTAACACTTCTGCACCTATTACTTGTAAGTTGCAAATTTCCCCACCCGACCTCTCTGCTTAGTACATTATTGTTTGTCCTGTTTCTGCAAGGGTAGGCGGCTTAACAACAACAGCTTGACTGGTCCAATTCCCATGTCTTTGACTAACATCTCGTCTTTACAAGTGCTGTAAGTTCTCATATGCTAACTATATGTCATGAACAGTCCAATTTCTAAGTTCGTTGCAAAAAGTACCATGTGCACTTACTGAATCATGGAATGCAGGGATCTCTCAAACAACCGTCTTTCCGGGGTGGTTCCAGATAATGGTTCTTTCTCACTATTCACTCCTATAAGGTTGGCAATTTGTTGGAATTCCTCCAAACCATGGGTTACCAGTAACCAAAACCCATCTCAGGATTCTTTTTGCTCTCTGCAGTTTTGCTAACAACTTGGATCTCTGTGGGCCAGTTACTGGTCATCCTTGTCCTGGTTCCCCTCCATTTTCACCTCCCCCTCCATTTGTTCCACCTCCACCAATTTCGGTACCAGGTTTGGATGCTCTAGAAAGGACTTTAATACACTGTGCTTGCCTTACTGCATTTTCTTTTGACAATTGGTCTGAATAACGCCAAGTGCTTTTAGAGATTCACTGATCTGCTGCTACATGTTTTAGGAGGGAATAGTGCTACTGGAGCAATAGCTGGCGGGGTTGCTGCCGGTGCGGCTTTGTTGTTTGCTGCCCCTGCAATAGCATTCGCGTGGTGGCGTCGAAGGAAACCACAGGAGTTGTTCTTTGATGTACCTGGTAAGCCTCTTGCGAAGGATCAAGTTCTTTGAAGCTCCTTCAATGCCTTCGGGTCTCAAATGGTAACCTCTATTTTGCAGCGGAAGAGGATCCTGAAGTTCATCTGGGGCAGCTGAAGAGGTTTTCATTGCGAGAATTACAAGTCGCGTCAGACACCTTCAGCAACAAAAACATTCTGGGCCGAGGAGGATTTGGTAAGGTGTACAAAGGTCGCCTCGCAGATGGCACGTTGGTGGCAGTTAAAAGACTGAAGGAGGAGCGGACTCCTGGAGGAGAGCTGCAGTTTCAAACAGAGGTTGAGATGATTAGCATGGCTGTCCACCGCAATCTCCTGAGATTACGAGGCTTTTGCATGACACCAACTGAGAGATTACTTGTTTATCCCTACATGGCAAATGGAAGTGTTGCCTCATGCTTGAGAGGTAAAAGCTTCCGAAAGAATTCTTCTGTCTCTCTTAACTGTCTCCTTAAAGTTGCTTTAGTATGTTGGGTTGTTTATGCTTATGTTTTCTTCTCTATGACTCGTGATTGTAGAGCGCCCACCATCACAACCTCCTCTTGACTGGCCAACTCGGAAGCGAATTGCACTGGGATCTGCTAGGGGCTTATCTTATTTGCATGATCATTGTGATCCAAAGATCATCCATCGTGATGTGAAAGCCGCCAATATATTGCTAGATGAGGAATTCGAGGCAGTTGTTGGAGACTTTGGGTTGGCTAAATTGATGGACTACAAGGACACTCATGTCACCACTGCTGTCCGTGGTACGATAGGCCACATTGCTCCAGAATACCTCTCCACCGGGAAATCATCTGAGAAAACTGATGTTTTTGGGTATGGGATTATGCTCCTTGAGCTAATTACTGGACAGAGAGCATTCGATCTTGCTCGGCTTGCTAATGACGACGATGTCATGTTGCTCGATTGGGTATATGCTTACGATATTTATGGTTTTCCTTCTTACTTGCATGTAGACCATCATTAATTCACATTCAGCCATGTCTCCATTTCTTTTTGGTGAAGGCAATGTAAAAGAAAGCAGTCATCTAACTGTTGCAACTAAACATATGTCACTCAGGTAAAAGGACTTCTGAAGGAGAAGAAGCTGGAGATGCTGGTGGACCCTGATCTTCAGAACAACTACGTTGATTCCGAAGTGGAGCAGCTCATCCAGGTTGCTCTTCTCTGCACACAAGGTTCCCCTATGGACAGGCCGAAGATGTCCGACGTGGTGAGAATGCTCGAAGGAGACGGTCTGGCCGAGAGATGGGACGAATGGCAAAAGGTGGAAGTTCTGCGACAAGAGGTGGAGCTAGCCCCTCACCCGAACTCCGATTGGATCGTCGATTCGACGGAGAATCTACATGCAGTCGAGCTGTCTGGTCCGAGGTGATAGATTGTTGATTACCACCCCATTGGCACATTTACAACTAAAAGAAAAGGGAGGGGAAAAAATGAAAAAGCTTTTTCTTTTTTTCTTAATCCTTTCATTTTTTGATCATATTTTGCTTCCCATGATGAATGAATGTAACCCTGATTCCGGCGGGCCATGCAAAGATCCGTTTCTTCTGAATTTGTATTCATTTTTTGTGCATATGAATCAGTCGGCTTGTTGAGAGGTGCATATCATTGTTTCGTCCATCCATCCACGAGGAGGCCTATTCTATCTAACAAAACTTAGGAATATTCATGTAACGAGAGCTTCAAATTGTGAAATCAGTGTTGATTACTGCAGCCTTCATTACTGTGTAACCCAGAGCTTTTTGGGTGAGGGCGAAAGTTTGGAGCTTGTTTCATTTTCGTATCATTTTCTTTTTATTATGTCGAAACCTACTTTTGTTTTGGTATCTAGTTTTGCATTCTTAGTCATCTTTCTCTTACTGGAGCTCTAATAGAAAATTTCTCGTTCGTGTCCTCGAAAGCTCCCAACTTTCCTCGATCCTCATCCCAGCAGCAACATTTGGGTCGCCATCGTCTATCAACTTTCAAGCGTTTCTGCGTTCATATTTTGATTTCGGCATGCAAATGGAAAATGGGTAAACGGCGGCGATACGTGCCCGCCGTTTCTCGATGGAAGCTGAGGTCCGAGTTCCGACGTCTGCATCTCCGTAAGTACCATCTTTGAATTTCTCACTTTCGGGCTATGACTATTCGTATAATGGTGCATGATAAAGAGAGTTTCTTTTTGGCGTTTACTTATAATTCTTCCTGCCACTGAACTTAACTTACTGCAGAAAAAGCACCGAGGCATATTAGGACAAAGAATTTTCATTACAAAACACCCTAATAAAAAGAAGAAAAGAAAGATTCAGTCATAACAAAACGTGTGGAAATTGGTAGTAAAATAGAATGTTGAGTGAGGGATAAGATTCTCTATATAATTAGAGCCTTTCATTGCAGTGTTTGCGTTTTGGTTGACTGTTGTGTTTTCTTATTCTTCTTCTTGCGCAGACTTGGTGGGTTTGGTTGGTGGTTTGAATCTGGGGAATATTAGTGCTTGACGTGAGAAGGGCTGCAGCCTGGAGGGATTTGATGGGGGAAGTTTTTGGTGTTGTTCCCTTATGGTTGATCTTCTTGTTCCTGCAGCCATTATTATGGCTGCTTGCTATGGGGAACTTGGAAGGTACTGCTCGTTTATCTTTTGTTTTCCTCTAGTATGTTATGGGGGCCTTTCAAGTTATTTGATGTGTTTTCTCTGGCTGTTAAGCATAGAATTCTAGTATGTTCGAATGCAAAATTAATTGATTGCTACTTGCTGGAGTCTGCACTTAATTACTGTTGTCTTTGCTTTGGAACAGTCGATGCTTTGAGCCGCCTAAGGAACAACTTGCATGATCCGCGCCATGTTCTGGACAGTTGGGAATTGGGATCCTACCCTTGTGAGCCCCTGCACATGGATTCATGTTGCATGCAACAATACTGATCAAAGTGTCGTCAGACTGTGAGTCGGTTTCTTTCAGATTTTAGCCCTTGGCATTCATCAACTACTAGAAACAATACCCACGGCTACGCCGCGGGGAGTATCTTGCAATTACATGTTCAATTTTGTCCAGTATCTTTTAAAAGCAGTATAGCAGAAACAGAAAATAGTTAGAAATTAAATAATAAAAGAGTACGAAGAATACAGGGAAAAGGATCGATGGGCAAGCTAAAACTTGGGCTAATACAAAGAAGGAACTCATCCTACTGCCAAACAAAACCACTTATAAGAGCGATTGGTATCGTTCAACTGAGTACATCTAACCATTTACTTTTGTTTACAGTCCAAGTAGCAGTGGTATCCCTTGAAAGTAGTGGAGCAGGACTTGGCACAGCAGTAGCAGCCACAAAGCTTCAAGGACATTCTATACGACTTTCCTTTACTTTCCCGAACCCCATCTGCAGAAAGGTTAGTAACAAAAGCAGCATATCAACGACGACACAACATATGTTCAGTTTCAACTCTCTGTATAGTCATTTGCTAAAAGAGAAACACTCGGAGATTGAACATGAAGACTTCCCATATCAAGCAATTTGGCAACGGATCCCTACTAATTTGCACAAATTGTTTAGCTTTCAAGGCAAATTAATGTAAATAATCCAGAAACCTAACGTCTATAACTTCTTGTGCTTTGCCATCTAAACAACCCTTACCATATTCATACTTGCCCAAACAAAGTCAGCTAGGAAATGTCTACCAAGTGTGTCTTGTACTTATTTCACAGATCACTATTGAAGACATTAATATAAGTGTTTTTCTTAGTTGTGGTAGCTTCCTCAGACTTGGTTATGCTGTATCTACAGTTGCTGTTGTGCTGCTACTGCCACTCCTGGTTATCTGCAGAATCCGCCGTCGGAGGAAAAGAGCGAGATACTGACTGCAAAGTAACTGAAACAGAATAAAAACGACCTTCTGAATGGATTTTTGGAGACAAATGGATTGATCAAACTCGATACGTATCTGTAGCTTCAGATTGCCTTCTTCGCTGAAGAGGTTGATGGAGCTGCATCGCGGTGGCTGTCTGAATGGTCTTCGGTTAAGAGTGATCTTGTGTAATTCTTCCTACCTCAAGCTCAATCAAGTCAAGCAGATCACGGGCAAGCGTCAAGAAACACATATTAGAAGTGAATGTACTTCTGCATACAATCAAAAGAAAAGGAAATACCAGGAGAAAACAAATGAATGGCATTACCTTGCATTCTCTCTGAATTCGTTCAGCATAAATGTCCAAATGTAGTTCCCCCATTCAGAAAGAATAGAATGCATGTGAGTTCATTCTAAGCATTACTTGTATCCTTTAAGAAATAATGAATGAAGAAAGAAAGAGTTATTACACAAACCTGACGCAATCCAACACGGAAGTGGGATCTTCTCTCTTGAAGAGGTTAAAAGCAATTGAAAAACTGTAGAATGGAAATTGACCTCTGAATCTGATGCAGCTCATCATCATTGGTGGGCTTCCTCCTTGTAGAGCATCATCATTATTTCCCTCTTCTTTTCAGTTCACAATTCCTGCAACCACACAACAGAGTTTGGTCAAACTCGAAGCTTTTTAACATGAAACAATACCATGAGTGCAGACATGTTATCACTATTTGCTTCAGCAGCCTGCCTGAACTATTCTATGTTGATGTTTCCCTTTACAACAGTTCCAACAGCAGAAGTTTTCATTCCACACATGACAGCAACTGCAGGATTTGTCCCATGCACTGAAACATGAACGATGCAAACATTACGGTGGTGATCTCTCTTGCCTGCAGTATAAGTACTCCATTATGATTAAATTAACGAACTAAGAATAAAATATGAAGAAAAAGAACAGACTGAAAGGAATTCTTGACCCTGTATTTAGGGCTTCGCCATGCAGTGAATCGGAAGGGTAGTTTTCATGAAAAATTTCATCTACCAACCGAAACACGCAAATGAGAAAAGCTGGTTAATTCTCATGGGTTGGAACTGTGACTCACAATCAATTAGAAGGAAGAACTTTAGAGATCTGTTTCATTCCTTCTCCAGTAAAGTAATCAGAGTCAGCAACATGAGTGTGATCATTTCTACAAATCACATTACATTAGCACCTGAGCTCTTCCAAGTGAAAATGTTGGAATTAGGACCTTCCCTCCAGCAACACGGTCATGGACCTACATGAGCAATTTCAGTTGGCACTTTTTAAAGGGCACAAACATGTATAAAGTTGGACACTGAATCTCTTCGAGTTATAGACATGCAGTAAAGCATCAATTACAGAGAAAATGCAATACACATACTACATCGAATAATGCAAGATACACATAACTTTGAAATTACAGGCCACTGATGGCTCTTATTCCCAACAACAATGTCGTGCTTCTAAACACAGGAGATCTCAGTAATATGATATCTTAGAGAGTCATTCTTCTCAGAAATACAGGCTGGGAGCCTGCACAGCATCTAAAGGCAATGTCGGATAAACCATATCAAAACACATGGTTGCCCGCCTGAGCGATTATGTCCAGACTTCAAGTGGAGCAAATATAGCTGCATGGCAGTCTAAAATTGACAGCAGATAAAAGGGCACATACAGATCTTGAACTTCCACTACTTTCTCAATGGATTCATTTTGGGCTTCTCAACCAGTAAAATCTTAAAAGCAGTTACTATGTAAGCAGCACATATAGAAGCGCCTACTCTGTGGGTGAAAGGAATGGGAAAAATGTCCAGTAAACAAACTGAATTGGAGGGAACCAACCATGAGAAAGGGAAGGAAAGACCTACTGACCAATTGGGAAACAAATGCAGAAGACAAAAATCTTATTTGCATCAAAGAAAAATTCTACTTCCCTCACCATTTCACCATCTTTCTCACCTCCCACATCATCATTCAAATCAATGCAATGAATTAGTATTAAGTATTAGCAACTACCTAGGAATAAATTTGTTTTGAACTGGCATGAGTATCTATAAGCAAGCTAACAATTGAAGAAACAATTTAGTTGAACACAAAACAATGTTACTATATGAGTTGACGTTTGGAACTTGAGCTGCTTACCATTTTCTTGTTTCTCAGTTTGGAACTTGAGAACTGTCGAAGCTTCTGATCCAAAGGTATCCAAATTTCTCTTAGGCCACGAAGTATTGATTAAACTCTGTTCAACTCCCCGGTTTCGTATCTTTTCATCTTCCTCGCCGATCCCAACCCTAATCCCTAAAGTTGAGCTTCTTCTTCCCTTCTGCTTGGAAACAATTAAGCTTTCAAATCGCCAAACTCTGACTCTACCTTCCCTTTCCAGCTATAGTCAACATTCATGGAGCCAAGCAATTCATTGGTTAATCGACGTCTCTAAGGAAACCACCAAAGAACAAAATCCCAAAAATCAGAACCCACATTGGCAAATCCAACAAAGTTCGGAACTTGGGACAGAATCCAACTCACATCTACGACTAAAAATCCGGAGAAAACGAAGAAGAGAAAATCTACTCACCATCGTCTTCACCAGCCACCGGTGGGCCGGCCTCTTCCACCTTGGTAAGGCCCCTCTTCTCCGATCATTGTTCCTCTGCGTCTAACGCTTTCATCCAGCGAGTCATTCTTGTCTACTCTTTCATGTAGCGATTTCAGTGTGGACGAATCAATGGAAGAGGGATGGGTAAATAATCAGGCAGAGGGAGGGTGAGACGACACAAAGAGGCAACAAAATGGGGAACATAGTAAGAAAAGGATCGAGTAGGAGGTAGAGACAAACTGGGGGACCAATGGAGTCCAATCGTCCCGTAGTCGACGGTAACCCATTCATCGAGAGGAGCAGGGTGAGAGCTGTACGATTCATGGGTGGTTACGTGTGTAAGCATATGGGAAGAGGACCATTCGAACTGAGCAGTTGAAGGAGAGCAGGAACCATGGGCGGTATCGTGACCAGCAGAGCTTTGCCAAGCGGTGTCGTGTGAGAGCAAGCAAACGGAAAGCGTGTGGCTGCCTTCAGAGAGGTGACGTCTGTAGCAGTGCGCGTACGGACGACATGGGCATCTGCTGGAATTGGGAGAAACCATGCCGGCGACACAAAGCAGTTGGGAGGAGTTTTTTCGCGAAGGCCTTGATAGGCGCTAGAAGACAGAAAATGATACAGTAATAGGCAAAAAAGCGTACCCAGCTTTTATGTATAGAAAGAATGTATGTACCCTACGGTTTGCAGTCACACTTCTATGTTCATACCAAACATCTCTGCTGAAGCATTATCTTGTCAATCTTTCAGGGATCTTGGGAATGCTGGTTTGTCTGGTCAACTTATTCCCGAACTTGGGCTGCTTAAGAATCTGGAATACTTGTAAGTCATGCAGCCTGAATTGAGAAACACTAGTCAAAATTTCTACTTGATTGCCAATAAATGAGCTTGCTTGTAATGGGTGCATGATTCCAGTTTGCACGTAGCTAGGAGTATGATGGTGCATCTGCTATCAAAAAGATACTCGTGGGTCTCTTTTAGTAAATTTATTTTTCCTTTTCACCTTATTTTGGCTAAGCTAAGCAGTAAGCAGGCATTTGTATATCTTGAAATTGAGCCTACTTGGGCAGCAATGTAGTAAAGGCTGCTCAAGCTGAATTCACCAAAATTTGAATGCTTCTACCATCTGGTGCATAAGCTGGTTACGGTAGGAACAGTCTCTTGTTATCCGACTCCCCAGGTTTCTTCTGCTTTATTGAATAGATGTAAAGCGACTGCCAAGTCTTTGAATGCATCTTTATGTTTCTCATTAGCATATTTTCAGTTTATCTTCAGACATATCTGCTCTTTTGAAATTTTATTCTGCATGAACAACAATCTTTCTATTTTATTTTTAACAGGGTATTATCTGACAATAACATTAGTGGTCCAATTCCAAGTGAACTTGGGAATTTGGCTAACTTGGTCACCCTGGATCTTTACTTCAATGATCTCAATGGCCCCATACCAGAATCATTGAGCAAGCTGCCGAAACTGAAATTCCTGTTAGACTACTTTCTCTATTGTTCTATATATTCGACATCCTGTTAATGCTTCCATATCTACTCATCTCTATCAACGGAACCAGGATCATGGAAATTGAAACTGTTGCACCTAATGTTTTTTTTTCTTTTTCCTTGCCTTGGCAAGAATAGGCGGCTTAATAACAACAGTTTGACAGGTTCGATTCCCATGTCGTTGACTAACCTTTCATCATTACAAGTTCTGTAAGTGCTCTTGTTTGAAATATATGTGATGCAAACAGTGGTCTACCCCAGGAGATAGACTAGTTTGACGTGAAACTGCCATGTGCTCTCATTGTATCCTGCAATACAGGGATCTCTCAAATAACCGTCTTTCTGGGTTGGTTCCAGATAGAGGTTCCTTTTCAAAGTTCACTCCCATAAGGTTGGCAATTTGTTGGGATATTTTTTTCAAACGCTGGGACTTGGAGGGTACTGTTCTACAAAACCCATCTCAGGATGCAGTTTCTCTCTCTGTCTGCAGCTTTGATAACAACTTGGATCTCTGTGGACCAGTTACTGGGAATCCTTGCCCGGGTTCTCCTCCGTTTTCCCCACCTCCACCTCCACTTGTTCCTCCAGCATCAGATTCGGTACCAGGTAATACTTCAGAAACAGACGTGTGTGTTTTGTTAATGTGCCTGTCATCTATAGAGCAACAACGGTTAGTTCAAGCTCCAGGAAAAGGCTAGTTGTTGCTATATTTTTTTCCTCTTTTATCTGCTGGATTGAAGCTTTATCTCTTAATTGCATTTGCTTTGGACTAGTAACGCTTAAGTGTTTATCGAGATTCACTGCTCTGCTTATGGAAGCATTAGGAAGGAATGGTGCTACTGGGCCGATAGCTGCTGGAGTTGCCGCTGGTGCAGCTTTGTTGTTTGCTGCTCCTGCAATAGCACTTGCTTGGTGGTGTCACAGGAAACCACAGGATCTATTCTTTGATGTACCAGGTAAGTCTGACTCAAAGTCAAAAGTATTGGGATCTCTCGGATGACTATAGGCTGAAACTTTTTCACTATATTTTGGAGCAGGAGATGATCCTGAAGTTCAGCTGGAACTGCTGAAGAGGTTTTCACTACGAGATTTACAAGTTGCCACAGACACCTTTAGCAACAAACACATTCTGGGTAGAGGAGGATTTGGTAAAGTCTATAAAGGTCGTCTTGCAGATGGCTCATTGGTGGCAGTTAAAAGACTGAAGGAGGATCACACACCAGGAGAAGAGTTGCAGTTTCAAAGAGAGGTAGAGATGATAAGCTTGGCTGTCCATCGCAATCTCCTACGATTAATTGGCTTTTGCATGACACCAACTGAAAGATTGCTTGTGTATCCCTACATGGCAAATGGAAGTGTTGCTTCGTGCTTGAGAGGTAAAACCTTTTTACATTGCAGTTATCTCCTGAATGTTGAATTTGTTCCCTTAATCTGTCTGATTCCGTCTTTTTCCTCCTTGAATGATGCTGTTACAAATTGTTCATACTTGTTCTCTGTCTTCTGTCACATTATGGACTCATGATTTGTAGAACGATCACCATCACAACCTTCTCTTGACTGGCCAACTCGGAAGCGAATTGCACTGGGATCAGCTAGGGGCTTATCTTATTTGCATGATCATTGCAATCCAAAGATCATTCATCGTGATGTAAAAGCCGCCAATATATTGTTAGACGAGGAATTTGAGGCTGTTGTTGGAGACTTTGGGTTAGCTAAATTGATGGACCGTGGGAAAACTCACGTCACTACAGCTGTCCGTGGTACGATAGGCCATATAGCTCCAGAATATCTTTCTGCTGGGATGTCATCTGAAAAGAGTGATGTCTTTGCTTACGGGATCATGCTTCTGGAGCTAATCACTGGGCAGAAGCCATTGAATCTCGTTCGGCTTGCATGTGACAACGACGCCATGTTACTTGATTGGGTGCGCGTGTGTCTTTGTGATGATGAATCACTATTCATTGTTTTTCTTCCTACTTGCTGCATTTTGGATGAATGAATTCTTCACTTTCTGTTTGGTCTTCTCTTCTGGCATCTAACTGACGCAGCAAGTAAATCATATACATGTCAGGTAAAAGGACGTCTGAATGATAAACAACTGGAGTTGCTGGTGGATCCCGATCTTCAAAACATTTACGTCGAGGCTGAAGTCGAGCAGCTAATCCAGGTCGCTCTTCTCTGTATGCAAGGTTCCCCAGTTGGCCGACCAATGATGTCAGAAGTGGTAAGAATGTTACAGGGCGATGATGGTCTGGCTGAAAGATGGGATGAGTGGCAAAAGGTGGTGGAAGTTGTACCACTTGAGGCAGCGGTGCACCTTAATAATGCTGCAGATTTGGTAGTCACTGAAACCCTACAGGAAGACGAGCTATCTGCCCCAAGGTGACATGATTTCAGCACCATGCTTGCAGCAAATCCATTCTATGTTTGCATATGAAGCAGTTTGTTGATTAGGTACATAATTTAGTGTGTAACCCCCTGCTGCCTGCGCCACTATACATGTCATGATAAATCGGCGATTGCTAAACATCACCTTAACTTAATATAAAATGTTACTTTTGTTCTTAGATAAATACAAATACAAGGACGAGGACTTCGAGTCTCGAGGAGGGAAGTTTCTTAGAGTATGTTTGTTCTTTTTATCGTTTGACGAATGACACTCTAATAATTTATGATTATAGTGTAGTAAATTTACGGGAGCGGATCGTGTCAGTAACTGATGGGTCAGTAACCCATCAGTAACTCCTTCTCTGATCTCCACGTGTCAGTCCTCTTTTTTTATTTAAATTAAATGCGGAAGGGCAGTAAGGTAAAATTGCACTTACACATATTTTAATACTGACGCTGACTTTTGACCGGACCACATCAACACCTCCTTCTCTCTCCTCGAAAAAGCTTTAATTTTTCTTCTCTTAATTTTTAACGGACGATTTCTCACTCGTTTTAAGTCGGAATTTAATTTTTTTTGCACAGTTAGATCAGATTAATTGTGCTCTTCAAAATGATATCCACTTTGATATTTTTTGGACATAAAAAAATTACCAGTCTATACCATATGGTATTGATTGGTATTAAATAAGACCATACCACATGGTATGGTAATATCAATATATATTTCGTTACCACCCAATACCATATGGTATAGTGTGGTAATATCAATATATATTTGGGTTAATACCTTATTTTGGCCCGAACTATGACCATATAATCAACTTTGGCCCGTGGTTTCAGAAATTAACATCCTGGCCTCAACTATGCAGCATATAGACTCAATTGGCCCGACACATAGTTTGACCGTCAGTTTGGACGGTCAACTCCGTTGACCGTTAGTCAACACCCCATGTCATTGCCTAGTCAGCCTAAAATCATTAAAAAAATACAAATTTCAAATTGGTTTTTCTATTTTTTTCTTATTTATTATTAAATTAACCAAAAATAAATTATAAAAAACATAAAATAAATTTGATTTTTTATTTTTTGGATAATTTGAAAAATGATACATTTTATAAATTAACCAAAAATTATAAAATTATTTTATATTTTTAAAACTTCCCACCAAAATATCATTTATATAATAATTTTTAAATTTATAAAATTTAATTTGATAAGTTTTGGTTAATTTATAAAATTTATCATTTTCAAATATCACAAAAAAATTATTTTATATTTTTGAATTTTATTTTTTGGTTATTTGGAAAATGATAAATAATAGAAATTAGTAAAATAATTTGAATTTAATTTTTTTTAATGATTTTTAGGCTGACTAGGCAATAACATTGCATGTTGACTAACGGTCAACGGAGTTGACCGTCCAAATTGACGGTCAAACTATGTGTCGGGCCAATTGAGTCTATATGCTGCATAGTTGAGGCCAGGATGTTAATTTCTGAAACCACGGGCCAAAGTTGATTATATGGTCATAGTTCGGGCCAAAATAAGGTATTAACCCTATATATTTCGTTACCACCCAATACCATATGGTATAGTGTGGTAATATCAATATATATTTCGTTACCACCCAATACCATATGGTATAGTGTTGTAATATCACACAATACCACATGGTATATAGTGGTAATATCAATATATATTTCGTTACCACGCAATACCATACATTGCCATATGGTTAGAGGTGGGCAATGGGAAATGGATATTTGGGTATATCCGTACCCGTCCCGTTTTTTAAGGATTATGGGTACCCATATTACCCGTAATATTATAAATGGATGGGACTTGGGATTGTACATTTCTAATATGGGTACCCGCGGGTTACCCGTAAATACCCGTTTGGGTAATATGGGTACCGGTTATACCCATTCAAAAGGCAGATGGAATTTCAGGCCCATAGTGACTGAGCGGCACAGCCCAGCCCAATTCCCTTTCGGCCTTTCAATTCCTGCCTCAATTCTGTTTCATTCAAGCTATAGCAGCAGTACACATTTTGGTGAGCCCTAGAAACCGAAAAGGGAGATTTAACTACACTACTACGGCACTTTAAAACACCAACGAGTCTCATATTTGGTTCTATAAACACTACATACAACATAAACACACCGACTCAATATATTTTTAGCAAATACCACATACAAATTAAACTATCTTCTTTGCAGGACAGCAGCAGGTGAAGGGGAGCATCAGTAGCAGCCTGGAGAATTGAACTTCTTTTTGGTTGTGTTGAATTGAACTTTTTTTTTATAAATTGGTGCTTGGAATGATTTATTTCTATGTGTTGTAATTGTTCATGAATGTGTAATTTGCAAACCAAGTATTTGTGATTGGAATGTATTTTGTGTCTTGTGATTGTTAAGCAAATACAAGTTAAGTTTAAACTTTTGTTAAAATTTTAGTGGTTTAAAGTTTGGGTATTTATGGGTAGTATGGGTACCCGTTATCCGTCCCGTACGGATAATGGGTACCCGTTTCCCATATGGGTTTGGGATATGGGATGGACTTTGGTCTCCAAATGGGACTGGGTACCCGTTTAAAACGGGACGAGTATCCCGTCCCATCCCGTTGCCCACCCCTACATATGGTATAGTGTGGTAATATCAATATATATTTCGTTACCACCCAATACCATATGGTATAGTGTGGTAATATCAACATATATATTTCGTTACCACCCAATACCATATGGTATAGTGTGGTAATATCAATATATATTTCGTTACCACACAATACCATATGGTATAGTATGGTAATATCACACAATACCATATGGTATAGAGTGGTAATATCAATATATATTTCGTTACCACGCAATACCATACATTACCATATGGTATAGTGTGGTAATATCAATATATATTTCGTTACCACCCAATACCACATGGTATAGAGTCATAATATCAATATATATTATCTAAAAGGAAAAAAACAGAAGGAGGGAGAGAAAAAATCGTCTTCTGATGCCTCTTATTTCCTCTTCCTCAATCAAGAACACCAAAATGCCAAAAAAATGAGAAAGATCGGAATTGAGGCCAACGAGTTGATGAAGAGAAGAAATACAATGAAAGAGAGTGGCTACAATTTTTGTTCGTCGATTGCTAGAGAAAAAAATGAAGAAGGAAGAGAGCAGATCTAAATTTGAAATGGAGATTGTGAAAGAAAAAGTAAGAGAGAAGGAATAGAGAAAGAGAAAGGATCTGGAAAGAGATTGAAAGAAAGAAAGAGAGAAGGAAGAAAGTTGAGTTGCAGAGAAAATGTCATTCTCTCGCTTTCATTGAAAAGTTAGCCATTGAAATGCAGAATGAATAAAAAAAATTAAAAATACGAAACGGACAAAAATGCCCCTCCCCACCCCACATACAGCCCAGCCACACGATTGCTCCATTACCAAATCGACGGGTCCCGTGTGATTACTGATGGGTCAGTAACCAGTGGTTACTGACCCTATCTTGGACCTAAATTTATGGCGACGTTTAGCCTGTAAATCCATATTGCATATATACCCCATTCGATTAACATAGAAGGTATTCATCTTCCTCTCATTAGGTAAACCCCATATTCATGTTCAGTTTCATGAGTTTTGCGTAGGAAGGAAGGATCACGTCAATTTTCTTCAACCACCACATTCGTTCCGCTCAATTTCATGGAAACTTTAATGCTTCTTCTGTTAGTTTCGGATCCGAGGCCTAGAAATTCCCCGGCGGCGCCAAGAACCCGCCATTAATTTACAGAGCTTTCTCTCCCTGTGCAAAACGTAAAGCTTGCAAATGGCGTCTTTCATGATCAATGGAGCCCAGACGGTGTTTCCTTCCACTTCCTCCCTGCTATCCCTCTACGCCTCCTTCTCCACCTTATCCGTCCCCCTCCGCAACGCGTACCGCGAATTCGTCCCCAACTTCATCGCCGACTACGTCTCCGGCAAGCTCCGGCGGCTGTTCGCCAGACCCGACCCGATCCAGCCGGACACCGCCACGATCATCATCGACAACAGCTGGAACTACGGTCCGTACGACCCGAACGAGCTCATCGAGGCCGCCAGGTTCTACCTCTCCACCAAAATCGGCCCGGAGAACAAGGATTAATTTTCTAAATACAGATAAAACTAAAACTAATTCCTAAATTACCACACTTTTAAAAAAAATTCCCAAAATACCTAAGTTTGGAGTGGTTCGAGTTTGAGAAACTCGAACTACTAACCGGTTCGAGTTTAGGAGACTCGATCTAGTCGTAGATCGATGATATAAGCCTCGAACCATGTGGAGCTGAAGTGGTTCTGTTAGAGTAGTCAAAGAGTAAAGGAAATACCACATTGGTGGGAGAAAGAAAGTGCTAGTTGTTTTTAAGTTTGCTTTCCACTTTAGTTATTGGATAAAGTGGTTAGTGGGCTTTTGGAAAAGGTGTGGGCTATTTAGTTTGACATATTAAATCGCACTACGCACTTAGCACTAGAAAATATCATTTGTTACCGCTAAACGAGCAATTTTTCGATTTTGCCAAACTTTAGAGGATCATAACTTTGTGCTCCGCAATCCGAATGTCGCAAAGTTTTTTTTTATTTTGCATAATTTTTTGAGTACTACAACATTTACTATGAATAAATTTTCAAAATAGGAACAATTTTTAATATAAGGTGGTTTGGGAGTAAATTTAACTTTATTTTTCACATTTTCACATATATTCTGAAAATATTTCTATTATAAAAGTTGTAGTCCTCAAAAAGTTATGCGAAATGAAAAAAAAGTTTGCTACGATCGGATAACCGAGCACAAAGTTAAGGTTGTTGGAAATTTCAAAGGAGTGGTTCGAGTTCACTTCAGCTCCACATGGTTCGAGACTTATATCATCGATCTACGACTAGATCGAGTCTCCTAAACTCGAACCGGTTAGTAGTTCGAGTTTCTCAAACTCAAACCACTCCAAACTTAGGTATTTTGGGAAATTTTTTTAAAAGTGTGGTAGTTTAGGAATTTGTCTTAGTTTTATCTGTATTTAGGGAATTAATCCGAGAACAAGCAATTCCGCGTCGGCAAGTTTCACAAGAAGAAGCGATTCGCCACCGCGCTGGTCGGCGGGGAGACGGTCGTCGACGTGTTCGACGGCGAGGAGATGGAGTGGCACCTGCCTCATGCGAAAGGTAGACGGATGATCGGCAGGGCCGGAGGGATCGCCGGACGGGGACTGATCGGAGAAGGTGGTGGTGATGCCGGTGATGATGATAGCTACGGGAGTTCCGATCTTTGCTACCGGTTGACGTTTCAGTCGCGGAACCGAGACAAGGTTTTGAATCGCTACCTCCGCCATGTCTACCAGGTGTTCGAGGAAATGTGTCCCGAGTTGCAGCTGTTCACGTGGTGTTGGTCCGAATGTCTTCGCGCTGGGGGTTGGAGACCGATGGAGTCGAGGCATCCGAAGACGTTCGACACGATCGCCATGGACGGGGAGCTGAAGAGGAGCATTGTGGATGATCTGGAGAGGTTTGTGGCGAGGAGGGATTTCTACAAGAAGAATGGGGATCCTTGGAAGAGGGGTTACTTGCTGTACGGGCCACCTGGAACTGGGAAATCGAGTGTTGTTGCTGCCATGTCCAATCACTTGAAGTTCAACCTCTATGTTATGGAGCTGGGCAACATCCGGTCTGATTATGAGCTGCGGCATGCCCTGCTCTCGATCCAGAACAAATCGATTGTCGTTTTCGAGGACATTGATTGCTGCCCTGAACTGCATGCTCGATCCGACTCGGATGGAAACGATGAATCAACTGATCAGAATATCCCCAATGATGGTAGTCATCACAAGCATAAGAACCCTGCAGCCAAGGTAAATAAAGCTCGAATCTTTTCTACTTCAGTTGCATTACAGATTATAACCAGTAATTTGTGGAGTTTTTCTAGTTCACGCTCTCGACTATGCTGAATTGCATCGATGGGGTATGGTCGAGCCACGGAGAAGAGAGGATCATAGTCTTCACCACGAACCACAAAGACGTTCTGGATCCAGCACTGATTCGGCCTGGAAGGATGGATATGCATATTCACTTGTCGTATTGTACCCCCGAGGCATTCAGAAGCTTAGCCGCCATCTATCTGGAGGTGGAGCGAAATCATCCGTTGCTTGAAGAGATAGGCGAGCTGCTGCAGACTGTGGATGTGACACCAGCAGCTTTGGCTGAGGAATTGAGGAAAGGGAGTGATGGGGATGTAATTCTTCAGCAAGTTGTTGATTTCCTGAATCAGAAGAAGTTGGGAAAAGGGGAAAAGAAGAACTTGATGGGAGGCAGCATAGATTCAAAGCCAGTAGTTTCAGTGGATTTCGCTACCTAGTTTAGTTCTGTGTTGTTGGTTAATTCTTATCTTTTAACTAATGTATGGCCTTATCAGTATGCACATTTTCAAGACAGATTGAATAGCAGGTGGAAGAGATGTTTTAAATACCTTAGCATCTCAGTGGTTAGAACTGAGCTTGTTACAATGTCAAAAGTGCCATATCTCCTCGAATCGTTCAATGTAACGATTTAGGTAGCATTCTTTGTTCTGGTGCAGGGAACTCTGCAAGTATCTTGCAGCAAATGTTTCTGGGTTTCTTTCTTCTCGTCGGATTAGAGAAAAATACAGAGGGTAATAAGTTCTTGTAGGGAAATCTGGAGCGTCCATAATTCTATTCGTAGGAGGCCGACATTGGATATGTATTACATGGGAGTTTAGTGAAGTTCATCAGCTACTTCTGCAACATGGATGGAAACCTTTTATTACTTCCATCCCAAAACCCAACACCACAAAAATTACAGAACATATATAAGTGATCTCTGTTGAACAATAATGGTACAAAAGGTGAAACTTCTTCTACAAGGCAACCCTCCTTATCTATGGTGCTGAAATGGGGGACTCTACTTGAGGCTACAAGATAGTTTTTTTTTTCTCCTTCTCTTCCTTAAGTGAAATAAAAACAAAATTGCGGGTTCTCTGCTGAAATGAGAGTTCATCATACATAATAAGAATAGGTTACAAGCTCATGTAGCAGCAGCAGGCTATTCGCTCCGGTAGGAGCATGGTGGGCAAAAGACAGCTACCTGCTGCTATGATGGCTGCATCTGATCTTGTCTAAGTGCTTGCTGGAGCTGAATCACCTGTTGCTGCTGGTCCGGTGGCAATGAACTCAATTGCTCCGGTGTAAGGCTTAGCACCTGCTGGAGCAGGGCAGATTCCACATCTGGTAGAAGCTGCAAAGTGCAAGGAACACACTATTATTGTTTTGAAGTACGCTCATAATTACCATTAAATGATTACATGTGGAAGCATAAGTTGGTTGGACGCATCATTAACGTCTGTATGATGATCAATTAGGGTTATTTCTACAATAGAATGTTTGTTATTTCAACTTCAAGCAGTGGGGTTTTTCGTTACCTGAGGTGCTTGTTTCTCTTCTGGCTTGGGGATTGGCTTCGTAGGCACTGAAATAGATGGGACCGTTTGGCTTGGACCAAATTCGGTGTGGTTGGCCATGTTATGATCCCCAATTGAGGAAGACCTGTTCCTGCCTTCGTCCAGCTTTAGAAGCTTTGTAGGGCGATTACTTGGTTCCCTGGGATCCTGAAAGGTGTTTGCTTGCCTGTAAGCCATGTTCCGGTTATACCTTGTAGCTTCATCGGGAACCTGAGTAGCTGGACGGGCATCCATGCGACCAGGATCTGAAATGCCTGATGACATCAGCGGCTCAGGCTGTAATTATGTGAAGAGTAAGATGCCAATGGGAAGTACAAAAAAGACCACATTTGAAAGCAATCCAACTATTATCCATATCCACACGTATCACCCTTAAGATATCTACATAAAGAAAGAAGCTAGTCCATTTGCTCACAACCTTCGACGACTATTAGCAAACAATCTTTAGTTCATCTTCATTTCTTCATAGATTGAATATGAAAGAAGCTGAATTTTCTCTTTACCTTAGCTGATGTTTCTGACACAAAAGGACGAAGACCGATTTGGGATTTGTAGCCGTAATTTCCACCTCCAGACTGTCCTGGGTGCTGTACAATGGATTGTGGAATTTGTTGGGGTAAGAGCGAGGAATCTACCGTCACCTGATTTGGTGGTCTGGTGATGGATTGCGCAGGAAGAGGTAGCGGGACTACCGATTTCCCAGGTAATGGAGCTTGCGGAAGAACCTGGGTCTTATTTGGAGGCTGCATAGGATGCATTGAGGATGCAGAAACCTGGTTTGGAACTGAAGGATTGAGAGGCACTACAGATGAGTGACCACCTGGTATTTGAGTCATAGGGTATGTCCCCTGGGAAGGAGGGGCTGACCCCGTCAATGTCTGAAGGGCATGTTGACCCTGCTGAGAGTCTTGCAATGGAGGTAATCCCAGTTGACTTGAAGGTGCTCTTATATTTGGCATTTGCAGCTGCAAAACATAAAATAGGTATTTAGGGAAACCGTCTTACGTAGTTATGTGCACAAGGATGGTATGTGTCAGAAAAAAAAGTCATTTTGGAAGACGAGACAAACCACTTCTGGGGTGACCATTCCTAGCATTATTTGTGCCTGCGAAAACATGGGACAACATTTGTGAGCTTAAACTTACGTAACAAAATCGTAAAACAATAATAAAAAGATACTTCTCAGAAAAAGATTTTGCCCAATTTTTGAAGTGCAATTTGGGGAAATATCACGAGTAATGTCAGAGAATGCATTAGCATCAGCACTGAGCACCTGAAAAAGGGCTTTTGGCAATTGAGGCCTCTCAAGTAACAGTTGACGAGCTGCTTCCCTGTTTTGTGTGGCCATTACCTATTAGCACACGAGATATATCAGAAACATAAATAATCCAAGTCAGGGAAGTGAAAAAGCTCTTTCAAATATATACCTTCATCTCAGTCATAACTTCGTTCAATTGACTCCTAGACATCTTGGCCAAATGAAGTGTCAAGGGGTCACTAGTCAATGCCGACTGGCCCTGGAAAGCAGCCTGATTCGGCTGCACTGCTGTCTGGGTAGCACCTAAAGCTCCAGTCATGACAGTGGCAGCAGTCATGGCTATGTGGAGACCTATTGGCTGATGCTGTGTAGCATCTGCAATGTTTGCAGGGGATCCTCCATGTCTCCTAGGATCTGAAAGGTGCAGCACCGCAAACAGCTTGAATATATATAATCTTCAATAGGTAAAAGAGAGGGATTTGAAGAAAACTCACCAGTATTAGAAGCTTGTCTACCCTGAAAGTTAATAAAAGCAATGTTAGCAACTGCACTCTTAATGACAGGTATTTCATAAGATTATGCTTTTCAAGAGAGGGGAAAACACTCATTCAGATGTCTAAATGTGGAAGAACTTGTATGCGGGACTTAGCATTACGAAAAGGAATGGAACTTTCTTAATGTCTCTATTGCAGCTGTACAACTGAAAGAATTATGAACCGACACCTCAAATTTTCAAGGGATGCGAAACAGGTAATCAGGACTCTCCTGTGGTAAAACAAAGCCATATTCTCCATTAACCTTTCCCCTAAAGACCGGAAGTTGATTTGGCATGCAATATTTTCTCAGGAGCCGCACCGTTTTCACTAATCAGGGAACTCCGGATACAAAACAGATCACTAAAAAACTTCCTTTCAGTATTTATGGGCGCCTAGGGGTAAAAATAGTGTATCAGAGTAGGAGTTAAGCAGGAACTGCAATAATGATTTTGGAAATGTTATCACATAGCTGCCTCAACACTCAACAGAGGATGATGTCAAAGCAATTCTGTTTCTGGTTTATGTCTCTCCCCTTTACTATCTCTTTAAAGAAAAACAAGCAAGATATACAACCACCAAGATTTTTTGGAACCCCGAGACATCCATTGTACAATCAAAATCCTGAGAAAGCTAGTTTGACCCTAAGATCAACAGCTTTGCTGAATGAGAATGGATCTCCAATAGTCAAAGAAGCCACTGATGACCTCAACCTTTAAATACTCCACCCTTTATATAAGTGAAGATTAAATCTAAATATACCTTCCATGAGGCACATAATACTATCTTTTTGTCTAACATTCATCAAAGCTCACTTAAGAGAGCAATTTAAGTCCCTTTACTCATGTGGATTAATATGAAAAGACGCTAAAAAGCTTTACAGTTTTGTTAATAGGGCAGCACAGCACCTGTTCTTTGTTTCTATCAGTATTTTTGTCGTTCTCTGCAAAATCTACACGCAATTGCCGGCCATTGATCTCGTAACCCTGGAGGTTACGGCGAGCACTGAGAGCTGTCTCTTCATCCTTATACTCACAGAACCCGTAACCCTTTGGTTTTCCGGTTTCTCTGTCAACAACTAATCTGAAAAAATCAATGTTATTTCCTCGTAGAAAAGGAGGCAAATTGGAGATAAGTAGCATTGCACAACACTTAAACTACAGAGCAAATTATGTTATCTTCTTGGGTGAATACAGGTGTTGCTACAGTCACAGTTTCACATGCCATTGCATACAAGCTTCCAAGACACTTGGAAGGATCGGCAAAGAGTATGCAACGATGTCAAGGATTATGCTTCACAATAAAGCATTATTCAAATACCAAGTTAACGATCTTCACAGGCAAACAGGATACGTAGGTAGTAAAGGTTCAAACTTTACTGCAAAATGGAAGACGAGAGCAAAGAATGTGCCACGATGTCAAGGATTATGCTTCACAATACGCATTATTCAAATACCAAGTTAACGACCTTTCAAAGGCAAACAGGATACACAGGTAGTAAAGGTTCGAACTTCACAGCAAAATGAAGACGAGAGCTCCACATTTGGACTAACCTGAAAGACACAACCGGGCCAACCTCTCTGCAGATTTCTATAAGCTGTTCTTCAGTTGCATCATAAGGTATGTTCCCAACTGCCACAACAAAGTCAATCAGAGATTCACCCAAGTTCCCTAGCAACCAATCTGAAAGAGATGGATGAACAGAGAGGGATAGAGAAACGAGAGAGTACCAAAAACGCAGCGGTGTTGGGCAGAGGCCGCCATGAATTTTCACCCCGAAAGACTCAATCTCAACAGAAAGAGAACAAGAAGGAGAAGCCAAGCTGCTGCTCCATCTTCCTCCTCCTCCTCCAAATTAGTTTCTTCTGTCGCTTTCCCGCCTCCTGCTTCAGCTTAATTCGTGAAACCGGCCATAAATCGAGCTCACCAAGCTCTCCCTGTGGCCGACGACGGTGTCGGCGAGAACGTTTTGTCACGGCCCAGGTGCCGCGCACAAAAAAGAGAGCGAAACGAGAGAAATAATCGGAGAATTGATTTGAAGAGCGGTGGCAACTAATGGTGTCGGATTTTCCCCGCGACGGTGCGGGCAGCCACATACGACGGCGACGGCGACGGCGAAATTGGATTTGGCTTCCTCCTCCTTGACTCCTTCCCCTTTTGACACCAGATTTGCTAGAATTGTTTATTCCATATCAGAAAAGAAAAAGGGAAAAGGAATATGAAAAGGGGGAAAATTTCCGCCAAAGTCCAGACGCGCCATTGTGCTCCTCTTTTTTTATTTTTCTCCCAAAAAAAATATTTCCATTTAGTAGTAGTATTGTTTCTTGACCAACACACAAACCCAACTCCTCTATCCCCCACCCACAGCCACCACACCCATCAGTTTTCCGGGGTTTTCTTACCCCTCTCTCTGTTTCTCTGCTCCGTCAAAACACCAGCCGGGAAATTTTTGGGTAACCCATCACAACAAAGTCCTCGTCTTGGGTTAAATTCCGAGGTGGGTTTTTTTTTTCTGATTTAGAGGACGGGAGGGAGGGGGTTTAAGGAGGGTTTTTTTTTCTGGATCGATCGAGATGTTGGTGACGACGGCGGGTTCGGATCTCGTCGGCGGTGTTGGCGCCGGCGATTTCAAGTGGCCGCCTGGGTTTAGGTTCCATCCGACGGACGAGGAGCTGATCCTCTATTACTTGAAGAGGAGGATCTGTAGGAGGAAACTGAGGCTTAATGTCATCTCCGAGCTTGATGTTTACAAGTGGGATCCTGAAGATTTGCCTGGTATGTTTTTAATTGGAACCTTCGTCTGCGTTCCCTTTCTTTCGATTTTCATTCTGTGCTCTTTCTTTCTGTTCAAGGACGAGTTAGGTATGGTGATGGCTGCGTTACTGGTTGCTTTCGACTTTGATTTCGTTGGTGATTTGTGTGGGGTTGCATGATGGTATGGTTGATTTGGATATTATGTATGGTGAATTGTGGTTTCTGGGTTTGTATTTTGGTAGGCTATGGATCGGTGGATCATATATGGCTCCTCCCTGTGGATTTGAAGGCGTTGACTTGGATGTGATGATTCTGAATTGCTTGAAATTTGTTTTGATTTATGTGTTTTATGGTTAGCTCAGTAGAGGGTTTAGTGTTCCTTTTGAACTACGGATAGAACATAACCGTAGAGGTTGCGATTTCCTTAGGTTACTGAATGCTTGATATTCAGTTTGCTTAGGATGATTAGAGTTGCTACTGTGAAAATCTTAACAGGTAAATTCTTCCATAATACTATAGAAATGGATTAGAAGTTCATGCATTTGCCGGTTTAGCTACATCTTTAGAGCATGTGTTGGAGGGGGATGCTGATCTTAGTTTAGCTTCATGCCAATTCTCTTACCTAACAATTGATGATGATATCAGGGTTGTCGCTATTAAAAACTGGAGATAGGCAGTGGTTCTTCTTCAGCCCTAGAGACCATAAATACCCTAATGGAGGAAGAGGAAATAGAGGAACTGCACAAGGATACTGGAAAGCCACTGGGAAAGATCGTGTCATCACATGCAATTCCCGGAATGTTGGAGTGAAGAAGACCCTAGTTTTCTATCGAGGTCGTGCTCCTACCGGTGAGCGAACAGATTGGGTCATGCACGAGTACACTTTGGATGAGGAGGAACTGAAGAGATGTCCTAATGTCAAGGTTTGTACTTCATTTGTTGTTTCGTCATCTTTTCTTGCTAGCTTTTCTACTTTGACTAACTGGATATATTATTCTCTTTTCGTTTCGACCTCAGGACTACTATGCACTTTACAAAGTTTACAAGAAAAGTGGACCTGGTCCCAAAAACGGTGAGCAATATGGAGCTCCGTTCAGAGAGGAAGACTGGGTGGATGATGATAAAGCTGTCGTTTCTGTTCCTGAAGTTCCTGCTAGCAAGAGAAACAAGTTACCTCTTTCTCCTCCAGTTTGCAATGAGAAAGCTGTTGTCTCTTTTCCAGAAGTTCCTGCTAGCAAGAGAAACAACAAATTACCTCTTCCTGTTTGCAATGAGAAAGCTGTTTGTCCAGTCGAGCCATCATCAGATGATCTGTTTGACCTAATTAGGGAAATTGTCGAGGAACCCATACGTGACCAACCACCAGTAGTCATGGAATTCTGTCAGCAGTTCCAGGTTTGCCCCAGACAGTCTATTAATTTCTTTGTTCATCCTTTAGCTTCATACGGAACTTAGCAGTCGAAGGAATGTGCAATTCGGTGGGTAGATCTTGCACACAATGCACCATTTAGCAATGATAATGAAAAAGGGTGCTTTGTCTCAATTTTGTGTTTGACAATATATCTCCTTTCCTTTTCTATCCCTGCCTGTTGTTGCAAAAACAAAAAAGTTAAAGATAGTTGATTGTTTTGTAACATTGCTAGTATGATACATTACCTACAATCCAAACAACGCTCCTAATTACTTTTCATGATAGTAACTCGTTCAGGATATATCATTGCTACTCTGATGTTTGTTTAATTATTGATTGCCAAGCTAATGCTTCACGCGATGTTCAGGTCGGTGCTGAAGGAGGAGCAGGGAGCACACTGGTTAATTCCTCTAAAAGAGATTTCACCATCCCCAGTCTCATTGAAGCTTCTTCTGCAAATGGCCAGCAGTACGACAATCAGGCTAGCTTTGACTTTGAACGGTCTGAATCTGATATATCCAAGTTGGAACAGCATGAGACTCCTGAAGTCACTTCTGCAGCTAACAACCCTGAACAGCTTCTTCTATTGAGCGAAGGGGATTTCCTAGAAATGGATGATCTACTTGGGCCAGAACCTACGGAATCTAACTCCGAAAATCCATTGCCAGCTGTTGGTTCCCATGTCGGGGAACCTGCTGAGAATTCGCTGTTCGATGGTCTTGACGGATTATCTTCTTTAGAGCTATATCATGATGCTGCCATGTTTCTAAGAGACATGGAGCCTCTTGGCCGGGATACGATGTCACAATCACGGGTAGATAGTGTGGTTAATGAAATGGGTTACCAGTATCAGCATTCTGCAGTAAACCAGATAAATTGTGAAGCGCAGCTTCAGTTTGATTACTCTTGGCAACCCGAATATACGATGAATGAAGTAGACCAGGGCCTGCAAACACAATCATGTAATGGACTCTACTTCAACAATAATCTTCAAGGGGGTGATCTGAAGACCAATGGTGGACAGAATTATGGAGCTAACTCCCAACAAACTTCAGGTACATAGATGAAGTTGAACTAAAAAATCCAATTCACTTTTGTTTTTCCTCCGTGTGCTTCTTCACTGAGCTGGGGTTTCAAATGATATTGTTCTCCTAGCCATTCCTTGGAGTGCTATGGATCAAGGCTTATGCCCTCTGACAATATCGGGAAACCAGAGCCAGATTGTTGAGCTCTTCCCGGACAAGTATTGTCCTTTTGTTGTTATATATTACTATTCAGGGATTTGTATAGAATTACTTGGAAGTGACACATAATTTCGTCCATTTTCAGGTATGCTTTGTGATTCTATCGAACATTATCCCGGAGTAATTCAGAATCAAGCCGGGAATACTAATAAGGATGATACTTCTGGCTGGTTCTCTTCCGGGCTGTGGTCTTTTGTCGACTCAATACCTTTTGAACCTGCATCAGCTGCCGAGAAGCCTCTAGTAAATAAGGCTCTGCTGCGGATGCCAAGCCTAACAAGGTTGAGGATGAATGTCGTAAACCCCAACCTAGCAGTTGCTCAAGCTGGCAATGCTGGCGGTGCTGCAAATATGAGGAGGTCAAGGGCGAACAAAGGTCTGGTGGTGTTGTCGTTGTTGGGAGTCTTAATTGCTGTTTTGTGGGTGTTGATAGGGAACATAAAACTCTTCAGTGGTAGATCAATATCGACATGAATAAACGTATGGAAAGAGTGTTGTTTAGGGTTAGGTTCGTCTCAGCAGTAAATATTCATCTTCTATGGGGGTGTATGGCTCCAAAAATTTTGAAGGTGCCTTAGAAGTTGGGGAAGGTACTGCAAAGTTGTAGGGTTGGGTAGGGAAATGAGATGAGATGAATTTAGGTGACCTGAGCCCTGGTTCTTCTGAATATTGGAATATCAGTAAGAATCGTTCAGTACATGTCTTCCTGAAAGTTTTTCCAATTTGTACCTGACTACTTGCAAATTATCACCTTCCAGGTAGAATAACAAAACCGAAATCGAGTTATTGCATCCTCTATTGTTATGTACATTGTATTGCGATCCAATATGTGCATTTGGTGGAAACTGTTTATGCAGTATCGAACTGGGTACAGTTTCACAAACATTGATAGTGATTCTTTGGTGTGGTGGAAGAACATTCAAAGTCGGTTGAGTTGAGACCTCGACGCTAGGTCAAAGATAAGAGCAAGTAAATTATCATCTGTGAACATCACTAAATTGATTGTTTGACTGGGCAGCAACCAACCATCTTAGACTGAAGAAAACAAGAAAAGCCAAGAAACAATAGGGTCAAAACAATCAGGCAGCTTCTATGCAATTGCCAAAACAATCATGAAATCATTCTGCAGCAGCTGCTCAAGCTGAGCTTTACCATGACAATGACAGAAGAAAAGAGCAGTTTGACTGAACAACAAAACTTCGCCCCTCGCCACTTTAATCTTCATTTTCCCACACGGTCCTGGACAACCTGTCCTATTTCGAGGTTGTAGGTGAGCAAATAGATAGATGATGTGAAGGCGACTGGTCATCTTAAGGTGTTAACAGCAGCCGCACATGATCACGTTAGTTCTGCGATGCCTTTGGTCTTGGTGTATAAGATCGTTTGTCAAAGTTGCAGAGAAGAGAAGCTTAAGGAACTTCCAACACGAAGGGAGTTTTATCTAGAGGGTTCAGATTCTGAGGTGAGGCTTTCCAGTTCGTCGATGATAGCTTCATAGCAGAAGATATATTGCTCCTGCGGAACAGGAAAAGGCCGAGTCAGAATACAAAGCACACAGATGATCCACAGACCATCAAATCATCAATCTTTTAGTCGAGCGTAACACTGAACTATCATGCTAGGGAATATATGCATCTAGTTGACATTTACCAGGCCAACAGATTCGGCATCCGGGTTGAGCCAGTTGATTTTTGACTGTTGATGATTATGTATGTGTTTCGGATGAGTTATCTAAGTTTCTATTATACCTAGTTATCAGTGAGAGCCTGTCTCCACAAGTAGGCACTCCCCTACGCACTTCCCTTGATGATTACAATCCAATGGAATTTCAATTATTGGTGTATTTATTCGCTTTTTAATTCTTGCACTTTGTATCTGCTTTCATTTCTCCTCTACATCTCTCTCATTCTTCTCCCAAGTTCAAACTGCCTTCTCTTGCCTACTTTTTTCTTGATTTACTAGTTAAATTACAAGGTCTATGTAGGACCAAAAAAAAAAACTAGTGTTGATTGATAATCACGTAAACCAAAACCTATATTCAGATGAGGAGCATACCATGGTTTGAACCATCCCAATGCGTTGGGACCTAAACACTGTTACGGTATTAGCAAGATTGGTGGCAGACTTGTCTCCAGCAATGATTCTCTGGATTGTATTTTGGATTGTGCAGTACGTGCCTGTTCTACCAATACCCGCACTGAAGCATGAGAAACACATCAATGTTTAGTATGGATTAAGAACTCATTAGATCTGCAGGGGGAAGCAACGGAACATGATTACATGAAACAAAATGACATGGGAATGGAATGGTTGATGAGATGAACCTGCAGTGAACAACTATTGGGCCAAGTTGAGGAGGCACATGATATAATCTTCTGAAAATTTCACGCACTGCAGTTGTATCCTTGGGAACTCCATGGTCAGGCCATTCAGGATACTGAATGTGCAAAACTGACATGGGTGGTTCTTCTGACTACCAATTAGATAGATAGTTATGTTAGATAACTGAGGCCCTTTCCTTCAATAATAATAAGTTAAGGAACACAATTACACAACATCTATGGAATGAGAAAACACCCACCATGGAATGCAAATCGAGTCCCTAACACTGTTTACGTTCTTCTCAACATTCTTTCCTACACCAACCAACTTGCTACTTAAAAGCTGCAACCTAAAAGGTCATCACTCTGTCTTATTAGCCACACATATAACTCACCTGTCACACTTGCCAGGGTCAGCTAATCACTCATTTCTCAAAAATCCATATTTTCTCAGCTTATCGGCAAAACCACCTCTCAAGTGCCATAACACTACAGTTCATGAAGGACTAAACCTAAATTACATTTTGATGCAAAAGACTAAAACAATCTCCAAGGGCAGAATTGATGTGAAGCAAACTGCCTGGTGCTGAGCAAGATAACGCCAAAAAAGAAAAGGACACCACACTTCATAAGAACCTGTTTGTGACAATTAAAATACACATGAACCAAACTTCTATATTTTCCTCAACAGTCCGAGTTACCTTACAGAAAAGAAGTACATGCAGAACTGGAAAACCTAGTTATTCATTGAACCATGTAAAGCAGAGAATTTAAAACAGAATATATCCTGGAAAAAAAACTTACCACTTTATCACCAACTTCTAAGTTTCGCAACATTAATGAGGTTGCAGTATTCGAAGTCCACCTCGTCATGATGCAAACATTTCCAATGTCTCTAGGACCATCTTCTGCTTGAAAGTAATCTCCACATTTAGCAGTCTGGTAGATGAAATCAAATAAATGATCCACACAGAGATTTACATCAGTGATTTACATCAGCTATTTGATGGGCATGTCTGTGTTTCTCAGGAGTTCATATGTAGGCATATCTATCTAGACAGACAGAGATACATGGGCACTGAGGTTGACATAAGATATGACATAGAAATGTAACAGGATGTCTATCAGCCAGAGAATGCAAGAACATGTTTTAAGTACTTATATACATTTAGCAACATTTTCAAAATCGATTGAGATCCATGTATAAGACTATCAAGAGCCAGACAACTCAGTAAAACCAAAGAACCGCACGTTGAAACATTTGAGTATTCTAAGTTTCTAACTGAGAGAAGTCTGGATAAATTTCACATTATACAGCTGTAGTACCGCATATTATATGAAATTGTTGAAAAATACACCGTAGAATAAATGCCGCTACCTTCAAATATACAATGGCAAGTGGCGAAGTACCTTATAGTTGTCCACCAAACGAGTCAACATCACAATAGCAGGGCATTTATACTGAATCACCATTGCCCAGAAGTCCTCATAAGTGTGTGATAGTGGTCCCTGAGTGGCTATAAATCGTGAAACAGTTTCAGAAGTAGATGCCTGCATAAGAGATAGACTTCTTTAGGATTCACTTGAAACGTCAAAGCAAAAAGAAAACAAACATCTCAGAGGGGAAAGAGCAACCCTACCTCTATGAAGCTTGCATTGACGTATCCCTTGGCTTCTGGTCTATAGTCTTTGCAAGCATCAAGAACAACCCTGTTTTGGTCAACTGAAATCAACCGAAAACACAACAATTCATCAAATTCATCGGAGCGTAACCTTAGAGACTAATATAAGCTTAAACCAACAGATAGAAGAAAGTTCCAAACAGTTGCTTTTACATGGTATGACATCCATATAACGATTCTTCTCCGAGTTGGCATTGTTAAGAGCCACCTTGCAGCTTCTGGCCACTTGGGATGCCGTCATCCTATTTGCCTGAATTAACAAGAAAGTAAACTTGAGTTCAACAGATAGGGAAGCTATCTAGCCCGGATAGCCAAAGGATCAGAAGATCTAGAGTCTCTAAAAGCACTACCCTCGTTTCCAACTAATCTCAGGACCGAGCTTCCTAGTCAGATTAGCATCAAATCTAAGGATGTCATCCACGATTGAAGCATTTCTGCTGCTCCTTAGCTAGTTCTCAAATCCACCAAGAAACACCAGAGATTTCCGAAAACCTATACTGGAATTCCAGAGAAAACGCCTATAGAAACAAATCTTTCTTGTATGCATTCACTGACTCACTAAACGCCGCGATCTACTCAGAAATTATCAATTGAGAGAAGATCGTAATCTAGAACCTGCAAATGAGAGAACTCTTGAGCTATCCGCTGCGGGGTTCGGAGCTTCTGTCTGAGAATTTGGAGCGCCTCAGAGCAGTAGCTGCGCTGCTCGGGAGTGAGAGTAGGAAGAGGCGGAGGATCGGGCGAGAAGTGGAAACGACTGCTTGCAGAAGGAGCAACATCGGCCGGTGAATGAGTAATGCCGGCGGAGGAAGATGCCATGGCCGATTTCCGGTGGCGACGGCGGGAACGAGCCCGGGCGGAGATGAGATTCCCCAGTTGTGGATTCTCTCGTGTTTTCTTGCGTTGTTTTTGGTTTTTTCCGGTGGAAGTGTTTTATTGGTCCGTCACCGCTGATTTGGCGGTTGTGGCGCCTAGCTGTCGCCTGTCGGTATGTTCCAAGGTTAGCAAACCGGTTTATACCCGGTTTAGCAAATGGTATGTCAAGCAGTACAACCAGTTCAAAACGGTTTATGTCGATTTAACAAAATTGGTAGAAATATGAAAAATTATTCACATGAAATGAAACTAAGCATGTATTAAATGTATTTGAAAGAATCTACTTACAATCTACATTAATATTTCAATAAAACACAATATTTAACGTCAACCCCCAAAATTATATACTTGAATCCAACTACTAACATCACCATTTAACATTCAAATTCATGAAATAATCACATCATCTTTTAACTTCCAAGTTCATGAAATAAATTAAATTTTTTTTATTAAATTAACTAAAACGACGTCATTTTGTTTATAGACATAAATCGATCATATCAGTGATATTCCAGCCGTTGTTATGATCAGTAACGATTGTAGCAGGTACTACCGCCCGTCATTCCATCGAGGTGACAACAATAATATGTTCTCTCTCATTTTTCATCTTCATTTAGACTACTGATTACTTGATTTTGGTGATAGTTAAATTGATTAATAGAATATTACTGTATTGTGATTCATTTCATTTGACTTTATGGTAATTATTATAATATTTAAATAGATTATATTACTTTTTATATAAAATATTACATCTATATTTATTCTAAAATCTCTCATTTCCATATAACAGAATAAATTACACTCTCTACAAACATTTCATCAATACACAATAACAATACATATCTACAATAATACAGCTGAATATAACAAACAAAATACACTTCCTCATGTATATATACTTGAAACAACGCTGCAGGATGCTTGAAGTCAAGCAGCTCCAGCATCCGAATGCAGAAGCGATGAAGAAGCCCGCTCCAGATCCCCACCAGAAGCCACCGGCGAAGAAGAAGCTCCTCCGACGGCTGAAGTGTTGTTCGACGAAGCCAAAGAAGGAGCAGGAGCTGAAGTAGGAGCAAACGTAGACAGAGCACTGGCATTGCTGCTCATGGTCATGCTCGTCCCGCTCATCGATCCCTCGGTCACCACTCGAGGCACCGGGGGACGTTCAAACTCCGTGATCCCTTCCAGCATCTGCACAACCTTCCCCATTGTTGGTCTCTGAGACGGCTGCTCCTGGATGCACCAGAACCCAACTCCGATCAGCCTTGTTATCTGCTCCATGTCCAGATCATCGCCATTGGTCGATAGTAATCGTCTGTCGACAATCGCCCTCACATTGTCCTTCTCGAACTCCTCGTATGCCCACACGGTGAACTTCTTCATGTTGGTTTGTTCAGACACCTCGAAGTTCCTCCTCCCGCTGACTGTCTCGAGCAACACCATCCCGTAGCTGTAGACATCCGACTTGGAAGTTATGGGGAGATTCGCTAGCCATTCTGGGGCGAGATAGCCACGTGTCCCTCTCACGCTCTTTAGCGTTCTGTATCGATGATCCTTCGGGTTTATGAGCTTTGCAAGGCCAAAGTCGGAAACTTTAGCATTGAAATTGTCGTCTAACAGGATATTCTCAGGTTTGATATCGCAGTGCACAATGCAGTCTCGACATTCCTCGTGAAGATACGTGATCCCTCTTGCGGTTCCTAGGGCTATATTGAACCTACACCCCCAGTTCAGAAACTTACCAGACTGGTCTTCTGTGGAGAAGAGGAAGCTGTCAAGGGAGCTGTTTTTCATGAACTCGTAGACCAGAAGCCTGTGGCGCCCTTCAGAGCAGAAGCCGATCAATCTCACTAGGTTCAAATGGTGGGTGCTGCTTATGGTAGCGACTTCCATTCTGAACTGTCTTTCCCCTTGTTCGATTCCCTCGAGCTGCTTCACTGCAACTACAGTTTTATTTGCAAGAATGCCTTTGTACACTGCACCAAACCCTCCTGCTCCGAGCTTCTCCTTGAACCCATTAGTAGATCGCTGAAGCTCTTTGTAGGAGAACTGAACGGGCGCACCGGAGGCATACTCGAGAAGTGCATACTGAGCTGATAGAGAACCGAAATTGGGACTGTGCCTGCAGCACCACCACCATAAACCGGCTTCCGCTGCTATCAGACCAGCAAGGGTGGAAAGAACTACAACTGCAACTATCCAACCTTTCATCTTCCACCCTTTGCTCTGTCCCACGACCTCAATTTGGCCTGTAGGGTTTGGTTGAATCGGACCACAGACCTTCACGTACGAAGTACTCGGAAGGGATGGATTCTGGTACCCACTAACGAACTCCGATGTCTTCAAGTAACACAAACCAGTTCCATCTGCTAATGAAGTTGAAGCAAGGCATGAGCCACTGACAAGGCAATTCAATCTGCAAGCCGATATACCGACCCAGAACACCTGTGAGGAGAGCTCGGGTTGGTACGTTAAGAACCTAGCATGATCCAGCTCGAGCATCGTCGCGCTCCCTGGACAATCCTGAATCTCTACTTTCCTTCTACAACCCTTTCTGCTATCGTTTGGATCAACGGGTTCGAAGTTCTGGGATGGGCAGCCACAAACCGGGTTCGAGCTAGTGACATTGTAGCTACAAATCCCCATGTTACCACAGTAGCCAAAGACTTGACACTGATCGGTCAAAGCTGCCCATCTCATGGTCGTAGTTCCACTACCTCTAGCAGAGCTATAAATTCTCAAATTCCCATCACTATCTAGCTTCAAGAACCTAAGAATGTCACTACCTTCAGCATAATCACTACTGTAAGCAACTATGTAAGGACTCCTCAAAGTAGGATCGGAAATCGCTGCAACTCCAATTGGCTGTAACCCTAGAATCGGCGAAGTTAAATTGGAATCGACGGAGGAATTCAAACCTTGGTTCCAGTAAGTTATGCTGCCGTTCCAAGTCAATGTCAGGTTTCCAGTATTGAGGAGGCGGAACGAGTAAACACCGGAGACCAAGGTTTGGCCGGAGGTGAAGTTCTGCGCCGGGACGACGGTGTCCGTCGGGTTGGCGAAGCTTGACCAAACGGGTCGGGACCCGTTTCGGAGCACCAAATTGCCGGAATCGTCGATCGAGGCCGAGCTTGCGCCGAGCCGAGCCGTGTTGGAATCCCAGACGGTGGAGCCGGAGCCGTTGACTAGCAGGAGACTCCCGGCGGAAGTGAAGCGGAAGGACCCGCCGGAGTCGACGACAGCGGAGGCGCCGCCAGCCGTCCAGATTGGAACTCCGCCGTTGTAGTTGACGCCGGCGAGGAAGGAGTTGGGACCTACTTGCGTGAACCCGACGGAGAAGGTGCCGTTCGGAGAGGCCCAAGTCCGGTTGAGCTCGGCGGCGGAGAGGGAGGATCCCGGCGAGATTTGCGCCGCCGTGAAGGTGATCGAGATGGAAAGAAGAAATGGGAGGAAGAAGAGAGATCGGAAGTTCATTTTTCCCCTCGATCTCTCTGTCTCTGTGGCTGTTTATTTTTGCTGGGTTTTAGAGAGACAACGAATTGTGTTTACAAAAAAATTGAAAGTTAGATTATAAAAATAATAAATATTTAAAACGAAAAAGGAAACAGTGAGGGGAAGACTTTGAAAAGTCAAAAGTGGGACTTGGCTCAATATTTTTTGGGCATTTTCCCATTCCACCCTACAATTTTTTTACCTTTCTCATTCTTTATTTATACCAATTAAATTTCGACGAATATTATAAATCCCGCGACTTACAAAGAGTTAATTACACCAAAAAAGATTTTCTTTTATGTATTTTCATCGGCTAATGGTTTTTGTATGGATACTATTTCGATCTAATTTGTGTGATTCGATTTATATTGAATTGTTTAGAATGAAGATTACTCACTTTACAAGTTGTATGAGACGAGAATACGATCCTTACATTTGTCATGTTTTATCTTGTTCTTGAGTAGTTGTACTTGTATCACAATTCTTTACTACAATACTTGTACTTGTTTATGCCAGTTTAACTCTCCATAAAATAATGCAACTATGACTTGGTATAAGTCTATATTTCTCAAATCAATTCTCTTACTTATTTATTAAAAAAAATTTACTTTGTTTTTCAATGTCAAAAGCGATGTCATATACATTTTTCATTGAAACAAATTGTTTTCTTATTGACTTATTGTTGGTTCAATATTTGAACATTGTGTTTAATTTTTATCATCGGATCAATCCGTTGAAATTCTAATAAAATATTATAATAGGTCGACCTGTCTCAGCTTGTATCCACATGATCTGATCTGATGTGGTCCACTTTTGATATGATCACGAGTACTAGGATAGACGCCTCACCCTACCCTGTCCATCATCACCACCTCGGCCTACCCAGTTAATAATAAGAAACAAATTATATTCTCGAATAACCATGACGACGATAAGTTTCATCCCCTAATTAGTTTCTTTGTGTATTCGATAAACATCTCAAACGTCAGCTTGTTCTAACTTGTAGGGCAGGTTAATTATTATTATTATTATTATTAGTCTAATTAATTAGTCGCTCCAAGACTGTTTCTTTCAAATAATTGACCAGGAAAACTAAGAAATGTCGTCTTGCCCGTGATTGAGGACAAAGAAGGCCAATTGACTGACGCCTGTTTGCGTAACCAAGACGTCTTGTTTGCACTCGGGAAATAATTTCAGGCTTTGGAGAATTACCTCTACGCTACCTGTACTTTCACATTTCAGCCATTCCGCCCCCCAAGTTGGGGATGTTGGAAATTTGGCCAAAATGGAGGAACATTGTAAGGTCTTTATTCCAGCATATGATGACACTATCTGCTAGCCATATCAGACGGATCAGGTTACGACCCTCGTCGTGTCTATTTGAGTCAGGATGTCCCGCACGTTACACGATTCAAGGTCATTGAACGCATACGACAACAATCAAATCTCCAAAACTGTCACGCTAAGTGCATTAAGGGATTGCGAAAGCGAAATGTGCAATCCAACATTGATGGATCATGTTAAGATAGATGTCTTATATTGCTGGAAATCATTGGACTGGATTGAGATAATAATCATGCATAGTGCATTGCTTCAATACAATCTGCCTCAGTTTCTTCTGAGGCTCTCTTAGAGTGTTACTTGCATTACAAGTTAATCTTGAAAGGCTTTTACAAAATACAAAAAAAAAAGTTAGTAACCAACTAACCATAGTTCATGGTATAGCTATAAGCCCTCCTTTCAGTAAAAAAAATCAAACAGTAAAGAAATTTCCCCTCAACTCCCATGAATTTTGCTTAAAAAGTTGCTACCATCAATGGGGCTGGTTGGGTGGTTCACTTGCATTAACTTCACAAACACAATCTAACATCTACACTATGCATTTTACACCGGCTTCAGTGAATATAAGAAAAATGGCAAAGAATGATGACTAACCAGATGAACAAGCCCGGGAAATAACCCGGAATTATTAAGAGGAAGATTCATTGCTGTTGTTGTCCTTCCTTGATTCAGATGCTTTCTTCATAGAACCCACAGAGCTCGCAGGGATCACAAGGCTTCTTCACCCTGCACCAGTTATCGGGGACACTCGGGAAGTGGCTCGATATGAACTTCCGAAACCTCTTCTTGTACTCCCTGGGGGAGATTACTGTCGGCTGCACGTTCTTGGGGACCACGAGGGAGGACTTGACCCACGTCTCCAGTTGCTTGTCCAATGTGTACTGTCTGAGGTAGTCGATGATCCCGCACACGAGTTCTTGGCGTTGCACGTCTACCCCGACGAATAACGAGTAGTCCATCACATTGATCGACTGCAACAGAGAGAGGATACAAAACATCAAAATGATATAGATCGGATTGATTGTTCCATACAATGCACAATGAGACGTTTCGTATTCAAAAAGCAATAGCTCACATTGAGGAATATGGTGTCATTCCAAACCGCACGTTCCAGGTAACGTTTTGCCGTGGTGCTGACATAGAGAGGAGAGGAGTTCATGTCGTCGACAAAGTTCTGATCCAACAGAACTTCGCCGGGGTCATTGATGACTGCAGTGTACCTTGCGTGCAGGGCGCCTTTTAGATCATATTGACGAGTAATGTCTCGGCCGAAATTTAGGTTCTCCATCACCATCAAATCGTTCCTCATCTCTTTCCCACCTTTTGGAGGCCGAACAATCACCTGCACAAGCAAACATTAGGGCATGGTTATTTGCAGTACTGCAATTTAGGTCAGTAGATGATTCACTGAGACCATGTTTGATCTGATCGGTTATTTATTCTAGCAAAGGCTTAAACAAACGCACCCCAACAAAGCATGAGATATTAGAGAATGTAAGCTAGGAAATAGTCAAAAGGGTGGAATCAATGTACAAACCTGATAAATACCAAGAACTTTTGCCAGACATGTCTGGTTCCCCAACTCAAACGACTCATTCATGTACTTGAAATACTCTGGACCAAACTTCACGAAAGAGTCGAACTCTGTCTTCTTAATCTCCTTGATAATGAACCTGTCATCCAGTGTTTTGGCAAAAAAGCATTTGCTTTTGCCACCTTTAGCTTCCCAGTTCATGCAGCGACTAAGAGAAGCAATGAAATCAAGTTCCGAAGGACAACAGTGATTCCTAAGTTCCCGGAACTCCTTATCATACACACAAACCACTGAATATCTGCCCTTTCCAAGGGTGTTTGCCACCCCTAAAGACACTTCAGGGCTAAGAGTCTCAGGAGGGTCTGTAGAATCCAACAAATTCAGCCCGTTAAAGCTGGAGAAGACAGACTCTTCGGAAGAAATGCTGACGACGGACTGGATTATTTCAGAATCGGAACCACCAGATGACCAATGTGATAAAATATCATTAATTTTTCCCTCGTCATTGAGAAACTCTGATGTGAAAGGAAGATCTTTCAAACATGCAAGTGCACAAGCAATGATGCTGGAGAGCTCGCCATCATAGTCTCTCACAATGTCATTTCCATTTCCAAGAGGTATGTGGAGCCTTGACCCTTCTTCAGTGATCAGTTGATAGGCGGAAGGCACGTTTTCCAGAGTGTAGCCGTTATTAATAGGCTTGAACTTTGGTGTGAACCCTCTCTGAAGATCCTCCATGTAAATCTCCAAAATCTCTGGAAATGGCTTCCAGAACCATCCATTCGAGTTTTCCAAGGATGATACCTGAGATTGCATAGACATCACACGCTTCAATGCATTTCCATCTCCCGAGGCAATTGGTACATCTCTTTCGACTTGTATAACACCAGACAAAGTCAAGTCATTAGCTTGACTATGACTTTGAGTCAATTTCACTCTATCATGATCCTGATCAACGGGAGATGAGCTCGCGGAATTGTGGTTTTCGTTGGGAAATCCATCCACTGGACCTTCGACTGGGATTTCTTTGATTGGTGATTCATCGTTTCCTTCTGAATATGCACAATTGGTGCCTTCTGAATTCTCTCCATTTACGGCAGCTTTATTGTTGCCATCTGAAATGGCCGTGTTTCCTTCGGTGCTATGTAATGAAGGATCGGGTAGGAGAAGAGAATGCAAACGTCTTTCCCAAATGTATGACTCGAGGAGAAGCTCCCACAACAAGTGATTCAATGAAAGAAGATTGTTCCCAGTCTCGGTTGATTTCCCATGGTTAGCAGCGGCATTGTGAATATTCACCTAACGATTTCACAGATGTATGAACACCAAATGAGAAACACAAATATTTCACTGAGGCCATTAACCATAAACATTATATCACAGAAAATGAACTTAAAGACCTTTGGAGTATCTCATATGAAGTGACAAAGTAACCTTGAGAGTTTTCAAATCAGATCATGTGTACGATTGAGCTGTTACTTTAAGTAGAAAAGCTGCAACTTTAGGTGGGTCACCTATAAGGTTAACTTTCTTTGTAACTTTAATAAAACGGATATGAATATTCTTACTATTGACTCAAGGTTGAAGGAGGGAGACCAAAAAGGTTGTGCAAAACAAAGTCATGATCAAAGAGTTCAAAACATATTATCCAATTTAAAAGGTAACCAACAATCAGTAGCTAATAACTATTTCTGACATGGACGAGTAGAAAAATATACCGACCTCAAACTCGGACATTTCCTGCTTTAGCATCTCTTCAATATCAGAGAATCCTACCAATGATCCGTGAAGCTTCAGAACAGTACTTCCAAATTGAGACTTTAAATTTTTCAAAGCCTCTGTTAACCCAGAAAAGAGTAATATACCTTTCGAGTACACCTTGGCAAAGTTGAATCAATAAAAGTTTAAGATCCCAAAAAAAGAAATTAATAAGACATAAAAAAATAACATTGAATAAAGAATTGCAGAAGTTCAAAAGATGCTTACTTCCTCGAATTCGCGTCTCAGACCTTCATGTCTAACTGAATTGTTGAAGTCCAGTTTTTGAGGTGGCAGAGATATGGTATGGGTTGTCATTTGAGAATATTTGAATAATGCTGCAAATGGACCTAATCTGAAAAGGAAATCAAGATTTGTGTTTGAGAATATTTAACGCCATAAGAACAGAAGGATTTAGTGTTGGATAGAGTCTTCATATCAATATGTGTTTGAACCATTTGTTTCAAAGTTGTCTTTTCTTGCTCGAATTTTACTAACAGCATATCAGGAAGTGAAATCTACTATTCATACCCAAAGAAGTAGAGGAAATCTCTTTCCTGAGAATGGCCACAGCTGGATGAGCTTTTACCAAAAGAAGATTGGTCAGAAAAGCTCAGCTCCAAGAATTTCCCGAAAGACAGACTTCGTGCAGCTCCAGAAACCAAGACTCTTTTTGTAGATTTCGAGTCCCCTTTACATTTACCACACCGGCTCCACATCCAAAGCTTTCCTTCTGCCTCCCCAGGCAAAGCTTTCATAAGCCGCTTAACCCTTATAGTAAGCTGCTTATCATGATGAGCATAGTAGTAAAAGTGCACTTCTGGCAATTCTCCACAGGTGCTACAATGACTTCTCTGTACAATGAAAAAATGTGTGATGTCATTTTCAAGTCGAGTGCTAATTATACAACAGGAAAACAAACTTAATGTATGAATTGGTGTTCAACCAGGCAACCTGTTCAATTATCAGATATAACATCACATAGCCAATATGCTGTGAAGGATTTTTAGTAATGTAAAACCTATAGACGTGACAATAAACTACACGATTCTAGTAGAAGCAGAGAAATATTTCCAAACCTGATTGAGCAAATTATCACGAAGAAACTTCCCCAGGGGAGCATCGAAATTCTTGTAGAACATGATGTGAGAGAAGTGATTATGTTCACACATTGAGCCTCTTAAAGCATTTCGGCGAGACATCAGTACCAATATACTTTGAGAATCCAATACTGGATTCACATTATCTTCACTTTTTAATTCTTCCTGGCTCTCAGCATCTTTTACACCATCTAGACTATCAGCTGATTGCTCTTTGTCAAAACCACCATTAGGCTCCCCATCACATTGGACAGTAGCATCCACTGGAACGCCTTCTGTAACCTGACCAGTATCTTCCTTCCTTTGGAACCCAAGATAATTAAAAAGTGACTGGTATGGGTCTGAAGGTGGAACAGAACCTATTACTCTCTTTAGTGAGGCAGAAAGAGAGGAAAAGCCAGTAAATATTGCAGGGGAATTATATCGAACGTAAGGAAATCTGGGAGTTGGTTCTGATCCCACATTCGAATCACGAAAAGCTTCTACTACATTATATCCACTATTAATGGGAATATCAATGGTAGGAGGTGCAGAATCACCTGATGTCACCTCTTCTACTGGGTAAATGCCTGAATCACCAACCCCCAACTGAGAATGCTGCTGATTTATATTTGAAGTCTCAGCTGCTGCTTCGGGAAGTGGTATGAAAGTGGAGAACATTCCCTTCCGGTCAATGATGAATGAAGTCTCGAGAATCATGTGATATGCCCAGATAACGGCTATCTGCACCACATGCTTAATCCTCTTCAATTCATCACTATGACTCCCTTTCAACAAAATCTGGAACATAAAAATGCATGTCAAATAATTAAAAACACTTAAATGGCTACAGAAACTGCTAACTATGAAGCACGGTTACAAAAGTGAAATCACTACGCGGTAAGTTTACTGGCATAAAATAAAGATGGAAGAGTTCAGATTTAGAATCTTACTGTGCAGCCCAGACGAGTAGGACAATCCTCGATGAACATCAGAGTCTTATTCGGTTTCTTTTCCCCATCACCAACAGTAGCACATTCCTCCACAAACTTTTCAACATGAAAGGATTTGCAATGCTTTAGCTTTTGAGTTGCTATCAAAGCATCTGATGATAGGATTGGTGAACCAGTACAGCGAGCAATTCTTTCGAGGCGGTGAAGCTTCATGTCATAGATTAATGTAATTCCTTTTGCAAGGATAGACTCTTGGATATCACGAGAAACAGATTTCTCTACCAGAACCACATTTGGTTCACACATTTCAATCGACTCAATAACTGACTTCAGATTGTCCTTTTCCTGTTTGAAAGAAAGATAGGAATAACCACTAGTAAAATTCCTCAAAAAGAAAAAAAACAAACCATCTTAAACGAGAGAGAGGAAGAGTGCTTCATTTCTCTAGACCTGATCCATTGTGTTAAATGATGACAGTCCACTTTCAGATTCCCCAAGCACACCCCTGATCAGCAGCAAACTTGGTTTCTTGTACTCAGTAGGCATGTGCTTATGCGCAGCATGCTTCTTAAAGACCAATCCATTGAAAACTTGACTGCCAAAAGTTCAAATATCAAAAGTTCAGCATCCTGTCAAGTACCAGCTCAAGTATTCTGATGGAGTGGAGCAAATGACTAACTCATATCGTTCCTGGTTAGCCATGAAAACAACTGAAAAGTACTACAACAATCAGGCAATACAGTCAAAATTCTTGTATAAAAATCTACCTTTCATTAGGATAACCAGTGGCAACGCACTTTACTTTCACATAGCCATCTGGTTCCATAGCCTTCCCTTCGATGGCATCAGGCTTTAAAGCTGAGGCAGCTTCCCATGATAAGGAAGTCACTATTTCTACCCAATTATTCATCTCATTGCCCATAAGGTCAACACCTGCTGTATTTAGGAGCTGCTTAACTAGAGACTTAAACTTCCCATTTATCACTTCTTCCATCGCTTTTTGCTTTTCTTCTTTCAACCTGTAGCTCCCAATGCTGGCCTCTGAAGTTAAAGATCCCGGCTGACCCCATTTCATGCCATCATCACATTCATCTTCATCGTCATCATCATTCAGGGGAAAACTAGCCTCGACATCATCCAAAGGGTCCTCAGGTTCGGGGGCCTCCCACTCTTGTGGATCAATTTCATCAACCAGACACTGAGCAATCTCATTGCAGGATTTGGAATTATTTTCAGTGAGATTGTCTCCAATTTCATGAGAATTACTCCTTTCCATGATTTCAACATCTCTCGCTATGTCTCTATGGATGCTGCTTCTAATTCTATGCAACAGGTCACCGCATACAGGGGCTTGCAGCTTTTCCTTAGAAAGTTGCCTACTCAGCCCATAACCGACACAGTCCCTAGAACAGTCTAAAGTGCCTTCCTGCTCATTTCCCCTGATACCAACAACAATTAAAACAAATGTTGAGACTTCAAAGAAAAACATTTCTATCAACAACAAAAAATGGATGACCATTATACATACCGATCATGTGAATTCATATCAACAGAAAAATCACCTGCAAGGATGGAAGACAGAATAAAATATACAGATTGATGCTTGTTTGAAAATTACATCAATGAAACTCAAGAGGGAAGGGAGGAAGCCTTTTACTGCTGGTAGACAATGATCGATCATTGAAAGACAATGAGGATGGTGAACTCGTCATTGTCATTACACGGCAAAAACTATCCTGGTTCCCTGACATAGTCTACAAGACCATCTTGGCTCCATAACATTTACACCAAGACATTTTCCTTTCTCTATTCCCTTTCTCCTCCTTCAACCTTCAGATTTTCTTCACCACAATAGAGGCACATGCCATGCTTTCAAGATCAAAGCAGATTCATTACAGGTGGCCTGGTTGCAAAGAAGCACGAGATAGATCAAATGTTTGGTTTTAACCAAATTGCAGAAATATAGAAACAAATAACATTAGATGTTAACTAAGAGACTAATTAATAAGAAATAGGAAGAGAGAAAGAGTTTCACTTGGCAGAATCACTGAAAAATGTCATCAAGCCTGCCTACCGAGTTAGAAGTATAATCCAAACTTACATGTAAAGCCCTATAGAGGCTCAAAGTGTAGAGATTCTTGGATTGGAAGTTAGGGAGAAAACACGAAGGGGAAAGATCAAATAGAGGTAACCAATGAACATACACGGAAACTCAGCTATATCCTCATATTGGAAGTGGAGAAAACAATGAGGAAAGGTTAAAATAAAGACCGGTAATGCCCACAGGTCTCAAACTAAGGGAGATCAGATGTTAAACCAGACGGCAGAACCTTTTCATTTCAAAACAAAATACAACCAAACAAACGAACAGTGTCTCTATCTAGACTGCCTTGTCAAGTCAAATTCTTCCCTACAAAACACAAGATCAATTGGATTAATCCCTATATTAAAACTGCCAACTAAACTCCAACCTGCATCTCCGCAGAACTCCTGAAATGATCCTGATAACTCCCAATTAAAACCCAGCAGGAAATCCACAGTTGGAAGAAGACCCAGAAAGGAGAAAGAAACAAAGTAACATACTTGCGTGACTTGGTGAAGTTTCCATTGGGAATCTCATCGACCAACAACAGGGTTCAAACGAGGAAACTCCATAATCAATCAAAGGGGAGCGGCTAATTAAATATAAAAGATGGGAAAAGCATAACTTACTGTAAAAGCAATGCAAAGGGGCAAAGATAGCATGGGCTTGTCATCTGGGGATTGCTTGCTGCTGCAACATCCACATCAATGAATTCTTAATCTTGACGAGCAGAAGAACTCATCAATAGTTACGGCAGGGGCTGGGAGATTGGAAGGGTAAAGGAGGAAGCGTTTTTTCTTCTTCTGCTGTTTCCAGTAAAGAGGAGATGGGAGTCCAGAGAAGTCTCAGCAAAAGCGAAGACAGTAGAGAATTTGGGAGGGAGAATTTGGAAGGAAAAGAATGAAAGAGAGAAGACCGGCAAGAAGAAGGAGACAGCAATAGAGGGAAATGGACTCGATGTCTTATTGGCCCACTTTCTTTTCAAACTGGGGAGCCCAAAAACCATTTTCAAACAAATGTATGGTATGGATCAGGAATGTATTATTGGGCCCGTTGGATTGGATATTTAAGGAGAGTGATTTTGACACATTTTCATGTTTGGGAAGATGATAGATTTTCGGAGTAAAGATTTCGAGAACCATCAAATGTGGAATTTTTTTTTTGTAAATAACTGATGGACATCAATTATTTTGCAATCACTCATTTATATTCCTTCATTCGATGGATTTTTGTAATTCTTAAGTGAAAGATATTGTTCAATAACGACTGTTATCTTTACACATTGTGATAAAGACAAATGGAACGCTATTACTATTTTAACTAAAACGATATATATGAACCATTTAATTGCGTCAATTAGGTATAAATAAAAGGGTTTGATATCGTTTGGAGTTGAAAATGAGCATTATGGCACCACTAAGTCGGTTATATTGCAGCTAGCATAAGATTAGAACCTCACTTCTATGAAAGCATACTTTCTCCCTCTCTCTCCTCGAGCCCCGTCCATTCGTTGGGGGTGAATCCTTGTTTATCGCGCTCAACTGTTTAACTTGTTGTTAGGCTGGTACTTGAGAGTTCTGCTCGTTGCAGTGAATGTCGGGGTTTTTTCGCACCCAAATGGTACGTGTGCCAAATTCCTATTGAAAAATGTGTCTAAGCTAACCCGTGACTTCATAAAAGTCATGCATAGTAAATAGTAAGTGATCTCAACCTGCCCGAATGAGTTTGCCATAGAGGCAAGTGAAGTTGACGAGTTGCATGATGGGAAACTATCTCTTACACTTCGGAAAAGACTCGAGTGTTATTCAGTATCTGCTTGGCTTGAAAACGAACTCTTCCACCCATTTTATTACATGAATTCCATATGAATCAATGCATCTTAACAAGTCATTTCTATTAGCAATCCTTCCTTTTCGGTTATGCTTGATCCTTTCTATATCTCCTCTTGCTAATTGTTAACCCCAAACACACGCAAAAGAAATGGTCAAGATGGTGGAATATGGTGGCAATTTCTTTTGCTTGGGGCCATGTCTCTCATTTGCTTGTAGTTTCCTTTTGACTATCCATTTGCTTTTTTGTTCTCACAATTTCTTCTACCTGTAAAAAAAAAAACGTTGAAAAGAGAAAAAAAAGGATAAAAACAGAAAATTCGTTTTCCGAGAGAGTGATCTTGGTCTACGGAGTCCTCGCAACTGTGACACAGTCAATAGCTTGCTGCAAGTTTGACACCACCACCGGCCTTCTCTTCTACGCCTCTCGTCTCAGTCTTCCCCTCTCTCTCTCTTTCGTTAAAGTCCGAGCTCTGCTACTAGAGGGATCTCCGTCCTCTAGCTGGTGAGTCAGTCGTCGTCTTCTTTATTCTTCATCTCCTCGCTTCTTTTCCGTCTTTTCCCCCCGGTCGGTCTTATCTGTGGTTTCTGCGCGCGACCGCTGGGAAGGTTTCATCTCTTTGATGCTTTGTTTGATCTTACTTTGCCCCCGGCCGTGGCTGCTATTTTGTTGGTACCGCAGATTCTGTACTCAGTTTTCGTTTCTGGGTATCTTCCGTTGGGGATTTTTTTTCCCTTTCTGCTGAAACTCTGGTCAGAGTTGTTGACATCATTATCGTTTGATTTGACCTTTAAACTGATGGGTTGGGTTTTGATTGGCAGTTTTGTTTGACTTGGGCCGGGGGGCGTTGATGGGTTGGAGCTCAATCGGCGATCGTAATTGGTGCTGGGTGAATTTTGATGTGATGAGGGAGGGCTCCATTTTCAGCTTGGATGTGGGATATGTCGATCTTTTGGTTTCAGCTTCATAGATAGGGTGGTTAGAACTTTGAAGTTCATTGCTAGGCTTGCTGTAGGCTGTAACATTTTCGTTAGTGAGGGTTTCTCGTTTCTGGGAAAAGAGATTGAATTAATAGGTAGTGGTTCTTTTTGGTTATATGAGAAATTGAGGAGGATAGTTTGTGGTGATTGAAGGAGGCGTCATGGGGGGCCTTTGCTCGAGGAGTTCTACTGTAGATAATGCTCTCGGAGGAGGTCTTTCTCATGTGAACGGTCATTCGAATGAGCATGGTTTGATTTATCAGTCTGGTGAAGTGAAAGTAAGTAGCAGCACGACGCCTCCAGTAATCGTAAATGTAGGGGATAAGCAACAGGGAGAACAACTGGGTTCATCGACGGAGTTAAGCGTGGTTCCTATCGGGATGAGTCCAGAAGATATGTATGATGGTATTCCACGCTTGGCAAGGGTGCTGTCAAACAAATCTAGATCGACCAAAACAAAGCAAGCAGCCGTTGCAAAGGTTTAACTCGAGATGATACTGTTTTTGATGCTGTCTTTGTTGCTGTTTTGTTCATCTACTCTCTTTCCTGTTTGATGTTCGAACGTATGTCGTTATTATTCATTTGGCTAGGGAATGTTTACACGGATGGGTATTTTTTTTTTTGCCTGTTATTATTTGTTTTCTATTTTAAGCAGGAGAATGTGTCATCAATGCCACATTTCGGTTGCACAGACCTTTTGTAAAACTTTTACTATCTTTACGTACTACGTCCTGAATTAGGTTCACTTTCTTTTTTGTAATTGAATTTATGGTAAGTTGAAATTGAGACTATTAGGACTTGCATTGTGTGTGTCATATCAATAATCCAAAAGATAACATATGGAACTTATTTGTATCATCGTGTACTCGTTGCCTTTAAAGAACCTAGCTATAACAAAAAGGCTTCTGCAACTAACACATATGTGTTTTCTCGGACAGTGATCCTAAGATATGTGATTTGAATCTTTTAAAGCTTGTTCAGATGCTTTTGCCTGCATCAGATGCAAGGTTGAACAATGGTTTTCATCTTTTGTTGCTCACTCAATCAAGTGTAGCCAAAAGTACTTAGTAAGCTTCAAATTCCCTTAGTAACTGGCATTATTAAGTCAGGGAAACAATAATGGTCTGTTCTGTGGTTATTCAGCAGCAGTGTGGATGTGTTTTGAAGTCCTGCCATTTTCCCTTCTATTCAGTTTGTCTCTGTTGATTCTTATATCTTACTTATTTACTGTCCTCTGCACTGCTTCTACTTAATTGAAAAGGCTGACATGCATTATCGTGGTGGAAGGTTCTGTTTTGTATATCAATAGTTTTGACTTTTTACTTTACTGATTGTAGAAGTTGATGAACACGAGAAGAGATGTTTTTTACTGTTTTTTTTTTTGTAGAAATTTTTAATGCAAGGAGTTTGAAATTTATGTTTTACAGAAGTATCAGTCACAATATTCATTGTATTATTCATTTTGGCATCTCTTGGTGCAGGTTTCAGAAGTGAGTTCCCTTCTAGGTAGAGCGGGTACCGCTGGTCTCGGTAAAGCAGTGGAAGTATTGGATACACTTGGTAGTAGCATGACAAATCTCAATCCTAGCAGCGGTTTTACCTCGGGAGTAACAACAAAAGGCAATAAAATTGCAATTTTGGCATTTGAAGTTGCCAATACAATTGTTAAGGGTGCCAACCTTATGCAATCCCTTTCAAAGGAGAATATCATACATTTGAAAGAAGTGGTGCTTCCTTCAGAAGGGGTCCAAAACTTAATATCAAGAGATATGGAAGAATTATTGAGAATTGCAGCATCAGATAAGAGGTGAAATTTGCTGATATGTTATTAACGTGAAATTATCACGCTTGTTTGATTTGGAGGCTTAGTGTATTACACCATTAAATTCAGTATCCTGTGAGATGATACTAATTACTTATCCTTGTGATTGTGGCAGAGAAGAATTGACTGTTTTCTCTGGAGAAGTGGTACGTTTTGGAAATCGTTGCAAAGATCCACAATGGCACAATTTGGACCGTTATTTTGAGAAGTAATGTAGAAAAGTTTTGATTACTTCAGATCTTTTAACATTACGCGAAACAAATCTCATGTTACTCTTCATACTGTTTCCATGTTTTGCAGGTTAGGCTCAGAACTTACACCAGAGAGGCAGCTTAGGGAAGAGGCAGAGACAATGATGCAGCACTTAATGACTATGGTTCAGTACACAGCAGTGAGTGTTTGATTCTCTCAATGTAAAGTTGTCAGTTTAGCTTCTATCTAGTTTTAATTCCAAGTGAGACGATTACAGGCAATCATGGTCAATACGTCACTGGAAGTCACTCACTTGGTTTACTTGTGATATTTATAGAACCTAGTCTTTGAGATTTTGAGATACTGAATGGACATAATATCTCTGATAGCCGAACATAAACACATAATGACAGCTTGTGGGTATAGCTGATCCTACAGCGTTGTCTATCATATCTCTCTCCAAAAAGTTGGAGATGTCTTCAGGTCAATCTGCCTAGCTCAGTACCAGTGATATGAGTTCTGTTTGTCTTGTGTTAAATATTAGTTTCTTATTGATCAGGTACTTATAGTGTGGTGGGTCTATAGATCAACTCTCATTTTCATGTATCATAAATCGGAAATCTATTCCGAAGTCATTTTGTAGTGAACACTAATCCATAGTTTCTGTTAATACGTTGAGGAAAGAAAGGTTGAAACCAACTCATCCTTGGTATTTGTACAAAGGCAAACTGTTCATTCATTGTTTTTACGCCGATATTTGGTTGTTGATGTCTCTGGAATGCAACATTTCAAGTAGAGTCTCACATGGGTTTAACCAGGCCTACTATGTGTATTTGACTGAACCAGATGCTTTCTTGTGCAAATTTTTGTTCATGCTTCTGAATTAAGGAAATTTAAGACATCATCCCCCCTCCTCTCTTTGTTGTGCAGGAATTGTATCATGAAATGCATGCTTTGGACAGATTTGAACAAGATTACCGACGTAAACTTCAGGAAGACGAGAACTCAAATACTACACAGAGAGGTGTGTTGTATGAGTTTCAGGTTGTATCAAGTTGTTTATTTTTGTATGTTTGATTAGGTTGCTCTCATGGACGCAGACCTAGTACGCTTCCAGTTTTTCAGTTAAAACCTCTCCTTGTATTGTAATGTAGCCCTCCGGTATATGAAGTCTTTGAGCCTGAATTTTCGAAACAAAAATTCTGACATAAATTGTTTTTTTGCTGTTGCAAACATAAGTTTGATCCATAGAATGGATCTCCTTTTCATTTGATCAGTTGTTGTTTTAGATCTTTGTCATCATTGAATCTAACAATTTTGTTCCATAGATATGCAGAAAGAGTTATGGAATGTGATACACCTGACATGAGATATCAAAATTTAACTCAATCTTCTGGTGCCTACAACCATGTTAAACTGAAACTGTGCTCTCGATGACTAATTTGAACTTCTTTTATTCACATCTTCATTTCATATCCCAATGCGTACTTCTGAGTTGTGGTTTGACATGAAGATGTGAAGTTGTGTTAGCCTTGATTATTATTTTTGGTAAACTCGAAATTCTAACTGTTTCTTATTGACATTCAGGAGACAGCCTTGCAATTTTGAGGACAGAGTTGAAGAGTCAACGGAAACATGTGAAGAGTTTGAAGAAGAAATCGCTATGGTCAAAGATTTTGGAAGAGGTAATAGTCATTGTTGTCTAGGCAGCGAGTTCTCACTTGATATGATGAACTTTTCTTGGTCCTCTTATATCAGCATTTGCAATTTGATGGATCCCAACCCTATGAGAAATCTGGTTTACGGAATTATATACGCCCATGGTCCTGTTGCTCCTAAGCATTAGAACTTTTCATGATTTCTGGTGAATATATCTTGTTACTTGTGCTCTTAGGTAATGGAAAAGCTTGTAGACATCGTCCATTTCTTGCATTTGGAGATTCATGAAGCCTTTGGTAGTGCAGGTGAGCATCCACCAACCATGTGAAATCTGGTCTTCTAGATTCCAGGCACAGGTTGTTTGAACCCTCTTGTCTATATTTCTGCATGCAGAGTTAATAAGCTCCAAAAGGCTTCAGAATAATTCAACGAAAAATAATAATAATTCAGAATAGTTTTGTTTGATGAGTGATTTTACAATGTAATTAGAATAGTCGGTAAGGTTTTAGCCCTCTCCCACAATTACTACAATTCAAGCCCCCCCCCCCCCCCCCCCCCCCTGGTTTGGAATTCTGGCTTCGCCATTGATCGTAGTTTCTAGTATTTAGGATTGTGAAATCTCCGTAACTAGATATAGCGGCACTTCAGAGATTGACAAGTGGGTTCCATCTTTTGACCATCTGATGAAAGTTTAGTAATCAATCTCTATTTTAACGCGTGATTTTGACTACATTTGTAAGAGAAAAGCGCAATTCTATGTAGGAGTGTTTTTTATGACACTGAAGTGTAAAAGCATAAGCTTTTAAGGTTTAATGTGTGATTTTGAGTACATTGCTTGGCATTACTGTATAGCTAAGTAATTGTACAATTGGAAGTCATTTACTGCTTGAATGTTTTAGAACTAGTGATATTATTAGTTTTTAGTAGGCAACAGTTTGTTTTAATCTCAACTTGAAAAGCGAGATTTTGTCTGTGAGTCCTGCATGAAAAACTTCTATATTCGTATGATATTTTTTAATACGTGCACTGAGATGAACTAATTCCATTATTTTACTGTAGATGGCGATAGACCATTGAAAAATTCAACGAATAGTCACAAGAAGCTGGGCGCTGCTGGCCTTGCTTTGCATTATGCAAATATTATCACTCAAATTGATACTCTTGTAAGTTGGTGATTTCATCATTCAGAATTGAGTTCTTCTCCTCTCTTGTAGATGAATAATTTGAGCTCTGATGCTTGAGCAATAATCAGGTCTCTCGCTCGAGTTCTGTGCCCCCAAGTACAAGAGATGCGCTGTACCAAGGGCTGCCACCTAGCATTAAGTCTGCCATGCGCTCCAAATTGCTTTCTTTCCAGTTTGACGAGGAGGTAAGAATCCTTGTTAGTACTCAAGTTTGAAATGTTTGTGTGTCAATTTTTTTTATTGGCATATCTTGACTGTGTCCTTGTTTTTCGGTGAAGCTCACCGTCCCTCAAATCAAAGACGAAATGGAGAAAACTTTGCGGTGGCTTGTCCCGATTGCTGCTAACACAACCAAGTAAAAGTTTTACCTTCTACTTCCATTAGAAGAACATTTACTTTCAAATATTCATGTTTGGTTGTAGCTCTTGCCTATGTTGTTAGAATCCTCATTTTAGATATTAGAATCTAAGCTTTCATGTCCGCTCTTATGTTTATGATTTTATGTTGACCAGAGCTCAATTTTACATAGAATTTCAATTTTGACTTTGTCTGAACTCAATGTTAACCAGAGCTCATCATGGATTTGGTTGGGTTGGAGAATGGGCAAATACAGGGTGAGCTGAAATATTGCTTTCTCACACTTCTGGTTTTCAATGTATTTTCGAACCTCTTCTGATGACAAAACTCTCCCAGGTCTGAAATGAACCGAAAGCCAGCTGGGCAGAACGACTTGCTGAGGATCGAGACTCTGCACCATGCTGACAAAGACAAGACCGAAACACACATCCTCCAACTGGTGGTGTGGCTTCACCACCTTGTCAGCCAAGCAAGAGCAGCCAATGGCGGAATCAGATCACCTGTCAAATCACCGATGCGATCCCCAAACCAAAAGACGATACAGCTGACAGCACAAACCCCCAGCCCTCAGTCTCCGATGCTGACAATTGAAGATCAAGAGATGCTGAGGGATGTAACCAAAAGGAAGAAACTGCCGGGGATAAGCAAGAGCCAGGAGTTTGACACTGCTAAAACCAGGCTAATGATGAGTAAGCACCACAGGTTGACCAAGAGCAGCAGTCATTCCCCTACCCGCGAAACCAAGAGAGACCCTTTCCCTCTCAGGAGACCATCTTCAATCCCTGTCATCGACTTCGACATCGACCGGATCAAAGCCTTGGACGTGATCGACCGTGTCGACACGATTCGCAGCTTGTAGAGATGGGTAGTGTATGGTTGGTGGTAATCTGTAATGAGGTGCTGTGTGGTTGTGATGGTGGATTTTTGTTGTTGTGTTAGTGGCCGAAGATGGTATGTTTAGGAGTGGATCGCAGAATTAATCGCGTTAATGTATGATCGATTTAGGGTTTTTATTATTACAGCTTCCTTTTTCTTGTTCCTCTGCTGTACAGATGAACTTTTGTGAAGAGTCTATGAACATAGCAAAGGCCCTGTTTACTTTCATTTCTGTTTTCTGTTTTTGAGAAAACAGATGTTGAAAACAGGTGAAAACGACATTTTTTCGTTTTCGAAAACAGCAGGAAGTTGCCACTTTCTGTTTTCAGAGTTGAAAACGAATAGAAAACAGAATGAAAAGTAAACATGTTTTCTCGTTTCGTTTGCCAAATTTATGACATGAAAACAGAAAACAGGAAACGAAAATAGAAGTGAACAGGGCCTTAGGCTTTCTCCTTTTCCTTTCAGGTCATGCGACTTTAAAATTTGAATCAGTCTCCATATCCATTTCCGCGCCATAAATCCATTGGGCTTTTACTGGGTAGATTTGAGTTGCGGATATGGGCCGTAGATTCCGGCCCACGATCTTTCTTTTGATAAACAGAATCCCATTTTCTCTATGCAGACATATCAGTACCAGACGGCAAAAAAAGGGAAACAACGGTTCCCGGCAGAATCACCGAAAATTCACCGGCGCAAGCTTTCCGATCTTCGGGCTGGAAACAATCGCGAAGAAACAATGGAGAAACCATCACCGCCGTCGTCGCGATCGTCGAGCTCCTTTGACGGCTCCAAAGAGCTTCAGCGCGTTGGATCCATCCCCGTGCCGACTGATAAATCCTTCCACGCCATCGATTCGGCTCTGGTTCCTTCACGCCAGAAGTGAGCCTCTCCTTTCGCTTTTTGGCTTCGTTGGCTGACTCTCTACTACTGTATGGTCGTGAATCGTGAAATTTGTTGGTTTGTCTTGTCTAGGGTGAGGGCGCCAAGGTATAGAATGCTTCCGGCGGAAACCGATCTAAATACTCTTCCAGTAGTTTCCAACTTGCCGGAGAAAGTTCTTCCAATCGGCGCAGTACAGTGTAAAACCACCGGAGCCGGAGGTAGGATATTCTGAAGGACGAGCTTTCCCTTTCCTGTGTGTGCTTTGGGGGCTATGAACTTAGGCCAATGAGAATTTGAATTCAGCTAGTTTTGGACGGTTGGTGTTTGGTTATCAGTAGGAAAGTTGATGTGCTAAGACTTGGATGAGAAGTTTCGCCTTAGAATGAGGGCCGGAGTTTGTTCGGACCAGCTTAGTAAGCTGTGTCTTGGGAACTCTCTTCTTTGCATGTAGCTATTGCTCGATAAATGCAGTATGCTCGATAAATGCAGTATGCTGTCTTATTCCTTCGCTGGGTTTTCTGTTTTGGTATCAGATGCTAGAATCAGCTCTCAACCTCCTGCTAGAAGGACGCCATGTATTGGTGTCTGATGCTTCACTAACAGATTCCCCCCTGTTTGCAAGCCAAGTTTTGGGATCAGCTACACGCTGTCTTGAAGAAAATGCTGGCGACAACACTATCAGAGAGATACAAAGAAGTCTGCTTTCCCTGCAGCCAAGGAGCAACCCATCCAGGGATCATCTAATAGGCACGGTGATGCTGCTGGAGAGCTGAGAGAGCTCTACAATATGTCTCTTAAGTCTGCTGATTTCAAGCAGTTGAATTCCATGCACTCCCTGTGGATATCATAAAAGCATAAATGGCTACCACGTGATTTCCCCCTTCTCATATGCAATCCTTTTACAATTTGGTAAACTTACAACATGAAGTAAATGAAATACGTAGATGCGGTACTCGAAAGTAATTGTATAAATTGTATTTAGAAAGAGCTTCTTTTGTTGCTTTATGGACAGCTCTGTGAATTTCAAGAGATATGCCTACCGGCTTGTTTACTGCCATGATAATACTGAAGAAGAGTGCACCAGCAACAAGCAGGGCGTGCTGCTGCAGAGTGATGGTCAACCATGGAAGGGTGACAATACTGGTCAACTTCATTGTGTCAGCGTACTGGTTTCCGATCCAGTAAGAAGCTACAACATCTGCTGTTAGTCCGGTGGGATGAACCAGTTATGCTTGGGGCTACTGTGATTAATTTGGGTTCAAGATATAATAGGTTGCTCTCTTCCTCTTGCATCACCGTTCCATTGTTGGCCATGTTCCTTGTTCCGTTTGGGGTTCTTTTCGTTCTTGGATGTCCTTGATTATAGTAAATATTCTCATATTCATCTACTGATCTGCAACTGGGCAGAATGGTTCTGTTTTTATGAACCTTGGAGAGTCGGGGGATCACTCTCCTCGTACTAGGAAGACTTTAAGTTCCTTCCATCTTAATTTATGTTGATGACTTGATTTTAGCAAGGACCAACATATATGACAGAAATCACCAGGGTGAAAGAGTTTCTTAACAAAGCATTTCGGTTTAAGGATTAACTTGATCTTCATTTCCTTTTTAGGGTAACTGAAGTGACTAGAGGTGCTGTTGAGAGTAATCTCAGAGAGGGAGTTGATTTTCGCACAGCGCAAGTGCCTGAAGAGGTGACAATTTTCTTTGAATCGGTAGCCAGCATGACCTCTTCGTTGACATAGGTACATTGTATAGTCTGTGATGTTTTTTTTTTTTTGGGCAAGAATAGTCTGTTGTTTTTTGTTTGGTAATTTGTTTTATGCGTGTGAATTGTGCCTCTTAATGTTTTCTTCTGGAGTACACAAAAGGTAAAGAGTTCAATAAGCACTAATTCCTTGAATCACACAAAAATAAGCAAGTGAAGTGAAGCTCAGAGTCTGTAATATGCTAAAGCATGAATCACAGTGTGGTTACTAGCTAGCGATTCAAGTAACTGAGAACAGTGTAGATCGTCTGGATGGCAGTGAAGACGAGAAGGATAGTACCACCAACCACTGATAAGGTTGTCCATGGGCTCTTGAGGTGTTTTTTTCTCAACTCCAGCAAGTATCGATCCCTCCGAGACTCGCAATAGGCTTCAATGCTGCTGCATAACTCACCGAAATAGAAATTCTTCAAAACAAAGTTCTGGCTTATGTTGTGGAATATCTTATAGGTGTCTTCCCTACCTCCCATTTGATTGATTATAATTCCTTTGCTTTCCATTATATCAAGGTCTTCTTTGTGGCTGATGAGCCGCTCCATCAGGAACACGTAAGACGCACAGTACTCGTCATGCGGGTAAGTTGGGTCTTCGGGATTGCAGGAGTTATGCTCAAAAGCCATGAGATTTCTCAAGAGTGATTCAGTGCACTCGTTGATCACCAATGGTGGGATTCGGAAAACTCCGCTGCAGAATTCTATATCCAGCAACATGTTCTCCTCTGCCTTTTCAAAATGTATTCCTGCTTCACTCAGTTTCTTAGCATTACGTAGATGCACTGTGGGAACACGAAACATCGTCCACCTGGTTCCTCTCTTTGCCAGCACAGCAGCCCACTTGCGCAGGGAGTCTATGTCGATTATGTCGCGCTCTTGCTCGTGCTCATACCGTCTCTCCTGGACTTGATAAAATTCCTGATCACTTCCTGACCAGCTTGCCGCCATGATGGTGTTGGTATTCTTCTAGCTATTCTATCTGCCTCGGCAAATAACATAAACGTATCATGGTCAGTTGAAAGACTACACAGAAAAGAAAGTAGAGAGATTTGCAGAACAAAAGGATGCATAAGTAGGTACTTGCATTCTTGTTGCTTTCAGGTAAACGCTTAACTTCCTACACAACAGGACACACCTCCTTTTATAATTCTGTTTCTCCAGGATGAGTACGACTGACATTTTTTTTTTAACGTACTAGGTTCCTGAGAAATGTCCTAGAAGTGCACTGGCAGTTTCTGTGCCGGCTGGTAATTTCTGTTGAAATGGAACTTACAAGAAAATGACAAACCACCAACTAAACTATCATGAAGGTCAACCAGGCTGGTGTGTTACGTAAGAGCTAATTGTGTAGAAGCCTACGGTTGCTGGAATGATTAAAAAGTGAAGGGCTCAATTTTGGATCTCTCGTAACAAGTCGAATTACTAGAATGAATCGACTTATAGAATTAGTGTGTTTTGACGAGGTTTTGAATATTTTCTTCTTTTGGGTTAAGCATGATATATGGTGTTTTTTTAATTTTATTGTTAGGGGTTAATTAAGAAATGAATTTTGAATATTAAGGTTGAAATCCAGTGGTAGTATTACTAGCCAAATCTTTGATAATATGGTTAAACGAGAGGGTAAGTTCATGATTTAAGATCTAATTTTCAACAACTCAAGTTATTTTTACTATGACCTCATATGCCTCTTTCCAAAAGATCCAGCTAGGAAGATAATATTGCAAGCTCAACTACTTCCACTGTAGTCCTATATAAACCAATCTTCATGTGTCCTGTAACTTACTCATTGCCAAGGTTTGAGAAGGTGTTTGGCCGCTAGGCGGGCGTTGGGTCACTATCTAGCGTCTAGTAAATTTAGGCGGAACCTAGATGACGTCTAGGCGTTTTAGCAAGAGTATTGGTTTTTAGTAGAAACAACAATTTATAGAGTTCAATTTCAAATGTTAATAACTTAACTAACCCTGAAAAATAATAATAACAAGTTATAACCTAGCATTGTAATTCCAAATCGAGGAATGAATAGAGGATGCGTTGAATATAGGGCAGCTAGAGATGACGTTGTTTTAACAGGATTAGCTACAATTCTTTGCATCCTTGGTGCACTAGTGCAATTAAGCGCGACTCATTTCGATTAATCACGTTTCTCATTGGTTAATCGTGTCCATTTTTATCTAAACTTCACTTAGACATTATAAACGCCTAATTGTCTGCCTAAAACCTAAGCAGGTCCCTTAAGTTCGCCGATTTCAAGCAGTTGCATTTGCACTCCCTGTGGATATCATAAAAGCACAAATGGCCACGTTATTTTTTCCCCTCCTCAAATGCGATCCTTTTACCGCAGACTTACAACATGAAGTAAATGAACACACGTAGGGACGTGGATAGCTAATCGATTTGCAAAGAGCCTTTTTGTCACAAGTGTAAAAAGCAAGGACTGCGAAATAGTACATGAGATTGCACCGAGTAAAAATCAACGATCTCGAAATCGTACCGGAACTTGTATCGAAAGAAGTTGTACTTGCGATAGTGTATTTTGTGTTAGAATTGTGGTATAATCATGGTTTAATCATATTATTATACGACTAAAAACTCTCCTATAAAGGTCAAACCGCCCATAAGGTATGCTTTCACAAACGAAAGAAAACCCAAAGCAACAGCTTTCCCAGGCAAGCTAACTGATAAAAGTGCCTGTAAGCTTCTACAAGCTAACTCTTGGCATAGTTCTTTCCTTACGCTCACTTCAGACTGTTCATATCCAAGAAAAAAACACACAAGTTGCCCTTCTTGCTAATTTGGTCTCAATAAGACGACTAGCCAGAGCCACGCTGCCACGCATGCAATGCAATCTTGCGAAGGCACACTGAAAATGTTAAAGGTGAAGAAGAAGGAGAAGGAAGTAAAGAGATCACATTCACTCGCGGGGAGGCCCCAAACCAAATTCCTAATTGGTGTATCTTTAAAACTCTAGTGGGTTCCGCTTAAGTAAAGACAAATCCCATTTTACAGACTCACAGCTTCAGTAAGCAGGTGAGCAGAACAAAAATGGTGAGATGCCCTGCTGTCCAATCTTTCCTGCCTTCTCCTGAGTATTCCGCTTATTATAGCAAGCAGAACCACCGAAACCAAAAATGGAAAGAAAAAAGGGACACCCACTTAACAATTCTTCTCATTTTGTTAATGAGCCTGGCGATTTTGCCTTACCTCCCTTGAAACAGCAAAGATTTCAAAATCGAAAGGGAAGAAACAATCTATTCAACCATTAATCTTCCCCTTGTTTCAATTCTTCAAGTGATCCCCTGTTTTAGCTTCCTCTGTTTTTCCGCATTGCCCAGCTCCTTTGAAAAAAAAAAAAAATGCGGCTTTCCACTTCTTCTCAGATGGTTTTTTTTATCACAGCGGTAGTGATTCTTTCCGCCGCCGCCGCCGAAGCCGCGGCCTCTGCTGTTCTCCACTTACAGAGGATGGTTCCTCTGAATTCATCGATGGTTTCCGTGGAGCATGACCGAGCTAGGGACCGAGTCAGGCACGCTCGCCTCTTCAATGGCGTCGTCAATTTCTCAGTCTACGGATCCGCTGATTCTTTCTACTACGGGTATGTTTCTGCGGCTTTTTTGATCATTTTTTGCATCTTCGAAAATGCTCTGTTTTTTTTTTAAAGCAGAGCTTGAATGCTATAATTGGGAGTAGCCTCTGGAATTTGCCTGGTTTTTTTAATTTTGGCGGCAAAAATAGCATAGGAGCGACGCCGTTTAGTACTAAGTCGAGTTACAGTCAAGGAAAAGGCCCGATCACTTGCAACACAGTCAAGGAAAAAGGCCCATGTCCATTAAAAGGGCCCATCTCGTAGGTCTAGTTGCTGACAGACAGACTGCGGGCCGGATATGCTTTAAGCCCACTTTTTTTTTTTTTTTTTTTGTGGAGCTGCCAACGTCACCGAAACGTTTTCGCCACGTCAGCTGCAGAAAAAATTTCAACCCTTTCTCTTTCGATCTGGCAAATCTCCTCTGCAGCTGTATACTCCCGCCATCTTTTCAATCTTCAATCTGTTTCCAAATATACTCCCCTCCGCACGACGCCGGAGCCGACGAACCTCCGGCGGCGCAATCGGAAGGAGAAAGGCTTGAGCTGTGATCGCTCCCTCTCCCCGCCGCTATCCCCTCCTATGTCTTTTCTGTTCCCTCTTCCTTCCACCTCAACTGTTGAGTCCAGGCGCCGAAAGGGTAGATTAAGAAATCGATGGAGTTAGCTCGTTTGGATGATGACCATCAAAGCTTATGATCAAACATATATGGTAATTTTTAGTTAAGGGAACCTTCTCTCTGGTCCCTATTCACCCCCTTCAGGCCTTCACCATTATGCCCTACGCTATTATGCGTGGCTGGATCATCATCATCTTCATATCATTAGAGAATTGAGAGTTGAGACTACGGTTGTTGCTGCTTGCTGATTTTACTTTGTTCTGTCCATAGTGAGGTTATCCCAAGCTGATTATGCAATCCTTTCTGATAGAATTTTTGTAATAGTTGGTTTTTGTTAGAGCCTTATTGACATAGCCATGGCTGAATTAGGTTTCCCAATTGGATTGTGGAATTGATGATGCATATTAGGGATCGACGCTGTTGCTGCAAATTTATGCAACTTCTGTGGTGGGGGGTTTGTGTTTGATAATGCATATTCGAAGGTTTTTTTTTTCCTAATTCATTTACTTATGGGGAGTCCCCTTGTTCTGTTTGTTAAAACATTTCTGGGCAATTCCTTTCGTTTGCTTCAAATTGGGATTTGATGTATACTGTCTTAAATTATGGTCTTTTGTTTCTTCCCATTAGACCCATGAGCAATTTGCTGGGGCCTGAGGTGCTGCAATATCCTTAGAAGAAAAGAAAGTATGACAGCACTAGCTTACTTTCATACACTTTAGTGGCGTTTAGTTCCATACAGCAGCAGAAATTTTCACACTGCAGCTGCTTAGTATAACAGCAACATCTTTGTTTTGTTAGTGTTTGGTTTTACACCAACTTAGTTTAGTCCCATACAGCAGTAGCAGCCAATTGCCCTGGCCGGTTTAGTTTAGTTAATTGGTGTTCATGTTTGTATTGCCTACCACTTTTGTTGTTAGTTTGTCAGCCCCCCAATCCTTCAAATTTATCCTTGTCTGTCTTTCTCAAAATTGTTGGCTCTTTTTCTGTTGACAGGATTTATTTCACGAAAGTGAAATTGGGGACTCCTCCAAAGGAATTCAATCTCCAAATTGATACGGGGAGCGAGCTGACATGGGTCAGCTCCAAGTCATGCCCCTCTTGTCCGCGCTCGAGCCGATTCGGGGTGAGTTCCGCTTTCTATGTTTCTTTACTTGATTTTTTATTTGAGTTTATGTTTTCTAAAGCTGTTGTTCACTCACCTCATTCTTTATTGATTGTTATTGTGCAGATTGAGCTCAGCCACTATGACGTTGCAGCATCTTCCACGTCAAAGGTTATTCCGTGTTCAGACAAGAGTTGTACTGCAATCACTCTTGGGGATGCAACTAGATGTTCAATCGACGGCCAATATTGTGGCTACGTTATGAAATACCTGGATGAGTCGGCAACATCGGGATTTTACGTTGCTGATACCTTTCATTTTGAGTCAGTTTCGTCCAACTCAACCACCTTAAATGCCTCAGCTGGAATCCTTTTTGGGTAAACTCCTAATGTCCCTACTCTTTAGCAACTGATAACAATTTGAGAATGGATATTGGATTAAATAAAACATTAATGTTGGTTGTGATGTACAAAACTGGTTACTAGGATAGCTAATGGATTAAGAGTAGACAAAGAATGTTCACCTAGCTAGATTACATTTCCTGCTGTTTTTGAGTTGTAATTGGTGATGAAAATTTAGAACATGCATGCTGATCTAAGTCTAGCAGGAACACCAATTCAATGCCAAGAACCCTTATCCATTCAGGAGTCTGAGCCTGTGTAGCTTATCTTGTTGTAAATTAGGAATGGAGAATCTTTGTTGAAGTTTATTTTGATTCAGTGTTAACAATGTAGGAACCAATTGGTGTGCAAGCTGACAAACTTTATTGAATATGCAAAAACGTTTAAATACATCTGACCTCCTATCAACTACTTGCTGGAAAACCAGTAACTTCTCTCTACTTGCCCACTACCCTGAAGATCCACCACTCTCTAACTAAACCCTTAACAGAACTTGACTCAGCAAGCTTACACGTTTGCCAGCTATAGCTTATCTATGCTAATCCTTAAACGACGACGAACTTAACTAAACTCCTTGAGCACACAAACAGCATTTGTTTCTTTTTCTAACATAGCCTCCCCTATACTGAAAACAACGTTTCAGTTTAACCATTATCAACGCTGCATAGCTCTTCAAAAAGCCTGACCATGGTATAAGGGACCTGACACTTCACAATTATCCTGTGGTACGACTCCTTCACCGAAGCCTTGCATAATAAATGGTTGAACCTGTTATGTAGAACTTGATTTCTTGACAATCTGATAGTTGAGTAGTCATCACCCTTTTTTGTTCCACTAATTACACATTAACCAACCCATTAGCTTCAATATCATTCTCACCCAGATGTACTTTTCTTCAAAATACGGCTGCTGCTAACTCAGACCCAATGATGAACAAAATAATAAGTGAATGCTCATTGGAAATCCTGGGTACTGCTGCTGCTAATCGAAATACATGACCATTTACATGTCTCCTTTTATCCATATTAGCAGCATAGTGGCAGTTGGTACAACCCTCCAAGCATGTTTCTTGAGTCCCCCGTTGGTAACCAATATCACAGCCAAGAATATCCTTGAAGTACAACTAGTTTTCACCCAATTTCTTGCAATAGGTATCCACCTGTACATCATCCCTAGCTGCTGTAACTTTTGCTCCAAGAATCATGGGATTCTTAACAGGGTTTCCGTGATGCAAATTAGTAGTAAAAGCTTCTGCAAAATGTACCAAGCCAGCTTCAATTAAACACTTATTAGCTCTCGGTGCCTGCAACAACTCATATCCAGGCTTATAGAACTTGTAACCCTTATCCACAAGGCCTTGTGATTGTTCTACCAAAGCCATAAAACCCAGAATTACAGGCTTAACTTGCCACTGCTCAAATTGAGTTGGATTCACTTCCACCATAACTCCATTTCCTTGTAAAGTGTACTTAGCACCTGGTATGATAGGATGTTTAACCAGCTTGCTTTCCAGAAGCTCTAACATATCAAGCAACTCTTTGGTATACTTTTGCCAACAAGTGAATACCACTTTGTTACTTTGAAATATTTTCCTTCTCAAGAATATCTCAAATGACCTCGGACTATCAATTTCTGTACCATCCACACATAAATTAACTATCAACCAATCTGGCCTTTGCCTTTTGGCAAACAGACTACGAAATTCAGAAGCTAGAGAATACCTCATGATCTTGTTGTTCCTTGCTTTTGAAACCAGCTTCAAGCTATTCAAAACTTTCCTCAGTCTGGCCTATCACTCTTATCAACATACTGCCACTTCAATCTTACCACTTCACTCCCATTAGCCTCCTTAACTCTTTTCTCAAAGTACTGAAAGTCTTCAACAGACACATTCATTATACACCAGCAAGACAACCAATTTTTTCTTTTGTCTGATTGCCACCTTCTAAATCTTGGTCTCAAATCATCTGTAAGAAGTCCTGAAACATCAGTTGAACCATGATCTTCATATTTTGAATACGAATTCCTTGAAGAATGACTTTGGTACTCATCAATCATAGTTGTTGTTGCTGATACAGCAGCAATGGTGATTGAATGTCTAGTTGATGATGTTCCTGAGTATGCAAGCTCTCCAGTGGATATATCTTCTGCTTCGAACTTTGATAACTCACCATAATTACATTCAACTGCATAAGTCTCCTCCAGATTTGATAATCTTTGTAGTATATCTTTATTCTGTGAATTGACCATCAAGGCTGCCATGGAGCAACCAGATGCTATGATTTTTTTTAGGCCTTCTAATGCTTCAAGCTGAGTTTCTTAAAATAAATACCCCACCTCATCTGTGCAACCTTTCCATAACGATTCTTTTGAGACTTCTGAATCCGATGAACATTCATATTTCTCATGCTCCCCTACTGCTGCTACCACTGTCGTTATTGTAACTTCTGCTTGTGAATTTGTTTCTGGTGCTTCCTGAATGGGAGCGTTTCCATCCATTTCAGAACCATCCATCTCAGCTTCATAAGTTTGAATGCACAAGCACTGCACATCGATGGGTGTTTGTGATACAACCAACTCAGGATGAAACACAAACATTTTGTTGAGTTTCATCCTTGTCTGCAACAGGAAACCTTTCTTATGATGAAAAATCTTGCAAACCCCACCCTTGATAAGAAAAATCAGACCTTTTTTTTTTTGCATTTCACCTATGCTCAACAAGTTAGTTTTTAAACCTGGTACATAGTACACATTCTGAACCACTAGTGACAACTTCTTTACCCTCAGCTTGATGCATCCTCTCCTTGCAACTTCCATCTTGGTTACATTCCCAAACTTAACAGTACAAGAAAAATCAGACCTTGTTACCACTCATGTGGTTACTACGCGTCGAGTCCAAAACCCACCAACCCTCACTCTCCTTCTTATTCGCCAATTCGACTTGAGACTCTCCTCTCTCTTCATTTTTAGTACAAGCCATTAACAAAACATTCTCCTTCATGGCTTCATAGGTGTCATTGCCATAATCTGCAGGTGCATTAGAGAAATGTCTCCGCTGATTGGTCCAATATGGACACTCGTTTCTATAGTGTCCCATCCGATGACATCGATAGCATTCAACAGACTCTAGATTCCAAGTTCTTGTACTTCTCCCTTGAAATCCACCTTGATCATGACTTCTTCCACCACCTTCACTAGCTGGTTTTAGTGCCTGCTCATCCTTCGTTGCCCTTTTTCTGAGTTTTTGCTCATGGACCAGCAAGGAACTTTGAAGCTCATCAACTGTTAGCATGTCTATGCCCTTAGATTCTTCTATAGAACACATTATGTAGTTGAATTTTTCAGTTAGAGTTCTCAATATCTTCTCCACATTTCTCACATAAGATATCTGATCTCCACAACTCCTCATGGCATTGGCCACCACTATTACTCGACTAAAGTAATCATTAATATTTTCCTCTTCCTTCATAGTTAGAATTTCAAAATTCCTACGAAGAGATTGTAAACGAGCTTGTCGAACTCTAGCATTACCTTGATACTTGACCTGCATTGAACACCACAATTGCTTGGCCGTGTCCTTTTGTGTGATTGTCTTTAAGATGGTTTTATTTATGGTCGAACAAGTAACTTTTGGCCTTGAAATCCTTTAGCTTGAACTCCTCCATGGTCTTCAATTGAGCAACAGAAAGCTCCTCTCCAGAATTTTGTTCTTTGACACCAGCACACACCACATCCCAATAACCTTTGGAACGCAACAGATTCTCCATTAGAAGACTCCAGTAGTCGTAATCTCTATCAAACTTGGGAATACAAACTGGAGCAAAATCATCGTTCTCACTCATGGTCTCACCACACAGCTCACACCCCTCACAACAATGATTTATCTCACTAAGCCTCTCGTGTTTCACTCACACCTAAAATCTGCAATTGACCAGCAGAATTATCACTCAAAAACACTCACACTCAGCGCGAAATCTTGGTTACAGCTTGCTTGATTAGGCTATGATACCACATGTAGGAACCAATCGGGTTGACAAACTTTATTGAATGTGCAAAAACGTTTAAATACATCTGACCCAACTACTTGCTGGAAAACCAGCAACTTCTCTCCACTTGCCCACTACCATGAAGATCCGCCACTCTCTAACTAAACCCTTAACAGAACTTGACTCAGCAAGCTTACACGTTTGCCTGCTATAACTTATCTATGCTAACCTTTAAACGACGACGAACTTAACTAAACTCCTTGAGCACACAAACAACATTTGTTTCTTGTTCTAACAAACAACTGTTAACAATTGAGGATAGCTGAAGGATTAAATAAGCATTAATAATGTTAGTTGTTATACAAATGGCAACTACGACAGCTGAATGATTAATATTGACAAAAAATGTTCACCTGACTACAGTGTCAGCACGTACCGCTCTGGCATGTTGGCCGAGACAGAGACAGCTGTAGATGGGATCTTCGGATTCGGAAAACAGAAGCTATCCGTTCTCTCCCAACTGTACTACAAAGGAATCACCCCTCGAGTTTTCTCTCACTGTTTGAAAGGAGGGGGAACTGGAGGCGGTGTCTTCGTACTTGGAGAGGTTTTGGCACCAGGGATGGTCTACACTCCTCTCGTCCCATGGCAGTAAGTATTTTGTAACTCTGAGTTATTGTTGTTTGATTAGCCTGTGAAGTACGAAATCTTGACTTGTTGATTCATCTACAAACTTGCAGGCCCCATTACAGTGTACACCTGGAGAACATTGTAATTAATGGAAAGCTGCTACCCGTGGATCCTAAAACCTTCACACCTTCAGCTGATTATGCAACAGTTCTCGACACTGGAACAACATTTTCATACTTCGTGTCAGAAGCCTACGATCTGTTTGTTGGTGCGGTAAGCAACAATCCCTTCCCTATCCTTAGAACTGTAAAATGCGAATGATTTTTAAACTGCTGGTGCATTCTTTCCAATGTGTTTAAAACTGATGACTTATTGCAATTCTAGGTTAATAATGCAGTCTCAAAATTTGGGACTCCTAGAATAATTTATGGGTTCCAGTGTTACGCGGTCAGTTTCAGGTTTGACTTCTATCATGAAACCACTGGTTTTAACACTTAGTTTTGTTATTGTATTTCTCATATGTGCATTGGACCTTCATATGCAGGCTATTTCCTCTGGTGAGCTTGAATTTTGCTGGCGGTGCTTCTTTAAGCTTAAAACCGGAAGAATATCTTTTTCTTTCCAATGTAAGTAAATATAATGAAAACCTTAGATACTTGATTATGTTTCCATATTTATGGATATCCTGCTGGAAAAGTCTCTTAAGGCACACTGGCTATACATACTGCCTTGCAACAGGATGGTACTACGTGGTGCATAGGTTTTCAAAAGGCTCAAGGACAAACCATCTTAGGAGGTTAGCGACCCTCCAACCGTTGATTCTATGTATCTTTGCTTTGGAAATGCTAAGTCAATAATGAAACATGGAGTCAAGGATGTTCTGTTTAGTGGTTCTGATTCTGATTGTATTTTGTTGTTATGTGCAGATCTTGTTCTCAAAGACAAGATTTTTGTTTACGATTTGGTCCGCCAAAGGATTGGGTGGGTCAAGTATGACTGTAAGTAGATCAACTTATTAATTTTCAATAGAAGAATCTTCCTTCTCCCAAATCATTTTCCTTTCAAACTGCTACATATCTGACTGGTCTCCTTGTCCGTCCTCTTTCAGGCTCGTCGTCAGTAAATATCTCAGTTCCTAATGACGACTTCTTTTATCTGAAGCAGTCAAGCTCGGGCAGCTCATCTAGAGGCTTGCTCGTCCAGTTGCTTACTGTAGCCATTGTCACCTTGTTTTTTTCAGTTTAGTTGTTACCTAGATTAGCCTATGTGATTAATGTACATATGCACTCTTGAGAGGATCAATGAATCACTTAATGATTACTTCAAGAATGCTTCTGTTGCCTTTCCATTTTGTTAAGTAAAAGCTATTTATCTCCCTTGCCTGTGCTTTCTCCTGTTGCCTTGCTCTCTCTTCTGAAAGTTTGTTCATAATTGGAAGGAGATGGTGCTGCTGAGTGCTGAATACTTTGCTCTTGGAGTATTATTGGATTTTCTTACTTATTAGATTCTTGTTCTTTGCTTCCACTTCCCTGTTAATTTTTTTACTATACTACTTTGATTCTTTTTCCTTTGCTCTTATGTTGTCCTGTTGATGAATTGGGGACAAGTTCAACCTTAGGCTTGATTTATAGTGACCAAGGTTAGTCCACTTGGCGAGCAGATGATGGCAATGGAGATCTTCCTTCCTGTTTCGGATTAGCATAACCGCTTCTCGGTTTATTGATTTTCACTTGTGTCTTTATGCAGTCTCTGGAGGGATGTTGATGAGAACTACTGTCAATATAATCTGATCTATATCTACTATTCTGCACCTCTACTCTCATGTGGACAAAAAGCACTCAGTCAAACATGCATGACTCTCCAACTGGTAAGATTTTTGCATACACTTGCCTAACTACACTTTGGGAATAATGTTTGACCTCATTTACCTCTCCCGTATTCGATGTAATTAGGTGAAACTTAGAGAACTGGCTTCTCCGGAGTGGCATGTGCTTTTTAAGAACCTGAGTGATGCATCAGAATCTCTTAGACAGTGCCAACAGAAAGAGGATGTGGATCAAACTATCTGTATGCTTAGCAGTTAGCACTTCTCTTCCTCGATTTCCTTTTCCTTGGTTCAGTTGTGGTAGCTAGATATATCTTCATGCTTTGCAATTCGAGTTTAATGCATCATTGCATATAGGAATATATATTGACAAATTAACAAGCTCCACAAAAATGATGATCCCTTTTGATTCCTGCCTTTCTTTAGCCTCTGCCCAGAGAGATTTTGGATAGTTTGGCCTTGTTTTTTTTTTAAGTGAATTTACCAAAAAGGTCCTCCTTGAATTTCTCAAAACGTTGTGCATTTGGAATGAAGTGTGCTTAAATGAAAGATCTCCATATATTAATGGAGGATTCTATTGCTTTTCTTATTTTTGGAAAAATCATTAATATTACTGTGAGGAAAATCAATTTTGGGTAAACACAATAATGAATCATATCTCTCTTTCCAAAAGAGCCAGCTGCGAACATAATATTGCGAGCTCACCTACCTCCACTGTAGCCCTATATAAACCAACCTTCATCTGTTCTGTATCTTGTTCATTGCAGGCTGATATCTAAAAGAGAAGACCACAAAACTCATTGATCCAAGTGATCACCAGGCATATCCAAGCACGATGGAAAAGATTCACTTCAAGATGTTGTTTTGTGTTATGCTCTTGGTTCTCGCTGTTTCTGGTATGTATATTATCGGTCATTTTATATGATTGCACATTGGATAATAGACTTTGCGATGTGTTTTAAGGGGGAAATGAAATTTTCTTGATGAATGAGTTGTTATGAACTATCACTGAAATCAATCTTGGGGATTATAGGTGGAAAGAAGAGCACCATTGGAGTGGAAGCTGGAAGAACAACATCGGGGTGGAACGAAGATCAACATTGTGTGAGCGTACGTTGCAAAACTGATGCCGATTGCAGTCCACCACGTTACATTTGTAATAGAGCAATAGGTTTCTGTGTCTGCACAGCAAAAGCACTGGATGCAGAGTTCCTCGCTTCAGTGCACAAGAGACTTGGAAAAGGGAATTGAACATATGGATGATCTTCATGTATAAAATATTAGAGAGCAAAGTATGAGTTCAGAACCAAATAATTAATGTCCTTTTCGGTTACAAAATTTTCTTCAATCTTAGGGTTTGTTTTATTTTCCATGTACGCAAATTTGAGTAGTTTAAGTTATCCCAATAGAAGTAGGAAAAAACCCCTAACTAGAAGTCTAATTATATTTACAATATGATACCTAATCAATATATAAATAATGGTGTCCTATTTTCAAATTTTGATAATATGATCAAGCTGGGTGTGCAAATAAATTTTATAAGATTCGATGTTGAGCATCTTCCAACCATTCAAGATATTGACACTTTTCGACATTTGCTAACTGCTTGATCAAAAAGGCTTTTTTCTAGATGATTCCGCTTCTATTGACTATCGTCATTTTCTCTTATTTGTATTAGAACAGCTGCCTGAATAGGCTTCTAGTTTGTATCCACATGTTTCCATTTGGGAATATTTGTTGCAAAAAAAAACTTTATAATAATGATAAGTCCTTTTTAATTTTAAGTCGTCTTTCTTTACCCTTCTCACAGAAATAGATTATGATTATGGAACTTTATTTTTTTAAATAAATACCAAATGGTCCTTCTAAAATTTTGCAGGACGTTGGAAATTTAGAATGTTTAAATGAAAAATCTTCACATATTAATGGGGTATTACTATAGCTTTTATAATTTTGGAAAAATCATTAATCTTTTGTATGAAAGAAATCAATTTTGGAGAAAAACACAATCATAAATCATAAACATCTTTCCAAAAGATCCAACTATGAGCATTAGTATTGCAAGCTCACCTACCCCTCTAGTCTCGTTGTATATAAAACCAAACTTCATTCGATTTTGTATCTCAATTCTCTTCAAATTTGATATCTTAGAAAAAGAGACGACCACATAGCTCATTGATCTAAGTGACAAAACATATCCAAGCACGATGGAAAAAAATCACTTCAAGTTGTTGTTTTGTGTTATGCTTCTGGTTCTCGCAGTTTCTGGTATGCATTATTATCGTTCGTTTTACATGATTTCGCATGTGATAGTAGACTACGATGTTTAATTAAACCGTTTAAAAACTATTACTGAATATAAATACGGTGGCTGTTACAGGTGGAAAGAAGAACAATATCGGAGTGGAAGCTGGTGGAAGAACAACACCAGAGGGAGAGGTAGAAACGCACTGCGTGAGCGTACGTTGCAAAAGTGACGCGGATTGCGATCCGCCACACCGTTACATCTGTAATAGGGCAATAGGTTTTTGTGTCTGCTCACCGGAAGCACTGTATGCGGATTTCCTCGCCCAAACGTCCAAGAGACTTGGAAAAGGGAATTAAAAAAAAATATATGAAATCTTCTATGAATAAAATATCATTATGAGGTGTTTAATTCACTAAGACAAAGATTCTTCAAAACGAAATTCTTGCTCATGTTTTGGAAGATCTTATAGGGAGCCCTCCTTTGCTTTCCATTACATCAAGGTCGTCTTTGTGGTGGACGAGGCGCAATATAGGACATCTCATAACAATTTGAGTAATTGGAATGAGTTTACCTTTTTATTATTATGATATAAAATTAGTGTTTCTGACGATAATGTTTTGCCGATCGAATTTTTGAGGATATGGTTAAGTGAGAATGTAAGTGAATGATGCAGGATATAATTTTAAATAATTTTTAACAACTCAATTTATTAGCACGGACACTGCTGCTACTCGCAAACTCGTCAAATACCCGTGTTGTAGGAATGAGTCGAAACCAAAATTTCTCAAGAGGAATTGCATGGTTACTTACTTGGAAAGCGAACTTTTTTAATTTCTGTATCCGAATTGACAGTCAGTACTACAATTATCCTACTGAAAAGAGCAGGAAAGAGAGAAGAACCAAACACATGAATTGTAAAAATACCGATCGACCTATCACTTGAAGAATAATCTATGTATGTAATTTTAAGAGGATTATAATTTATACCCCAAAGGAATTAATTAACCACCCAAAATCAAAGCCACCAGCTGATGGAAAATCTCCATATATTAATGGAGGATCCTATTGCTTTTCTAATTTTGGAAAAATCATTAATATTATTACGAGGAAAATCAATTTTGGGTAAACACAACCATAAATCATATATTTCTTTCCTAAAGATTCAATTTACATTAATGTCTTTCCTTGACAAAAAAATGTTCTCATACCGATGATTGGTTTCTAGTCAATCGTCATTATTTTCTCTTAAATTGTATTACAAAGTAGGTTATTTCAAAAGATTTCCGGTTTGTGTATACACATCTGTCCTGGGAATATATATTGACAAACAAGCTCCACAAGAGTAACAAGTCCTTTTAATTTTGAGATCATAATGGGAAGTTCATTATGGCTGCAGCGAAGAAAATTCGAGGAGTTCGAGACCCAACAATGGGTGAGGCATTGACGATCGACTGCTTGACGGTAATTAACAATATCTGGAGTGCCCCGAAAGTTCATATGAAGCTAGGAGTGATTTGTCGAAGTATACGGAAGCTTTTAACTTAAGTAGGCGATGGAAAACTCTTATCATGCTAGTAGAAAGGTGAATGCAGCGGCTCACATGATGAGACGAGGTGAGTTGTAGCGGATGTATGGCTTGATAGGCCTCCGCCGAATATGATTGATCAGCTTGTGACAGATAACAGATTCCTATTTTAATAATTAAGCATTATTTTTTTAGTTGAAAATTACCGAAAGGTCCTTCTAGTATTTGTCAGAAGTCAGAACGTTGGGATTTTGTAATGAAGTGTGTTTAAATGAAAGATCTCCATATATTAATGGAGGATCCTATTGCATTAATATTTTTATGAGGAAAATCAATTTTGGACAAACACAATCATAACAACATAAATCTCCTTTCCTAATGATCCAACTAGGGACGTAATAATATTGCAAGCTCACCTACCTCCATTGTCGTTCTATATAAACCAAACTTCTTGTGTTGTTCTGCATCTCATTCTATGCAAACTGATATTTTAAAGAGAAGACAGCAAAACTCATTGATCAAGTGACAAAGACATATCCAAGCATGATGGAAAGGATTCACTTCAAGCTGTTGTTCTGTGTTGTGCTTTTGTTTCTCGCGGTTTCTGGTACGTATACTATCGTTCTTCTTATATTGAATGCACATTTGGACCATCGACTTTGATTAATTAAGTTGTTATAAATTATGATCGAAAAAACAATCTTGGGTACTATTACAGGTGGAAAGAAGAGCAATATTGGAGTGGAAGCCCGAAGAACAACTTCGGGGTGGCACGAAGATCAACATTGTGTGAGCGTTCGTTGCAAAAGCGATGCGGATTGCAGTCCACCACATTACATTTGTAATAGGGCAATAGGTTTCTGCGTCTGCGCAGCAAAAGCACAGGATGCAGACTTCCTCGCTTTACTGCACAAGAGATTTGGAAAAGATAATTAAAAATATGAGTCACTATGAAGAAAATATGACTGAGCTAAGTATTGCCCAATTTTCTTTGTAAGAAAATCAATCATATGCAAATTTATTTTCTAGTCTCTATACATCTACGTACTCTCTCCTTTTCGGTTACCAAATTTTATCCAAATTTATTTGCTATATGCTACCTAATTAATATATAAATAACGGTGTCCTATTTTCAAATTTTGATAATATAATCAAGTTGGGGTGCAAATAAATTATATAAGATTCGGTGTTGAGCATCTTTCACTCACTCGAAATATTGACACTAGTCGACATTCACTAACTGCTTGATTTCATTAAAAAAAATGCTCTTTTCTCGATGGTCCCGCCTCAAATTAACTATCGTAATTTTCTCTCATTTGTATTATATAACTGTTGGCTGAATAGACTTCAAATTTGTATCTTACATGTTTCATTTTCGGAATATTTGTTGCAAAAACGCTTCATAAGAATGGTAAGTCCCTTTTTAAGTTGTTGTTCTTTCCCCTTTGCACATAAAGAGATTCTGATCATTTAAATTTATATTTTTAATAAATACCAAATTATCCTTCTGAAATTTTGCTGGACCTTGGAGATTTAGAATGTTTAAATGAAGAACCGTCACACATTAATTGGGGATACTATTGCTTTTCTAATTTTTGGAAAAATTATTAATGGAATGGAAAATCAATTTGGGAACACACAAACACAAATCATATATTCCAAAAAATTCAACTATGAACATAATATTGCAAGCTCACCTACCTATTCTCTCTGTATATAGATCAAACTTCATGTCTTTTGTATCTTATTCATTGTAAATTGATATAAAAAGAGAAGACCACATATATCATTAATCAAGTGACAAAATATATATACAAGCAGGATGGGCAAAATTTACTTAAAAGTTGTTGTTTTGCATTATGCTTTTGGTTCTCGCAATTTCTGGCATGTATATTATCGTTCATTTTACATGTTGCACATGAGATACTAGACTTTGGTGTATTTAAGTGGAAGTATAAATAAATTACGCAAAACCTGATTTTAGATAACTTTCAAAGACTCAAATTATTATAGCACAAATCGCTACTCGACCTCATCATATACTGATGCTATAGGAATGAGTCAAAACCAAAAATTCTCTCGAGAAATGGCTCGATCACTTGTTTGGAAAGTGTTTTTTAATTATTATTTCTGCATCCAAATTCTCTTACAATTACATGCGAATGAAATGTGACTTATTCTTCAAATTACAGTTAGCCTATGAACCTCTTATCACTACTACTACTCTACTGAAAAAGAGTAAAAGGAGAAAAGAACCAAATACATAAATTGAACACTTTGGGGAGGGGGCAAAAAAAAATCTCAACTACCCTTTTGTTGTAACTTCACAATAACCCGATCTACCAATGTCTCTCTTCTTCTTGCCTCAGTTGGTCACCACTCGATGAAGAATCAATGTCTCTAATTCAAAGAGGTTTAATACCTCAAATGAACTAATCACACCCAAATCAAAACCCACCAAGTTTTATTTGGGTTAGTCAAGTCCTGATCCTCCTCAATGCTAGGTAAGCCAAAACTCTGTAACCCACAAACATCAACACCATTGCTCCTACACAAACCCAAGGGCTGATCTGTCCTTCCAAATCTTCCCTGATAAACTTGCAATCCGGTCCCCCATCACCGTAATTGTTACCGTTTTGCCCCGAGCAACCAAACGCCTTTGCAATCCGCTCCCCGTCACCATATTGAACATTGATGAACAACCTATAAGTGTAGAAGGTGCTCGAGATGTACTTGATCCACGCCATAAATGCGGGGACCTTGTGAACGTAGAACCCTCCAGTCAGCACGAATGCCAGCATCGTCACGTTGGCCATCGTGGACGCCTGTTTGGCGTCCATGATGGCCGCTCCCAAGGCCAGACCTAGGCCCTGAGACACGAGGACGTAGCCCAACAGGATGAGAAGGGTGAGGAGGAACGCGCCCAGGTCGGGCCTCAGCCCAGTCATCCAGTAGGCCATGGTGATGAAGAGGGTTGGAAGGGCTAGCTCCATGGGGATTTCTCCCACGATTCGAGCCATGAAGTAAGAGGAAAGACTGTACATCCCGGATGCCCTCTCCTTCATGAAGATGGCCCTCTCTTGCGGGAAGGCAAAAACCGCGTTGAATGCAGGCAACACACCCCAGAAGATGGATATGAAGAACAACAGACCCAGTCGGTCCTGAATGTCCCTGTAGTCGGAGTGCCACCACATCGTGCCTGCCAGCAGGGCACCGACCAGGACCTGGAAGACGCGGAGGGTGTTGAAGGACTCGTACCTCCGCTCCTTCATGCTTCTCTGGAGGAGGACGGTGAACTGGTTGAACCACATAGTCATGCCAACTCTCTGGTCATCTCTACATCTCCCCAAGTGTCTTGTTGACGAATTGGTGGTGGATTCCTTTGGCGTGGCTTCCAAGCAAGCGGCTTTCAACTTTGGTGCTAGTATTGCGTTGTAGGAGGCCATGAGGTGCTGCTTCACGTTGGGTTTATCCCTTTGATCACTGGCTCCATCAAGATGGCAAACCCCTGCAGCAAGCAAAGATGAGAATGTTAACTATGTTCATCAAATTACTTAATCCATTACAATCATCATCATCTAGGCTCAAAACACTATCTCATTGTTCTTCTTAATTATCACAGATTAGAATTGTTCTCCTTGTCTGCAGGTGGGATAAAGAACAGTTCCTTCCACACTAATCACATCATGTAATCATTTCTCAGCCAAGGAACATAAACCTAACAACTTAAAGATGCAACTAGAGAAAAGGTAGAGGCCACTAAGAAAACAAAGGATCTTGGAACCAAATTTGTGCTCTATGTTAATGTATTAGGATACATTGAATTGGACACACAAAGTTTAGGAGCATAGAATTGGGAATGGTAGCTATGCTTTGCTTGAAAGCAAAATGGGAATAGACCTTCTTCTTGATCATATGATTGAAAGAGAATGATTATTTAACAAATGAAAAGGGGAAGATACCCTTTCAACGGACATTGATATCATTCCTCCCATTTCATGAGCATATGCTAAATACATGGGGCTAATGGAACATATAGTCATGTATGATGTCACATGAACAAACTCCATACACTATATTATGTGCTATTTAATAGATACGGTACCATGTATTATTTTGTTTATTTCTTTTATATTTTCATAGTTAGAAATCCTATCCAATCCAAATTTGTTACCAGTAGGTTTGGATGAAATCTCATACTCGGTAAGTTTTCTGTTGTGCCCAGCAACCCAGCCTCTAAAAATCTGACATTTCTTAAGTTTCCTACCCCACATTACTGATTCGAAATTTAACAGCAACGGACTTAAACGGTGTAGCTAGGTACGTGTCGACCTAAATATTTATACTAATACGTGTCGACCTAAAAATGAATAAATAACCAACGAAAAGTGAAGATAACCCTTGATTAATCAAAGACACAACTATCTTAGTGACCATTCATTGTCTCATGGGACTTTTGAGGATCTTTTGATTATGAGGAAAACAAGAGGAGGACTAGTGGGCAAGATGAACCTAGTAATGAGTAGGATTAGGAATTGGCTTAACATTAGCATAATACTTAACACAAAGCAAAAAAGAAAGCTGACCAGTCTTGGTGGCATAAGGTGGGAGTCCACTAGCAATAGCTACCAAAGCTTTTTTTTTTTTTTTCTCCTAGTGATGGGTGCTTCCACTCAAATCAAAATTTAGTGTTCTCTTTAAAACTCTCATCAATTATAAGTTCTGTTTCCTTTAGTTTTTCTTGGGACATAAAGAAATCCCACTAAGGCAAAGAACAATTTCTGCAACCCTACACGTGTTGTTTTCCAACAAATCCCAAGTATTCTTTTTTTTTTTCCTCAAAGATTTGGAAATAAAGGGGGATAAATTCTTAGACTGTACTAAAAATAATTGACGTCCTACAAAGCTTTTATAAAGTATGGCAAGAAAGAAGAAAAGAAAAGGGCAATAGAGAAATTAATCCACATGACCATCCCCCACGTGTCCCCCCACATAGCTAGAAAGTCTAATTATCTAACCCTAAAAGAATCTAATAGTATAATGACACACATATGGCTTGTCCATTCATAGTTGAAAAGATTCCAATTACATGTGATGATTAACAGCATTATAAATCATGTTTTGAGATTCATTTCTATGCCAAGTAAAGTTTGCTTAGTGTCATTAGAAACTACTTACCTGGTTTAGTTAGTTAGTAAGCTATGTTTTTTTTCTTCTGTCGGTAAGCACAAAACGAGATGAATCTATCCGATGATAAAAACGGAAAAGAATAATAGGCAAGCAAGCGAGCTGGCCTGGTACGTTATAAAGAGGTCAATAAGCTGGTCATATGTTAGTTATCTGTAAAAATTATGGGGTTTACATCGTAAACTTCTATTTTAGATTCTATGTCATAATACCGATCAATGTTCGCTTATTAGAAGACTTGGCATTGCAATGTGAAAACTGAAACCCAACAATTATGTATCATATATCTAATAAAAGGGAAAATATTTTTTTTGCCAATAGAAACCAACCTTTCCTCCACACCACAAAACAAAACTATCCATAAATAGATATAAGAGATGGAAATGGAAAGCAATAATGCACATATATATAATTTGTTGAGAGGAAGAGGAGAAGACCAATGATGAAAGCCAAACAATGATCCAAACCTAAAAAATCTTCTCCTATTCCATTTTAATTATTTTTTTCTCCCCTTTCCCAATCCAATAATGTTTTCTCACGCCAGGAATGTCGTCATAAAAAATAGTACCCCACATTTTATTTATATCATAATAATAATGGAATGACCAAATTCTCTTGCTACAATGAATTTTAGTTAATTAATTAAATTGAGATTTTGATAAGCTACCAACCTTTTCTTCTCTTTTGTCCCTTTCAAATGAAGTCACTCATGATTCCATATATGTATGCACCAATTGATTTACTCTAATTTTATCCATACTATTATCATTTCCCGTTGGAACGTCACAATTGCAGTATTAGTTACTTGTACACATCTACCATACTATTAATGTATTATAGGTCCAAAACCAACCACCAATCATCATCAAAATCACTGCTTAATTTTTACTACACACCACAAGTTAAAAAATTGCCATATATATGCAAACTAACAAAATCTTCCTGCTCCTACACATATATAGATAAAAAGTTGACTCATTATTTGCTATAATATAGCCAAATTTACATTCCTCTATATGTATACGAACTAGTACTGACGGAAAGAAACCGTTCGAAAATAATATGACCTTATTAATAATATCTTCATGACTCTCCTTTTGAAAGATAAAAATCAACTCAAACTAGATAGATGGTACGGTTTCTGGACTCCGGAAGGTCGTATTAATTTGTTTGTGTCGTGTGGTTTCAGTTTCTTCATGGACCCTTCTGTAAAAACCCGATTTTTATGATTGACGGTAGAATCATATCCTCGTCATAAACTCTACTCGGAATTTAGGATAATTAGGATTGACGGTTCAACCACGATTGTAGGTCGTGTAAGACGCGATTATATATATACGCTTAATAAGGACAACCAATTAAAGGAAAAAGGAAAGGACCGTCTACTCCAAGAAAACAAAGCACGTGGACTCCAATTAACAACTTAATATATTATTTCCTCCATACATCAGGATTAGTAATTGTTAAATTAAGATGCCCTAATCACATCAAGATCCTAAGTTATTAATATTTTAATTGTTTGAGTTTGGTTTTTGTAGCTTTCTTTCGACCTATCAGGAATAACAAAAATATATTAAACAAAATTCCACTAACATAGCTTTTTGGTTTTGTTCTATTCCCTAATCCTTAACTTTGTCTTCAGCAAGCAGTATATATTTATGCCCTAACCTTTTTCCTTTAGGGGCAACAAAAGTTACTATTAAAAATTTGTGCACTCACAATATAGAAGATTACTCATAGGGTATTTTAACCTTTCTTGACCTCTGCTATTATTCTTATAAATACCAATGTTTTCGTTTAAATCTTTCATGGTACAAACTGAAATTCTACATTTAATATTTACCCATACATTTTTTCATAAAAAAAATCATTTATGAGACAAACTAAATTTATAATGTCAATGTTATGATATAAATTCAACTCGTATACGAAAGTAGGGTTAGTTATGATCAGTAAAATGCCTCCATATATCAATAAGTTTCTTGTAGTGTAGATCACCATACCACACTCTCTAAGTGGGTCACCATACCACATTGACCTTGGCCCATCTCTATTTCCTCTTAACCCTAGTTTTTTTTTTTTATATCAATTATAATAAATTTGTAGAAATATTAAAAAATCAAAAATCATATCTAGATGATGAGCAAATCTCAACTGTATCCCCATCTTCTATCATGGGATCCAGAGTCGACATCTTGGCAGAACAAATTGTTATGTGTAGTAAAAGCTCAACCTCACAATAATTGACATGAAGGGAAAAAAAAAATTTAAGTATGGAGAACTCTCTGCAAAACCATAATCCTCATAAATACGTACGTATGTCATCCAAACCCTTAACAATCAGAGATCGAGTTGAGTCGAATTTTTTTAGATCATATTATTTTTTAGTCGCGAATTATTTCACATAAAGAAATGACGGGCTATTTATTTATGTTTTAATAAAAACATATATATGAGAATGAAAGGAGAAAGAAGTCAGATTCGAGCGTACCGTTAGCGAGATCGAGGAGGAAATCGGCCGGGTTCATTGGAAAAGACGGCGAGTAACCAACCGACCCGAAATAACCCATCGGCTCGTCCCCACCTTTACCAAAATACAGGCTCCGCCCCTCGCTCAGAACCAGAACCGAGTCGAACATCTGGTAGACCCGGCTCGACGGCTGGTGGACCGACGCGACCACGGTCCGACCGCCCTTCTTGGCCAGCTGCCCGAGCGTGGCCACCAGCCTGTACGCCGCCGTCGCGTCCAGACCCGACGTCGGCTCGTCCAAAATCAACAGGCTCGGGTTGATCAGCAGCTCGTGCGCGATGCTCACGCGCTTCCTCTCCCCGCCGGAGACCCCCCGGACGAACCCGTTCCCGATCATCGTGTCGGCGCACTTGCTGAGCCCCAGCTCGGCAATCGCCCACTCCGCCGCGGCCACCTTCTCGTTTTTTAACGAGAAGGCGGCCGCGCGCAGCATCGCGCAGGACACGAGCGTCTCCCGCACCGTTAGGTGCGGGAACAGCACGTCGTCCTGCGCGACGAACCCCGTCCGCCTCGCCACCTGCCTGGCGGACAGCCGCGACGACGACTTCCTCGCCGTCGTGGTGGCGAGGATGGTGCCGGCGACGGCGGCGCGGCGGCCGCCGTGGTGGTGGTTCCGGCCGGCGAGCGCGTGGAGGAGCGTGGACTTCCCGCTCCCCGAGGGGCCGAGGACGGCGAGGATCTCCCCCGGGGAGACGGTTCCGGTGATGCCGCTGAGTATGGTCCGCTCCTCCTCCACCGTCGATGATTTCTCGTGGGGAGATATCAGCCGTCGGATGATGCCGGCGCTGCTGTTGCTTGTGGGGGAAGTTTTGGGGAGTTTTACTCTGTAGCACAGGTCCACGAACTGCCCATGCATCCCCAACCAAAAACAAAAGGAGTCAAAATTGAGTCAACGGATTCGAGTAAATCGAAATTGAAGCGCGCGCGGACGAATCCAACGATGTTAGTACGTGTTGCTGCGGATTACCTGGAGAGTAATGGGGGAGGAGACGGAGGAGAGGAGGAAGGCGGCGGCGGGTGCGGGGGAGGGGGAATCCCGAGGAGGAGTGGGAGTGGGATTGGTAAGGGGTTGTTTGGGAGGTTCTTGAGTTTCCATTGGGATGGTGTGTGGGAAGAGGGATTGTTTTGAGGTGGGAGCCAAACAGGGTGTTGAGAGAGTTGGAGAGTGGGAGAATGGGGGAGGAAGGACGAAAGGGGAAGGGAAGGGGGAGAGTGGGAATATAAAGGGGAGGGCGAAAAAGGTGGCGGATGGGTGCCACGTCATACGGCGGGAAAAATTACTGAGAGAGAGAAGGTGGTGGAGGGTGTGCTACGTGGCGGGCCGATACGCTGGAAGACAAAGGATTATGGGGGGATAGCCTAGCTTTCGTTTGCTTTCCTGGATTTTGATTTTGATTTTGATTTTGGGGTGATTGAAATTATAAAGTGGTGTATCGCAAAAAGGAAAAAAAAAAATTGCAAAACGGTGGCGCCGTTTGCTTTTTTTCTTCTTCTTCTAGCTTTTTCCTTTTCTATGGGGGAAGGCTATCCATGGGGTGAATTGTGATTTGTGAAGATGGATGAGGTTTGATTTAAAAGGAAAGTGATGACTGGATTTTGGGATGCTGAATAGGGGGTGGCTATACGGTTCGGTCCGGTTAAATTGATTCGAATTGGTTCGGTTCTGGTTCGGTCTTTTCGAGAATATGAAGATCGAAGATTGGATTGGATAAAGTCTGGTTTGGTCTTGATCCAGCCCGGTCTCAATTCGGTCTTGATTTTAGATTGAACTTGTGGGGGGGGGGGGGGGGGTGGGGAGGTTTGAGTGGGTTGAGGTCTAAAAGGGTGAGGAGTTGGTTAGGTTTTGGTTGTTGGGCTCTCTTATCCGGTCTTTATCTGGTTTTTGGTCCGGTCCCGAATGGTTTTTTTTTTACCTCAAATATAAGCCAGCAGACGGGATTGTATTGTTTGCTATCCGATTCCGGTCTGGCCTCGGTCCGGGTTATATGGTCCGGTTTTGAGTAAAACCAAAAAAACCTGGACTAAATAGCCACCCCCTAATGTTGAATGTAGACGTTCATCATGGTTTCAATGAGGCCGATTTAGTTACCGGATAACGTCAGAACGTTTCGTTTCGAAATTTTATGATCGGTGAGATGGATATTGCAAAAAATGATGAGAGAGTTAGACAAAATCTAGGATTACCATATAGCTATGTTCTTGGTGGTATGGAAAAATTGCTCAAATATATTATATGAGAGTGACTGACTATATATATATATATGTTATATTACCTACGAAAAATGAAATCCAAGTGACCATTTCGTTAATGGCAGTAAAGTATTGGGACTATATGTGCAATTATCCTCCAAGGCTAGGGAGTATTAATGCGTGATACTTCTTTTGCTTTTTTTTTTGTGAGTGGCATGAATCCAATTCAATGCACTTGGCCTGCAAACTGCAGAAATCAGTGAGTACTACTGCTTTTGAGTTGGGAATTTGGGAAATTTTGGGGGCTATAATGTAAAATTGCAGAGGGGGAACCTTCACCAATACGTTCAACAAAGCTTTATCTCCAGCCATTCAACGTACGTATGTATACTAGGTGAAGGTTCAGGTGCTTGATATCGTATGCATAATATATTCGAACAGCTTTGCATATTCGAACAGCTCAACCATGATTGTAAGAGGAATGAGTGATCATCATGATGACATATAGAGTTTAGATACATTTACGATATGCAGAAATTATCGGTAACGTTGAAGAACGAAAACGTTTAAATGGGTCTCTTTCGAGAGGGCACGAGTATCAACATACGATGGGATCCTGATGACATGTCGAGAAGTGAATTTAGTAAATGTCGTAATTGTAATGGTGGAAGAACGACTAGCACGATTGACAAATGTCGGCATTTCATTAGAATATGTAAGTAGTTACGTTGATCGGACTGTCGGGTTAGCGTTTGAGGAAAAAGAAAAAGATGAATCGAGTTTGATTTCTCTCTTCTCTATCTAGCTAATAGGCTCAAGCAATTGATAATTAATCTTGTTTAAGTGGGGGCAGAAAAAGGACTTTTATGAGATAGGATAAGAAGGTGAAAAAGGCTTTGTCCCACACATAATTTGCAAATAAACGATCCTCTGGCTTTGGCCATAAAACGAATAATTGTATGAAAGAAGTTGATTAAAACCTCTTGGAAATCCATCCGAACAATTGTATGAAAGAAGTTGATTAAAACCTATTGGAAATCCATCCGAATCGAAGGACTTATTTAAATACATATAAATCGAGGGGATCAGTATAGACTTCTTCTTCTTTGATAGAGTCGGATTCATCGCGTTTGACACTCTTGATTGTATGTGTCAAGAATAAATAAGTTAGTCTCAACTCCCAATAGCTTTTATGGTCGAAATAAAAATACAATAGCGAACCTTATATACCACATTGTAACAAGATCCTTCAAACCGAATCCAACCCAAAGGGCTTGAAATTTGTGCATGTCCGACTAATAAAAGATTCTGGTACCACGTCAACATAGGCGGAGCTAGGGGGCATGGCGATGTGTCCCGGGACACAGGTAATTTTTGGGTAAAATAAAATACTCCACATATATGTATCAATTAAGGGTTGCACTCAGACTTTAGGTAATATAAAAGTGTTTTTATCACTATACTACAAGTTATTTCAAGTTTAAAAGCTAACATAAATCAATGTATCACACTATATATAAACAAAATTCACGGTACCTAAAGTTTGATCTCTTTGTCTTCTAAAGTTAGTTTTGACTATACTCGTTGCAATTGCAAGTGTAGAAAGAACAATTTCAGTTTCGAGCTATATTAAAAACAAGTTTCAAAATCGAATTGCGACCAATTTGCTAGTGATTGCTTAGTCGGATACATTGAGAATTTGAAAATGCGTTGTGATTGCTTATGGAAATAATGATTGTATCAGTCTATGATTTCTTTAATATATATATATGAATACATGATGTAGATATTATTAGTTTTAATTATATTTATTAAATAATTATTTATTTTATATTATGGAAAGAGGACACAGGTACTTTCAGATTCTGCCTCCGCCACTGCACGTCAAGAACGAGTTAATCTCGTAAATCGAGTTGTTCGAGAGAAGTTCGTTAGCCACCGCCCTCTGATCCTCTGTTGGACTTGAATGATTTCCTCACACAAACACTTCTTTTAATTTTATTTGTTTTCTTCATTTTTTGACATATACCTTACCAAAGATATTTCTTGAAGATAATTAATCTGGACATGGTCGAAGTTGTTGTTTTACATAAACAAGATCCTCTTCTCCCCCCGACCCGTACATATATCTGACTCTTTTTGCTTCTGTACTTACGCACAGAAAACCTGTCGTACCAGCAAAAGAAGAGACACAGAACCTGCTTGATATTTATTTATGTTTCTGCTGCTGAAATTGAATGTTCTTAGCTGTACGTCACAGAAAACCATGTTTCGTAAATCTCTCTTTCAACATATTTTTTTTCTTAACAAACTTGAATTTTTTTTCGTAACGTGTAGCTACATAGCTAGGTCTTGAATTACTTGTATAAATTATGTGATCAACAACAACAACTTCAGTGCAAGGTTTTGAAAGAAGTAAATGGCACGAGTATTGTAAAAAAAAGAAAAGGGTTTTTGTTTATAGCAAAAAACTATTACATATAGATGGTGTTCAATTTTCAAGGAGTAGAATTTATGGATGAAGATTATGAAATAGTTTGTAGTTGTGATATTTTTATGGCACCTAAGATCGATCAAGAGAGAAGTGCAGGATTGTGATATTTTATCGTATTTAATTTTTGATTTGTTACTATCACCTCCCAGTTTATGTCATAATCTTTTTTTTATTTAACCTTTAAATTGTTAGTGAAAATTGGATTGTTTTATTCCCGATCGATGCGATTCGACAACCAATGTAATGTTTTTAAAAAGACGTTGGGAGAAACCAACTCTAATTATATACCTGATATTGTTACTAGTTCAATTGTCCGTTTAGTTGATATTATTGACTCGATATATAACACTATAAATCAGCATGCACATCGAGTAAATATGTACCTGTAGCGTCAACACAATTCACAACAATCCAAGTTCCAACCTGCAAAGTATGTACCTATTGAATCCTCCAACATGGCTAGAGATCATAAGACGCTGACGATCTTGCCAAACGAACTACAAATTAGACGTTAGTTACCATTTTTATTTTTTGTTAAGAATTTGAGTCGAACGATCTTTCTTCGTACAAAACCGGCACATCTAGTGACCATATCTCAGCATATCATCCCCCAAAGTTTGACCTTAGGATAACGTGGATTTTCATCCAATATATAGGTGAATCTTGAATGCCTGAATTTGGATATTCTTTTTAACAAGTTTCCCTTTGTGGGTTTGTGAGTAAATGATATTTGGTGGGTTCTTGTTATTTTTTTTTTTTTTTTATGGATGGATACCAAAAAAGGTGTTGAAAAGATAAATCATGTTGGGAAGTGGCATTATAACAGAGACCGATATTAAATGAATGATGACTTCCCTTCCCTCCCTCCACCGATCGAGAGAGTCGATCTCCAATATATTTCGAATTCAATGAGATAGCTGACTTGCTGACATATTTTTTTTCCTCTTTCTCTTTAGTGGAAAATCCGCTGACATTTTTCGTGTCAATGCAATAATGCATAGTACATTGCAAAGAAAATATTGCAAAAAAATTTCCAACCAGTCTTTGCTTTCTTTACTCCATTTTTTTTTTTCTTTCTATCCTTGCGTTGACCATTGTCATCATGGCAAGTTTCCATTCACGGCCAAAAATGTGCCCCCATTATGTTAGTGTAGTAGTAAACATTTTAGATTTGACTAATTGATATTAGGGTTTAGACTTTAGTTTTCTCAATTTTTAGCCTGCATAGTAGAATTAAGATGAGGAAAAAACTTGCGTTTTGTACTGTTGATACTGGGTTGTAATCGAATTTATCGATTTTTTTATTTTTGTGTGTGTAAGCCATATATCGGAGTTGGTTCATAGTGATCTTTGACCTAAGATCCTCCGCGGATATGAGGTTAGATTTGGAACGGTTAATACACAGTGGCGCGGAGCTAGAAATTCTGACAGAATGATATCAGAATAATAATAATATAGTGCATGCCAAATACGACCAGTCAGACTTATTGTTG